ACCTGAGTATGCAGTTGAAGAGGAGTTAAGGAGAGATGTTCAGGCTAAAAAGTCATCAATATGTAGATAAGGCTGACACTAGCCATTAGACTGGTTCAGCTCAACCAAGGGTGTATATAAATAAAGAGAAAGTGCAAGGACGGAGGCCAGGGTCACTCCCATGTTTAGACATTAGGGTGCTGAGGAGGAACCCACAAACAAAACTATGAAGAAAGGGTTTAAACAGGAGTAGAAAAATCCAGAGACATTGGAATCCTAGAAGTCAAGTGAACAAAGTGTTTGAAGGATGGAATTATGCACCATGACCTATTATTCACAGGTAAGGTAACCTTATGTCCCGCCTTGCCTGGAATAGTCCTCGTTTCTGTCACACAGCTCTTAATCCCTTTTCAGCTTACAACAGCCTATGCGATCTGACCTGCGCTACCTCTCTCCCCACCCCTCACGTCACTCTTGGCCTTGGTGGTGTTCCTTATGCAGGCCAAGCATCCCTCCCTCTCAGGGAAGGCTTTGGAACTTGTCTTTTCTTCTAATACATATTCTTATGACCTATTTTTAAATTTACTTGAGGTCTTTGCTAAGTATCTCTTTACCAGAGTGGCCTTCCCTGGCTGCCCAACATCAAACAGCCACTACCCTCACGCTCCATCTCTCTGTCTATACCTTGTCCCTTGATTATATTTCTACTAGCATTCAGTGTCCTCTGTCATAGGTTATATATAGAATACTTGTCATATATATTTTTGCTTGTTTATTTTTTATGTCTTCTCCACCAACTAGAATTCTGGAAAGTTAGCTCCATCAAGGCAGACACTTTGTTTATTACTCTCTTCCTAGTGCCTATAACAATGTTTCCTTCATAGTAAACACTCCATATAAACACTCCATAAATATTTATTGGATGAGTGAAAAGAATGAATGAATGGGGAGATTTACAAGTGAGCAGTAAACTACAGTATATCCATCCTAAAGGATTTTTTGCAGCCATTAGAAACATTACCAAAGAATTTTTAATAGTAAGTGGGAAAGCATATACTATCACGTTAAGTAAAAATACTAGATGCAATTATTCCTGCCATGAAAATAAGCTCACATTTGGGATGAAAACAAAAAAAAATAAAAGCTGAAAGAAAATATCCTAAAATATTTACAATACAATTTGGGTGGTCTATTTTGATGCATTGATTCTGATGTAAAAATGCCTGTAAGGATTGGGATAGATCAGCTGATTGGGCCACCACATAGCCCTGGCCATCCGCAAAAAGGAAAGTTGGAATGGCTTCCTTTTACCAAGAAGGGGTCAAAGAGAGGTCAGTGGCACCTTAATATTTATGCCATTTCCATAAAAGCCATTATGCAGATAAAAGGTGGGTTTGAGACAGAGGAAAAACATAATGACACAATAATTTTTTGCTTCTTTTAGCATACATTCACCACCATTTCAAACTGCCAGAATCCCAGGCTCCGCCTAAGTCTGATCAGAAGCTCAAAGCAGTTCCCTAGCTTCCATCATCTGTCTGCCTACGTCTTTTTTTAAAATTTTAATTAATTAATTTATTTTTTTCAATTACATTTGTCTCTGCCTTCCCCCCACCATTTTCCCCTGCCCTCCTCCCCCATCTCCCTCCCTCAATCCTTCCCCACTTTGGCTTTGTCCATGAGTCCTTGCTATATGTTCCTTGACTTTCCCCTTCCCTTCCTTTTCCCCGCCCACCCCTCCCTCCTTCCCTCTTGACTCTGTTGGTTTCTTTTTTCTTTCAGTGTTGCTGGTCTTATTTTCCTTGCATCTTTGTTTTGTTGGTTAGGTTCCACTTATAGGTGAGATCATATGGTATTTGTCTTTCGCCCTCCAGCTTATTTCGCTTAGCATAATGTTTTCTAGTTCCATCCATGCTGTCGCAAAGCGTAGTAGTTCTTTTTTTCTTTCTTCTGTGTAGTATTCCAGTGTAAATGTACCATAATTTTTGATCCAATCATCTACTGATGGGCATTTCGGTTGCTTCCAACACTTGGCTATTGTAAATTGTGCTGCTATGAACATCTTGGGAGATAATTCAGCATCAAACAATCTTCTTGAGTCCCTCCTGGCATTGGACCAATTTTCTGGCCTCCCTTATGAGATAGATATAGGTGAGACCTTATTGTGAAATGTGTTGGGAAAAGGATGACAAGAAAATCAGCCAATTAATCCATTAAAAACAAATACCTGCTTCAACTTAGAGAAGATACAGAGTGTTAAAAGATACCACCATCTCTTCAGAAAGCTTGCACTTAAGTAGATATGATACATAGAAATAGGATTGGATTACATGTGTCTGCTGCCAAATGAGATGTAACAACAAGAAAGGCAACAGTAGTTCTGAGAAGGGAAAGAGGAGGGGGTTAGGGACGAACCTTTCCAAAGAACTGAGACACGAGCTGATCCTCAAAGATGAGTGGGATTTAGATGAGTAGAGAAGAATGGGTGAGGAGAGTGCAAGAGGCCAGGGGAGCCAGTGTGGATAAGCAACACAGAGTGTATCTGGGGACAGGGACAGGTGCTTCTCTCAAGGGCGCTTGCAATAAAGCATTTTCATCAGAATTATATCAATGTTGGTTTTACATAGGTAAATCTTTGTTCACTTGGTCATGTTAAATCATGAGAAATATTTTTCATTTTCAACCTGAATACTTTTCTTATGAATTATTACTTCTCCTTGAAGAATTTGAAAATTAGATTTATTGCTTTTGTATTGTTTTGTTCTTTGTTTACCAATTACACTTTCTGCTTCTATGAGTAATTATTTGCCCCAAGTGTAATACTCCCAGGTCATATTTTGTAGGTAAAAAAGAATTCATCAATAAGATTTTATACTCCTGTTAAATTTTAGTGAGAAACACATTTTAACAAGTGCCATTTTTTCCCTCTTTTTTATAAAATTCAACTTTTACAGAATTAACTTACATGGTTTTTAATAACAGCCATATTGTATTCTATCAATCGCTACTTTCCATAATAAATTTTACCTTTGAGGTTTTAGCTACTGCCTATTTCATTTTGCATTAAATATTTCTACAAATATTATTATTATGAATTATAAGAGACTACTAATTTGTACTTATATTTTAGTTGAAACATGATATTTTTGGTCTGTTCCTCTCAGATAGTCTATACATTTCTTCACTGTCCAAATTGCGATGAAAATGTATTATACTGAAAATTCAATCTTTGTGTACATTTCTGATCCCTTTGTGTTTTTCAAAATAAAAGTCCATGGCACTGGCAGAGCAAAAGTCCTGGATGCAAGCAATGGAAACTATCTCTGGTTGATTTAATGTTTATTAACAAGATAAGGGGTTACTGATAGAATCCCAGACTGGGGGCTCTCTGCCCAGAGCAATGGCTAGAAGCAGACAGCAGGACCGGTCACTCTGGTTGCCCCAGCTGCCAGAGGCACCATGCTCTAGATTTGCTCTGCCAGCCCTCCTGGCCCTGGACACTGCAGTTGTGCCAGACCAACTGCAGTTGCCACCATCACCAGGAAAGACTCGCTGTGATGCCTGTTCTGTGCATCCTTAGCTCTCAATCAGAAGCCTGTGGTGGGTGCGTCTGAGCGGTGGGGCCAGGTCACGTGCCTACCTTCTTTGGGCAAGAGATCCTGGAGGAGTAAAAGGAGCACCATTCCCATCTGGAAGATGAAGACAGAGGAATTCCCTAACCTGAGAAGGGGTGTCAGATGCCGGGCTCTCCAAAAGAGCGATAAGTGCCCAGTAGAGGGTCAGAAGATGAGAGAAAACATTCTGCCTGGCTCAGCAGAATACCAGATGTGACCGCAGATCCTGGACTTTTACTTGGAGGTTGCACACCGCACAATGCATTGACTTCCCTGTGTTCCTCACCCCTCAGCCAATCATCTGTGAAGGTCAGCATACACTAGGCAAGTTTAAAAATGAGCTGCAGTCTCCAAGGTGGGAAGGGATACATGATCCTCTTCCTTGGTAGATGTTAGCAAATGTTTTCATCAAAGTGTTCTTCTCTATATCTAAGAACATCCTGTGTATCGCTATTTAGTAAGACGCAGAAAGTTTTCATTAGTGTTGCTATTAGAGCAGTTAAGACTTTCAGTTTAAATGGATAGCTACAAAAATAAATGATTGATTTTAAATCAAAGTGTTTCACAGAAAACATTTTAAATAGTTCTCATTTAGGTATTTATTATTTCGTGTAGTTTCTAAAAATCACAGAGCTTTTAGTTAGCATTGTATAATCATTTATATTTAATTTTCAGAACAATTTAGTACTAAATGGAATCTTAAGTATTTTATATGTAAAATAGGTATGACAAATAAAAACAATCTTTATATTAGCTCATTTTCATCATAGTACCCAAGTCACAGAGAGATTTTTATACTACCAATGCTAAACTTCAGGATTTAGACATCTTCATGGTCCCATTTCCATTATTTCAAAACCTTCAAAATACAAAATATTTCCAAATGGTCATTGAAGACAGTATTTTATTATAGCAATAGCTTTCCCAATGACTTCTTATGTCATAGGTGCTGGTTCCTTTGGGATGTGTAGTTATTTATTTTCTCAGTTTCTTTTGGGATCATCTGTGGCTCCATTGGACCCCTGAGCATGCTTCTCATCCCCTTCTTTCAGGCTCTGAACAGTCCCATTCTGTCCCTGACCATCTGACCCAGATGTTCCGGTTGCCATCCAGACGGAAGGGCGGGCAACGGTCTAAGTGTCCTCAGGGGGAAGGGAGAGCAGTTTCCCTTCCGGACTCATGAGCCTTCCTAAGCTTTCCAAATGCTAAGCAGTTCACCTCAGAATCTTACTGAAGTTTATACAGCTGGTATGGGGATTGTCACAACTGAAACAAGTGGTTCTCAGAACCAAGGTTAGAATTCAGGAACTTCCCAGTGTTCGTTCAGAGTCATAGACCACCACCAGATCTATCATTTTACTAGGGTTTCCTTTCAGTGACTGGTTAGTGGGAGTGTTTATCTCGACTGTGCATTTCCCAAACAGAGCTGTTAATCAGACCCATCTCCATGTCCGCTGTGAGTGAGGCAGGCATAGTTCAGGCCTTCGGGCTTGCCAGGAGGGCAATAAGCCACTTGTTTTTCTTGGCAGAGGCCTTTGTCTGCATGTGGTTCCTTCTCTCCTTTCCTCAGACCACAAGATCCAGATTCCTCGGAGCCTGGAGGACCCTCAGAATTATCTTCAGCTTGGCTGTACTCTGTAGCAAGTACCATATAGTTTAACCCTTCTTGGTTCTTGGTTTCCATTAGAGCAATTGGCATACTGTCATCCAAATTCAAACAAACCATGTTGCCATCTTCATCTGTGAAAAAAATATAAAAGTTATCTTAGTATCTATTTGATTTCCTTTATTTGTAATATACAGGCAGTATGAGAATTACACCACCAACAACTATATACATTGGTTCAGCAAACATTTATGAGGCCCGCAAGAGAACACAGAGATAAACAAGACATGCTCCCTGTTCTCGAGGCAAATACAGTCTAGTAGGGGAGCAGATGTAATACCATAGGGTGATATATGCTATAATAAAGGGATACATAAAACATGGTGAGGCACACAGAGCTGATTCTGCCATAACAGGTGGAATGGGTCATGGTCTTTGTGATAGAAGTGAAGAAATCAGGATCCTTTCTGTTTAAAGTGCTTATCCTTCCATCCTGCCACACCAGCTAAACTATCTACCTTTAAAGATGTGTTTCTTTAAATTAACTAACGTAATCATTTATTAAGATACTATTTATGGGATTCCTACTATGTGCCAGGCTGTGTTATCGATAACACAGCAGTGAATGAAACAAATTTGCATGTTATTTGGGGTTTACATTCTAATTGGGAGAGACAGAAAATAAATTAGCAGACAATTAAAGCTATGTCAGGTGGTAAACAGTACAATGAAGGAAAATTCAGTGGAATAGCAGGCAAGAAAGGAACGGTGGGAAAGGGACTGTTATTTTAGATGAAGTGTTAGCAAAGTCCTCCCCCATTAGGTAAAATTTAAGTAGAGAGTTGAATTAAATGAGAGAATTCGCCACAGGGAGAGCTTAGGAAGAAGATTCAAGTAAGAGAGAACAGTAAGAACCAAGGTCCTGAGGCAGCAGAGTGCTGGGTGTGGACTGAGGAAGAGCTAGGCAGCAAATGTGGCGGGCCCTCCTCAGCGATACCCCCAGGACAAGTAGCACTTGAAACCGCTAACAGTAATTGACAAATTTAAAACTAGCATGCTTCTGACCTCCGAAGGCTGATAGGAAATGGACCTAGGCTTGGCAAGTTCTGATGGCAGGATGGAGGTAGAAGGAAAACAACATGATATTTATTATTAATAATAACAATTGTTAACACTTACAGAGTACGTCCTATGTACCAGGCACTATTCTAAGCTATGAACATATAAGAACACATTCTTCTATTAAGTAAATACAAGCATTATCCCTAGTTAACAGATGAGGCAATTGAGGCACAGAGGAGTTAAATAATTTGCCCAAGTCACACAGCTGGAATTTGAGCCCAGGCAGTCTGCCTCAAGTCTGTGCCTTCTTATTTGCCCTCCCCAAGGGGAAGATGAAGTTGCTGAGCTGTACAAGGGGACCCATGTGCGTGAACAGTGCGCCCTGCAGGAGTCCATGAGAAGCACAGCCTCGGACGTGTGTGTGTGTGTGTGTGTGTGTGTGTGTGTGTGTGTGTGTGTGTGTGTGTGTTTGAAAGAGAGAGATGTAAGGGGGGCAGCAGAAAAATGGACAGCCAGAGGGTAATTGGCCTTCCTCACAGTTATGCTCATGTTACTTTCGTCTTTTTCTACTGAAAGGCTGACTTTCTTACACAAAAATGTATAAGAATTTTTAATTAGCAGAGCTTCTGAAACATTTCACAGGTAATCAAAAAGATAAATACACAATACAATATAAATACACAAATGTATATTTTGGGACTTGTTTTTTATCAGTACTTTCCAATCTCTGGGTACTAGTGCCTGGATAAAAAAATATGATCAGAAATATTACTGTCCTTGCATAAAGTATATTTGAAAAATCAGAAGTATTTCAGTAGCTGCATGATGGTCCTTCCCTTTGTCCCCCCACCTTTTCAGCAGGAGGGCATCGAACATGTGGGTAAGGCCTGCCAGGCTGCCAGCCTTCAGGACCGAGTCCCGATGTACATGCAAGTTGAATTTATTTGAAATGAGTTTATACCGAAATATGAGAACATGTCAAAGGACTAAGGGAAGCATCATTGTATCTACTTTTTTCTCGTTGGATTTTAGTGGCTCTACCTATTTACCAAGTTCCACACCTGATGCAAAGTTTATTTTATTACGAGAGCATATGAGCTACTGACCCTGCTCTGTATTATTAGGTGCTTTTTTTTTTTTGCAGACCCTCCCACTGAGGGCAAACAGGATGCCCAAGCTACAGGCTCGCAAGCTCTTTGGCATCATCTCATGTTCAAATACCATCATATTTTTGAATATTTCAGACCACATAAATGGTTGCACAGTGTTGTAAAATATCTTCCCCATAGAAATAACTTTATCAGATGCCAGGTTTGGTTAGTGCTTAAGTGATGGAAGGATCTAAACGTTATGAGTATTTTCAGTATGTACTAATTACCATTGAGAAACTCATAAGAATTAATTTGTCATATATAATAATAGCAATATAACCTATCAAAACGTGATAGAAAGAAGTAAGATATTTAACTTCAAGTAGTCCAGTGGCGCAGAGTATTGAAGAAATTAGGCTGTTCCTAAAAAGCTTATAAAAATTAGGCTAAGAAAAATTTAGAATTTCAACAAAAACTGAAATCTACAGTATAAGTCTGTATACTTACTTATTTTTATCCCATTAAATAGCATATTGGGAAACTTTCTAATGAAACATGATTTTAATTTTTTTGTCTATTGTTGATTTAAAAAACCTCATATAAGACAAATAAATGTTTTATACAAATCCTGGCACATATGTGAAAGGAAAATCATTAGCTAACTATTTTATTGGTTCGTGATACTTAGAGCAATATTTAGTAACCTGACCCTGGCAAGCTTTCAGCAATCAGTACATCTTATTGCATAAAGAGACGTGCAGTTGGTAGGGGGAGGGGTGTTTGTTTATTTTTGTTTCAAAACTGCTAAATAGAAAGCCTGCAAGTCAAATCTTAAAAGAGAGACTCTAAGCAAAGACAGCATGTACTCAGCAACCCTCTCTTTAAGAGGGAAATATTAAAATAAAGACTTCCAAGTAAGACAGGGTATTAACAGACGAGACATATGCCGGCTGACTGGCTATGTTTAGAACAGCAGCGGAGCATTTAGATTTGTTTCCTGTAGAACTCTGTGGGACTGGTGAGGTGATGTTTACACAAATGTTTGGATGAAGTCACTGGGATATTTTTACTAGATGCCCAGATATGTTACTTCTCTTTCTATCCCCTCTCCACCCCATTAGGTCAGTAGGACCACGGGATAAGCATGGTGTAACTGCTCCCTGTTATCGTAATACCCTTTTTTTTTTCCCAAAAAAGTCCTTCCGTGACTTTCTTATCTTCTTATATGTGTCTGACAATAACAATGAAGACAGACATTGCACTGCTTTGCTAAATATGCCTACCAGTCTGCCAAGCAGCAAACTATTACTCAACACATTCTCTTTCATTAAAAAGGTAATTAAGTTAGGCTTGCCTTGAAGGGATTCTTCCTTGAATTCCATCCTTAGCAAATATGAGAACTCTTTCATTCTATTTCTTCTCTCTTCTCTGCCCCTTTGGTTCAATGACTTATCTATCAAAATTTTTAGTGATTTCCATATCTCTTACTTCAGGAATTCCTTACCTTCAGGAATTACATGCATTGCAAATAACAGAATGAGATTTTCCCTTTCCCCTAAAATTATGTGTGTGGGGCACAGAATTTCTTGTTTTTACCTAAATTATCAAAGTTTGGTTATATTCCCGGTTAAACTCTTTCTGCGTTATTATTCTGCATATTTATGTCTGCTTCTCTATGTTTTTGAACACTATTTAAAATTTTAATTCAGTCTGCCGAAATCTGGCACTAAATAAATTTTATATACTATTGTTATATCTTTTCTAGTAGGCTAGAAGTAACGTTTTTTCCCGCCCCCTAGCTGTGCAGCCCACTATTGATAACTAATCGGGGACAGTGTACGTACGGGCCTAGTACTTCCCCAGCCATGGCTCTGCGGAGGCTGAGAGCACAGGCTCTAGAACAGAGTCAGATTTCAACCCCACCTCAACCGCAGGACCTTGGGCAAGTCGCTACACTTCAGTCTTCTCATCTGTAAAGTGTGATGATAAAAATACCCACGTCACAGGGCTCGTGTGGGGACTTAATGACTTTGCCTACATAGCACAGCGAGTGGCACTGGAAAAAAAGTGCTAAAATAAAACCAGCTATTATTGTAACTAAAAGTCACCTACAAAAAGGGTCTCATCCTGTATATTTACTGTGAGCATCATTTGTTACTCATCTCAGTTTCTTAGGTGAACTAGGTAGTGCAACGTGCTAAAAAGATTTTCTCGAGGATGCACAGGGACTTGTGGTAGAGCCAAAGGTGGAGCTGAGCTCTCAGGGCCTCTGACACCCCTTACGGCAGCCTCTGTAATTTTGATAAAAGTTATGCACATATGAGAAGGAAAAGATTCAATGAGCAAAGAGTTGGATTTTAAAACAGAAGTTAACTGTAAAGTCCTGCATCCCTCTGGAACTTCACTTCTGCAGCATTTGATGGCTCCCTCCTCCCTGAGCCGCCCTCCCTGGGGTTTCCATGACAATGCTCTCTTATGCTTTGCTCTTCTCCCTCTGGCTTCTCCTCTCTGTGCCCCCCTGATTTCTTTGTCAGCCCCTCCCATACTGGCAGTTTTCTGTGTCTCAGTCACTGTGCACTTCTCTTCTTAGTCTGCACACTCGAAATCAATGACCTCTTCTGCGCCCTGGACATCAATTGCCGATATTTACAGGACTGACCTGTAACTGAACACTGGGCTTCCCCACGTAGCCCACACCCAGCTCAAACCAAACGTGGCTCCTCCTCCCGTGGCCCCATCCTCTGGGAAGGGCACTGCTTCTCTCCTCGCTCCTCAGACCACTGGCACCATTATCTCCTCTCTCTTCTTCACTAAATCAGACACGACGTCCTCTGCCATCTAACTCTGTGGTGACTCTGAGTCCGTTTCCTTCTCTCTACACCTGTTGCCATTCATTAATTCAGCTTTCATTAGTTTTCATTCCCTACAGGAACTATCTGTCCAATTTCGTCATTTGCCATTTCCCACCTTCATACATGTTTATCATGTATGATAAACAACGTGAAGATCTGTGCACACCTCATTCGCTATTACTCCTTGCCTTTCTGCACACTGCTCCTACTCTTCTGAAATAGGATTTTTTTTCCTCACCTCCCTGCAGAACTCAGCCTAGAAGTAACCTCCTCCGAGTGACTTTTATTAACTGTCCTTCCACCCCACAGTGTGGATTCGACGCCCTTCCTCTGGACTCCCACAAAACATGGGTTTCTTCTCAGTGACAACATACCTCCTGGCTTCCAGCAGAAGACACAATATAAAATCATCTACTCGCCAAATCTTTAAAAGTAAGCTTATTTGTAAGGGAAAGCATAGTAGAGAACTGACCAGAGAATCTACAACTCATGTATTCCTCTAGATTACCTAAATTCTATCTCTGAATTCAGCCAGTACACATACAAACATGCTCAAATGAACATTTCTGTGAATTGGTTGTATATGCATATAAAATACCAGGAAGAATATAACCAAATTGTAAACTATAGCTAGCACTGGGGAGCAAAGATAGGAGGAAGCAAGAGACTTTTACTTTTTACTCTGTTTAGCTCATTTTAGGTTTTTACACAATAAACATAAGTTACTTTTATAATGAAGATCTGTAGATACAGTTATAAATAATATAACAAGAACTGTTACTGAGATTAATTGATGACAATGTTAAAAAGAAAATCAGAAAGAAATCAGCAAATGTTTTTATGGTTAATGTAAAACAACATAAAATTCTTTGGAAACCTTCAAAAAGATAACGATTCTGTTTAATTTTCATAAGGCCTACCAAAATAATATTCAGGAACAAATCTGCGTCAGAGTCTTATCAGTGAAGTGCTGCTTTTAGAGATTAGATCAGTGATTTAGTAAGAAAACCATGCTTCCAATGCCAGGTAAGCAAAACCAGGTGCCTCTTGTCTTTCAGATACCTACACATTCAACTCAACCCAGTTACTTCCATTTATCTACCTTAGGAACAAAAGATTTCGTTTGACATACAAGCATACCACTCGAGGTCATGGTTCCTCTAACATTTCCACACATCAGGTTACGTAGTTGAGAACTAAACCAAGAGGGGGCAGATTCAAATGGCTTGAGCAAAACAGTATTATTCACTAGTGAACCAGGACACTCGCCTTTCCTGTGGATAGAGACACAGTCCTATGACAGGGACAAGGCAATTTCACCAGGAGAAACAGAGCTCACCATGAAGCTTAACATATAAAATTAAAGAAACTGACTCTAGGTTTCTGAAGTATTTCTTACTTCAAATATTCTTGCCTCCTCTTTGTCTTTAAAGCAGCCCAATGAAACACATTGAATTCAGGTGCTTAAAACACCACACTGTGGGCAAAAATTAATAATTTTGTTGAAATAATTTCGAAAAATGTTATCAAAATTTCATTCAGAAAAATGCATTACATAAATATTTAGAAAATGAGATGGACTTGATAGCATGTAGAAGGACTTACAGGTATGTTTTCCCTTATCTTGTGTGACCTTCACATAAGCAAGTATAAGTCTAGAACCTTCCAAAAGGATGGAGTTGTGTAGCAGTTATAACTCTGCAGGTCTCAGCCCTGCTCTTGGAGTCAGCCAGCACCACAACGAGGATGCAGGTAGAGACAGTGTGAGACTGTTCTCTTGTCTCACAAGGGCCATGCATGCCAATGGAAAGCAGGGTCTTTCCAATCTGTCACCTAGCTGTTTATGTCAACGAAGTCACATGATCAGAGTCCTATCTCCGTTCATGTCACCTATTCGAAGTTACTCAAAATATGTAGTCAGAAACACAGCAAACAAAACAAGCAAATATTCACCCTTGAGTTTCTTATTTTCCTGTGATTAGTCAAGGTGAAGGTCTCACCATGGGCTGAAGTAGTGAGAAGACTCCACGACCGTCACCAGCCAATCACTGTAAAGACCAAGAAAGAGCCTAATTTCTGAGAAATTCTGAGTTATGATCCATCTTGCCGGGTTTATGTCCAAGCTCTTGCATTAGAAAAAAATAAAAATAGGGTGGCTGTGAACTAATAATGGGAAGGAGTTCCAAAGCAGCTGAAAAGGATCATTTTAAAATTCATTTTGCTGCAGCCAATTAAGCAAATGTATTATAAATCTGGTTTTGGAAATGAATCAAGTGACTACTGTGTTTTAATTATGTTTTGTACTTTTCATAGAACTATAAGGCTTAGTCTGTCCATCACAGGAGAATGACTCCAGAAGATTCTTCTCTTGATTAATAAAATACTGAAGTTGTGGAATCAGACTAGACTGTAGCAAGGTATGACCCACTGCAGGAATCACAGCAAAAATACTCAGCAGTTAGAACCAACGAGTTAGATATATGCATATCAACATGGATGGCTCTTAGTGCTTGATGAAAAAAGAAAAGAAGCATTATGTAACACAACAGCATTTGTGCATACAATGGACAATTTGCAGGAACATATACAGATAAAAAGATATACATTAAAAACATTAGAATGGAGTCTGGCAGGGGAAGGAAAAAGGTGGAACAAAAGAGGAATATAGAGATAAAGGAACCAAACAAGCAAAATAAAAGAGAAGTCCTGTATAGACCAGTGATGATAATGGACCATAAACTAAGAGTCCATAATTAGCTCAACTCTGCACTTGAGGGCCAAGCTGCTGTGAAGGGTGGAGGGGAGAGAGCCTCGTGAAAATGTAGTGTAACAGGGTAGTTCTCCTCCTCACTGTCTGAGATTATAAAGTCATGGACCACATCTCTTTTTTTTTTTTAATTTAGTGCATAAATCAAAATTATTTTCAAAGACCACTAAAATAAGGTGATGCAAGTATATTATCCTTTTTACCCACTGTAAAATGTCTTCTACACACATCCCATTTTAACTTTGTTCAGTCCACAGTGGAGAGAAAACCAGAAAATTTTGACAAAAAATCAAACGTACCTTCAAAGCCTTCATTTATGATTCCACTAGGGTTCACTTCTCTGCATTGAGAAATACTATTTAAGGAAAAATTTCTGAATAACTGAAGCTGCTCTTGAATTTTATGGAAAGTAGGTCTTTGGTCAGGTTCTTGAGCCCAGCACTGGGTCATTAAATTCCACCTGGATATGTGAGTAAAGGCATGAAAGTAAATAGTGATTGGATGTCTTTAGGCAACCATTACTGATAACATAACCCAGATAAGGTTATTTTAGAAGAAAAAGATTTTGAGTTATTGTCAGTTGTCTGTAATTAATAGAAATGAAACAAAACAAAGTTTTTGGTCTCTTATTTAATAGTAACCTGCAATATAGCTGCCTTTATTGGATAACACTTTTCTTTTGAAAAGCTGACAATATTTTAACAGTTATTAATCTAGATAGATAGATAGAAAGAAAATGTTCACTCAACACCTAAGGAAGCTAAAAGCTATAAAAATTATTGAAGATTAAAATGACTTTACATTCATACCTTAATATTTAAAACAAAATCTAAGATTACTCCAGTCCACAGAGATATTTAGTGGCACAACCAGAGGCAGAAACCATATTTGATTCTCATGTTTTTATTCTTCATTACATTGTCAGGTTAATTAAGAGACTCAGTTCCCCCAGACATAAATAGCTGATTGATTAAATATTATCTTTCCTTAAGGATTGTTTTAGAAATTTCTATGCAGCACTCTTAGCCAGTGTTCATCTATTCATTAAGTAGTTAACTAATTTATTGTATAGCTCAATAAATTGTACTTTATTGCCAGCAGTATCTCAAGAGCTGTGATGTGGCAGCGTGGCAACCTGTCCTCTCAGGAATATATTTGCATTGTAAATGTAAGAAGGTGATAAAATTTATCTCACTACAATTCATACAAGCAGGGGGGAAAATATAGCTCATTTATATTGTTTGTAACTAATTAGGCCTGTCTCAGAGCCCCCACCTGGCAGAAGAAAATTAACTACTTTTAATGAATGCAGTTTAAAACATAATCCAATTCAGCACTTTAAATAACCTTGGTAGGTACTGCTCACTCTTTTCTGGATAATAGTTTAATCTCTCATATTTTTAGGCTATTCCTACTCCCTCCGCCCTCTTCCTCAAGATAATGTCAAGATACAGTGTCAGGCTGAAAGTCTTGTGTGACATGCAGGGGCACAGTGAAACAGCGAAGCGTCCCTTAGGCCCCACTGCCCCTTGGATCTCTGCAAGTCTCCTAGTGGAATGATCAGTAATTCCATAGCAGTGACTGATCTGGTCCAAGATGCAGGCACCAGATGCTATCTGCAGGCTATGATATCTCTGCCTTATCTTTGGGCCCTGAACTGGTCTTCCTTTTCTCTTTCTGGCCATAGCCTTGAGGCTGTCCTTGTGTCTGCACGGTGTCCTTTATCTGCAGACAAGACCTGGGAATCCATTCTGTTTCTACTGCAAGCCCACAGGGCGCTCCCTGGCCTACTCTCTAGCATCCATCAAAAACTTCACATCACGTGGGGGAAAAAGGAGGCTTTAAAGTTGGAGCTAGACTTTCTCTGTGTGAACATGCCCTCCTACCCCCTTCATGATGCTGGGTCTGCACGATCAATGAGGGGCATCCCCTGCTCAATAATCTCCTTGCCATCCTCCCACGCCGAGAGGAGCGGGCGGTTGCTCCATGCCCTTGATGTTGCGCACACCTGGTCTGACCGAACCCTATAGAGAAGGCTGCAGGACCTGGATGTCCAACATCTTCACCCTCCTGCCTTTACCTGTCAAGGTCTCTTCTTCCTATGCTTCTCAAGGGCTTAGCAGGAGTAGTGTTTCTACTCACTTCCTTTTTTAATTAGATTAACTTCCTCTTTTTTATTAGATCATCCTTATATAGATTTGTAAGTCTTAGTCACCCAAACTGGCATTTAATACACTAACAAGGAACTAAAGGATTCTAGATAACACTGTCTCCTCCAGGCTTGGTTTTTCAAGTCTACTGCCTTACTAGGAAGGTCAAGTGCCTTTCTCTCTCTCTCTTTCTCTCTCTCTCTCTCTCTTTTCTGGTATTATAAGGCAGGTTGGGTGCAGGGAGAGAAAAACTAACAAAGAAGCATCAATTGTGAAGGATTTAAAAATATTAGGACTACTATATCAACAGATAAATATAAAATTACAAAATACAAGTTATTAAAAAAAGTGCTAAAGAAAACACTGTAAAATCTAACAAAGATGGAACAGTTTGGGTAAGTTGCTCATGGAAGGCCCCTCTGCAGATGTGACATTTAAGCCAGAGAACTTTGTGGGAAAATAAGATGTTAGTCATGGGAATAGGGTGGGGATGGGAGTCAGGGAACACACTCAAAGGAAAAGCATGTGTAAATTTCTAAATTTGGAAAGAGCTCGGCACATTTTAGAATATGAAGGGAAGCTGGTATGGCTGAAGAGCTGTCACTGAGGAGGGGAGCAGAGGAGATGGGGTCAGAGGAGGGAGGTGACACCATGCAGGTCACGTGGACCCGGCCAGGAGCTGGACTTAGGACACTGCCATGGTGAGCTGTGGAAAGTTTTTAAACAGCCATGATTTTTATATTTTTAAAGGATTACTCAAGCTGATAGGTGCGGAAAATGGGTTGTAGAGGAGCAAGTTGGAAGGAAGGAAGTTATTAAAGAAGACTAGGTGACAGTTAATGGTGGTTTGGACTAAGACAAAGGCAATGGAGCTAGTGCAAGGATATAGTCAATCACAGGTGACAACGATCTGCTAACCATTATGAGTATTGTAGTGAAAATAGCAACTATCTATTGTAGGAATTATAATCTCCATTTCATTAGAATGTGGTGAGCAAATTCTCCTTCCATTTCTATCATTTCTTGATAAGCATCTCAGGTCAGAGTTAGTACTGAATACGGAATACTAAGGAGAAACCTGATACTGGTCTATTTTCTAGTATTGATCTGATGCCTTTTCATATTTATTTATTTTTTTGTATTTTATATGTTTATTATATACTCATTCTTTTTATACATTCTACCTATCTGTATCACTTTGTTATAAATAATTTTTTAATCTTTATTTTTTGGTCAAATACATTTGCCTCCACCTTCCCCTTTTCATATTTATGACAAGAAACTTACATTCTGGGTATAGAGTGCTAAATTTGGCTCTATTCTTATAAAAATTAGAATCATGGCTGAGAACCTAATCTTTTACATAACACGTGGCATTTAGAAATAAGGCTGATACAAAGACTCCAATTAAGAATGATTATATTTGAAATAAAACATTTTTAAATATTTTAAGTAATAGAGTAGAATTTTGATGACTACGCCAAGGGTTGTTTTAGGAGGTGTAAGGAGAAAGTAAAGTATAATTCTCCACAGGAACCATTTTCTTTCCGAAAAAAAAGGTTATAATTCAAAGATATGGACAAAAAATAGAATCTCTCTAGACTTCTCATACTTCAATTACATAATTTTTACTTATTTTATTTATTTATAATCTGCCTCATTCTACAAAGGATTTTAAGACACTTGAAGGAAATTATTTAGGACAAAAAGAAGGAAAAAGCAAGAAGGAAGGGGAGGAAGGAACGGAATCCATGCTGATAGTTGCCACTTAGCCACACTGCACACTACCTTCACACTACCCTCCAAAAAGCTCAGCCTCTTGTTGAATCTGTGTAATTTATTTAAGCAGATATTCCTATTTTTTCATTGGCAGAGACATAATCTACATTAAACCTCATCATTTTTCTTAATTTTCTGATGGCAAAAACATATGACTTATGGCATATAAAACCTTTCTGTCCCCCAATCCAGGGACAAATGAACACTGAATTGCAATAGATTAAGCAAAGAAGGACTCTATAAAACAATAGTCATTTAAAAGTAAAGAGTACAACTTGGACAACTTGAAATAGCTTTAAGCTGGCAGTGGTATAAAATGAAGTAGCTTTCAAGAATTTAATTCTGAAAATGCATTTCTTACCATCAGGTAAATTAATAACAACTATTCTTTTGGCATACAGGTCTTCCCTTATAAATAGGCACTTGTTACAATTCAATATCATGCATTAGATACTTGCACTCACTTATAGTTACAAATATTCAAACTTATTACTCTAAATAGATACACAGGTACCTTACTGTTGTTACAAATTTATCTGGGCTGGTTGTTTCAGCTCTATACAGATACATACTCATTATACTTAAAATATCTCATTTAGCTAAGTGCTCACATTCAAATTCCTTCATTCGCTATGCCAACCCTTAACTCTTCATTGCCTCATTCTTTTTTCAAAATAACATGAGACTCATTAACCATGTTCATTTTTAGCATCAATGAGTAAAGTATTTGGATTCACAAATCAATTAAAATTCAACAGATGAAAACTCCACGGCATCTTTCAGTATTAAGGGTGTGGGTGTCTATAGGTATTTAAACAAAGCACATAAAACTTTGATTTTAAGAACTACCTTACTCATTACGCCAGTCCTGCGGAGACTCAATAGCATCTGGATGCATCACCCATATTTTTAAGGGGTAAAAATGAGAAGGTGAACCTCGTGTCCTCCCACTGTCCCTCGCTGCATTCGAGGGACTCCCCAGCAATTCCAGCTGCTGCCATGATGCATCAGTCAAAGAACCCCAAGAGCTCTCACTTGAAGTAGATTGCCCTTTGATCCTGCTTCTTCTTGAGAGCGATGTGGTTGTTGTGTGCACTGAAAGCTGAAGAGAACACCGAGGACTGGACTTTCCACATACATCCCAGGCTACAGGAAGAAGGGGGAATGCTCTGATCGCCTGCATTCCATTAATAGCTGAACACAGCATAGCCATCTACAGGCTCACCTGACCCAGAGTGCATCCAGGTGCTGAGAATTTAAGCAGTGAATAGAAGGTGCAGCATGGCTCAGTGCAGACTTTCAACCCTCTAAGCTGGGCCTGTGATCTCAGAGAACTGCTTCAAATAAAAATCAGTTCCCTCTGTACTCTAAGGAGAGTAGTTAATCTTTATCGTGACAACTTAAGGCCTTGGCCAGATTGAATGGCACTGCTGAGAGCTCCATTTCCTAGCACAGCTTGTTTTCCTGGTTGGCAATGAGTTAACCCTTCCTGGGGCTCTGAGAGTTATACAGCACTGGGTGGGGGAGGGCTGGGGGCATTGTTTACTTTTTAATTACCAATGTTTAAATGGACTTCAAAACCACAGGTGGAAAATTTGGTTTCATAAAAACTACATTTTTATAAAACTAGAGCAATAATGTATCCAACTGAATAATCAAGATAAAATTATGTAGAATATTATCTTTTCCTACTTATAATCAGAAATGTTTTTCTAGCATTCTTCCCCTTTCTTCCAGTTGCATTTTTGGATACCTTTGGATTAGAGCAAAGTTCAACATACGTATACTTTTCTGCTCCACAATAGTTAATTAATTATCCACCTTTCTGTCCCCAAACAATATAAATGAACACAATAAAAGTGTGTAACTCAGTGATTAATTCCTAAAGTGTTTATGCCAGATAAAGTCTAACAACACAAAGAAAATTTAATGTGATTGAAATTCTGGGAAAATTTTCTGAGTGTTTGATATATATGTAAAAGATATAAATAATGATTAGTTTACTTATTATTTAATAAAAATGTATTTCATATTTAGGTATCCTGGGTTTTACTCAAACCCTAGATCAAAGGTTTTCAAATTCTATATAAGTTTTTATCCCTAACTTACAGGATTCTTCCCATCTCTCCCCAAAATATCAGAAGCATATTTTTAGGCACTATCAGCAAACTTGTTCATGTATGTGTATAACTAATCTCCCTGTAAATACACCAGATGCTGTAAAAGCTAAATCATAAACAAGCAGTGATTCAAATCTTCTTCTTCTAGCTGGAAGGTTTAAAAACATCCACCAGGAAAACATCCAACCAAGGTGCCCAGTTCTTAATCATCTTTTGGCTCTGGTCTGAATAATCCTCTAAATAACACAGCACAGTCAAGGCAGTACAATCATGGTGTGTATCCGCATACTGCTAATTCCTTTTGCACTTGTCTGTACCACACAGTTTAGCACTTTATTACATGTTGGCTTGTTATCCAGCTGCTCCATCTGAATGTCTTTTCTTTCAAAATACATTCTGAGATGCTGAAGGGACGCGACCCTGTTTTAAACACCTCTGAATGTCATACAATCCTTAGTAAGGTACTGTGCACATAACAGATAAATTTATATTTGTTGCTTGCATATTCTTTTAGAAACTTCTTGTGTAAAACACCTCTTGGGAAAAGTCTCAAGACTTATTTTTTTCTCAAACTAATACATGGCTTTTATTGAATCTTTAAAATATTGCAAATAAGTCTGAGGAATCATTTGGCATCTTGCTCTTTCTGTAGCTGAACAACTTAGATCTTATTCATCAGCCTGCTGAGCAGCTCCTTTTTCAGAAACGAGATATCATCCCAAAATTTTCTGATACCTTTGTTTTTAACTGCTGTGTTTTGCTGAATCAAAGGAGCTGAATTGATACAAGTTCAATGTTGTTTCCTTCAAGAATCAACTTATATTTCTGGGCTTCAGATAATGAACAAGCAATGCCTGAACTCATCCAAACCCTGAAGATGTATTTGTCACCCACAATATTTTTTATTTCAACAAGAGAACCATCCTCCTGAATATCCACATTGATGGGGCAGTGAGCATACACAGACCTCACCTTGAAACGGAAGCCCAGAGCAATACCCTTGATCGTGGTCTGCGAGTGACTGCAGATGGCGCGAATGGTGGGCCGTTCCTTTCTATTTCCCCACCATTTGCCACCCCTGCACCTCTTCTTTTTCTGTCCATAGAGGCTGAGTTATGCTTGCTGTGACTTAAGTCCCTCCACAGGGTGCCTCCGGGGCCCTTCACAATAGCTGTGCGTCCTTTCAGAGTGAGGTCAGCATTTTCTGGCATGTCCACAGTCTGATTGCTGAGAAGGGTCTTCATCCTCACACTGCAGCAAAGTGACTCAAGACAATATTTCTGCTGATGTTGTTCACAAAAAGGTGGATGAGTACTCAGCAAAAATAGCTTGGCTTGTTTTTCTTTTATAATTAAGTCAAAATTACATACTCTTTGAGGATCACAGATTTATTACAATTCAACAGTGGCCAGAATCAATTTGATAGAGTCACTAAAACTTAGTCATTACATGTTAAGTTTATAAACAGATAAGAATTCATATACTTTTTATTAGTACTATATCTCAATATCAGGTCTATCAACAAATGCAGTCTAACTTTTAAACAATATATTCTTACCTAATAGAATCTTTTAATCTGCAGATTAAGATATTAGCCAAATCATACCTTCCAAAATAAAATGATAGATACACACACACACACACACACACACACACAGAGTTTTCATTTATTTATTAAAATTCACTTAGCCAAGTGTATGAATATATTCGACTCTTCCAAATTTTGTTTCTGAAGTGAAACAAAATATACACATTCACTTCAGAGAGAGAGAGAGAGAAACCATCTTGTGTTTAGTGAATTGTTACAATCAACTTATATTTTATGTAGGATATACAAATATATAAATACCAGTTTTTGTTTTAAAATACCATATCAATGAGTCATAAGATTGCATGTGCACAGTTTTGTTTTTTTGGGTACTTATGTTAACGTGATTATAACTTACAGATCATCAGGACAATTTCTTGGCGGCTCCAGTCTCCCTCCTGTTTGCACATAGTTTAGAACGTCAAGGTTAGAATGAGTTGGATAAGGCTGATGACCAAGAGTTAAAATCTCCCAAGTCAGAATTCCAAAAGACCTAGGATATTAGAGAGTTTGCTTTAATTATACGTATTACAAACCTCATGTTTACAGAAGTTTCTCCAACATAATATTCCTGGGGTAATAAGGCTATACTTTGTGATTGGAATGATGGGCTCCATAAAAGGCAAATGGGAGACTTAAAAGCAAGTTGATCACAAGAAAGGGTAGAACAAGCAACTGCCCACCAGCAACACTTCAAAGGCTATAGGAAGGCTCAGTCGGGACACACACACACACACACACACACACACACACACACACACACACACTGCTCCTTTTTTCTGGCTGAACCTGAGCTGCAGATCTCCATTATGCAGACATACTTAGGGGTGAGTGAGAAAACATTTCAGCTTTTCTTTTCTGAGCTTGAGTGCTAGTAAATGTAAAGAGGGAAAGCAAGAATCAAAACAGGTAGCACTGAAGACCAATTTTATCTCATCCCGAATTGGGCCTAGGACCAGTTCAGCTTAAAAGTTGTTGAACAAATCTTTCTGTTTTGAGCAGCACCCGTCAGAAGTTTGAGGTCAACCGCAAAAATAAGGGGTCCCATTCATACGCTAAAGAGATTTCCAAACCTCCTCAATGTCTTAATGTTTTTGAGATCTTTGATTTAAAGTTTGCTTTAATGACCAAACATCTCTAAATAGTAGGCATTTAAACACATAGGTAGACATTAATGTTTAGGTACCAATTCCTATTAGCCAAAGTTTCTACACTTTGGAGGAGTAGTAAAATATCTGAAGTAAATGAAGCTATTCCACATACACTAGTAAGATCAAGGATTGAAACTAATTGGAGGGGGGATGAGACCCAGGAATAGCTCCACCTTGGACATCAGCTTTCACTTTAACTTAAGGCAAATGACAGCCTCTCTGCTCTTCTGTTTTCTCATATTAAAAAGAAAAAAGAAAGAGATTAGGAGATCTCTTTAAAAAAAGACTTCCCCTGAAGATATGTTTATTGATTTGAGAGAGAGGAAGTGGTGAGGGGAGACAGAAACGTCAATATGAGAGAAACATAGGTTGCCTCCCACACTTACCCCTATTGGGGATCAAACATGCAATGTAGGTATGTGTGGGTCTAACCGACAACCTTTTGGTGTACAGCCCACTGAGCCACCTGACCAGGACCAGAAGACCTTTAAGATCCCTTTGGGCTCTGACATTGGATGGTTCTGCCCACATTTTTCTGTGTCCTATTGAGCTCACCATACATCAGACTGCGTAGTGAAGATTCCATCCATCAAACTTTCTGGAGCCATCCACCGAACAGGGAGAAGGCCCTCTCCTCTCTTTCTATAGTAATCATTTTTATAGATGTCCCTCGCAAGTCCAAAGTCCCCAATCTTCACTGTCCGTGATGGGCTGCTATAGTCATTCACAGAGACAAGGCAATTCCGAGCTGCGAGATCCCTATGGCAGAAGCTCTATTTAGTAATAAGAATAATAATAAAGTTCCAGAGATCAGACAAGTAATAGTAGTAGGTCTGTAGAGAAGGGAGACTTCTTTTTGTAGAATTATTGCTATTTTGAAGGAATAAAAATGTTTAATTATTTTCTATGTTTTACCCAAACTGGAGATGTCTATTGTGCTAATAACCACAAGAACCTTGTATCCAGGATATTACTGTACCTGTGAATAAAGTGCAGTTGCTCCAAGTAGACACAGCCTTTTGCAATATCTACAGACAGGTCTACAAGATCAACCAAAGTGAGTAAAGGACCATGAAACTGTAAGAAATGAAAGAAAGATTACAGGCACTTTTTCAGTTTACACAAAATACACACACATATGTGTGTGTATAAAGAGCTACATATATCTGCATGCACACACACGTGATTCAAAGAAATGATCAGTTATGGTTACAAGAATTCTAAACCAAGAGGAAAAGAACTAAGTGTACATGTTTCCTACCCAAATACAGAGAAATCAGGCTGCAGTTAGTAAGCAGAGGCAATAATGGGACCTCATTGGAAACAGGGTGCTAGTTCTGCCAGACCAAGGCTTGAAACTTAGTTCTGCTACTTACTGTTGCGTGAATGTGCTCACTTTGCTTTATTCACTCAGCAACTTTCTCACAGGTGTAATGGAAACAATAGACCTGACTTCATAAGATTTGAGATAAGATATATAATCTGGCTGGTATTTAAAAAAGCTCTGAATAAACAGTAGCTGCTCTCGTAGTAGCAATAATGATGGTTCAATCAGCACTCACCAGTGTAATTATTGGCCCAATGTCACACCATAATGTCAGTCATGACATTGGGCTTATTCCTCGTATGAGATCCATATAAATTGTTAGCAGCACAGATCCTGTTTCAAGGTCATGGATGACTCCTCTTATCTAAGGGAGCCAGCACAAAGAAATTGAGCCTGAACTGGCTACAATGATTTCTACATGAAACAATCAAACAAACGAACAAAAAGCCAGTTCAAGTTCTTGTTAGTACCATATGGAAAAAACTCAAGGTCTTGCAAAGACACTATATATACACATACTCTCTGTCCCTTGACATTTCCCTGAAGTTACCCTGGTTCAGGCCTTCATCATCCCTGTCTGACTCATCCCAAACGGACCATGTCTCCAGCCTCCTGTGCTTTAATTAGCTCATTCCACTGCGACCCACAGCCTGTAGGATTCAGGACAGATTCCCGAGCACAGCCTCCATGGCAGCGCCAGGCTGCACCGGCCTCTCTGTATGTCCATTTATTTCCCATAGTTTCTCCTCTCACAGTCTGTGCTTTGGTCACACTAGGACACTACAGTTTTTTATACTTTCTCTGCATTTCTCAACCTTTCTTCTATAGTCCTGCTAGCCTAGAATGCCTTCCCTAGTCCTAATTTCTATTCATATCCTTCACTGAGCATCTATAATGGTTCCCAACCTTGATATCCCTCAATGTCTCATAGACAGGTGTTCTTAAGTGCTGCTCCCTCTGCATCCCCAGCTACCTTATGTCTTTTCCCCAAAGGAAGAAGAATCCTGATATTCTGGGACTTAACATTGCCATGGTCCCATTCAACCACACCTAGGTCTGATAACCAGGGCAGAACTTATTGCCAACAATCAGTCCCCTTGAAGCCCTGTTCAGGTCCACTAGATGCCAATCTCATGGCCTGTGTGTGTTTGAGTATCCACTGTGAATGGAGCTCTGCTTTGCTCTTGGCAAAACCTGTCCCGCTTGTGAAGACTGTCTTTGCAAGAGAATCCTGCTCCTGAACTTTAGTCTGGTGCCTAGCGCCCTGCTGACAGATTTTCAGAATGCTGCCTGCCTGCCTGGATTTCTAAATATCATTTGCTCCTGAGAGCCTATGTGACAACTCATTGGGAGACCTCATCAGCCCTAGTTGAGTTTCCTTGATTCCAGATGCTACCCTGGGTTACCATGTATCATTTCTTGCTAAAACATCTAAAACATTGAACTTCTATCCAGGTCTCTCCTTGGTCAAAGCCTTTCAAAACTCAGTCTTAGCTGGTGTGTCTCAGTGGATTGAGTGCCAGCCTGCAAACCAAAAGTTCATTGGTTCGATTCCCGGTCAGGGCATATGCCTGGGTTGCAGGCCAGGTATCCAGTAGGGGACACTCGAGAGGCAACAACACATTGATGTTTCTTTCTTTTTTTCTCCCTCCCTTGCCCTCTCTCTAGAAATAAATAAATAAAGTCATTTAAAAAAAATTAAAAAGTCTTCCAAAACTCATGCTACTATAGTTTCAGAAAGCTTTCTGTCTCCCACCTTAGTTGCTTCTTCTCCACAAAGTCTTTCCAGGACTCCGCAGTTGGAAATCATCCTTCTCTGCTCTGTGCTTCAGCAGTATATTCTCTGCGCCACTCAAATGGGCCCTCCCACTTTCCACCTTAAATGGGTTGTGTCTATGTGACATACTTCCCTACCACGTGGTAAGATCCCTGAAAAGCCATATTCTTCACAGTTGCACCCTAACCATCCCACAAAGATTTGATGAATTATATTGTTTCTGGATATATGTTTGTACTATTTTGATAGCCTGGTTTTGTCTATTTGTTTTTACTTTTTTCTATCTTAACACAATCTTGGAATATCAAAGCTAAAGGTAACCTGAGAAAGTTTTTAATTTAATATTCTATTTTATACATGCAGAAACTAAGATCCTGAAAATAAAGGACTAGACTAACAATCTCAGTTTAGGGAAAAGGAGAAGGATGTTTGTCATAGTTCTTCTGGAATGTGCATCAGAGCACTCACTCTCTGTGGACAGATGACTGGCCAAATGAACTCAGCATGATGAGGGCTTAGAGCCTGTGGTGGTCCACTGAGGGCCCTCATTCCAGCACTGAGCACCTGACAGCACCCCATCCTCTGTGGCTGGAACAAGGGGGACGAAGCCTGGAAGCTGTCCTAGGCAGCTGGCAGGAAGGTGGTAGGAGAACTGAATGTACTTGAGGACTAGTCATTACAATCATTAGGGCCCTGGATGTATAGGAAGAGTTTGGAAAAATTGGATTCATGTTTTCTTCTAGTCCACCTTCACCCTCTCTTCTCGCCTCAAAAAATAAAACCTTAAAAATGTCTACAGATACATTTTCTTGTTAAAGACAGAGGACTGGTGCATTTTTAGTTCCACTAACTCCCCAAACCTTACTAAAATGACAGTCAAAGGGAAATTTTTATAATCTCACAAGGGCAAATAGATCAGGTGACTAGACACAAAACAACAAAACATGGTAGAACAGGTAAAGCAGGTGGGGCAGAAATTCAGCAGGTAGGTTGAAAGCTGACTACCTGCAGAAGAAAAAGATAGAGTTAAGCTGTCCTTCACTATAGAACCCCATAAAGGCTCTGGAATTGGAGGTAGCAAGCATTTCTGAATGCTGGTGTGAGGCCAGGACTCAAGGCAAGAGGAATATTTAAAAGTTTATGTCAAGGGCCAACTAGAACCTAGATGTCACCAGTGTAGCTGGAGGCTTTCCTCTGAGATAAACATACACACGTACACTCACATACAGTGAACAAGAATACATCAAGTTCAAAAATACCAAACATACTAAGGTGCTCTGTTGAAAATGAAGAGAGAAATTAAACAAGCATCCACATAGTGAGCCTTAAGACTCTCTGCCTCCTCTCTCCTGACTCCCCAAATGGAGGCTCAGTCTTTATTGTCTGGACTGGAGACCCTCCAATTCTTCTCTGGTGAAGCTGGGCATATGCCAGGGAAAACATCCAGATGCTGTCATTAGGGGACACCGAACAGGACAACTGAGTCCCACCTGACAGCCCAAAGGAAGTTTCTACAGACACACAGGTTCCAATCAGCTATTAAATATGAAGGCCTCACTATTAAGTATGAAGATCAGGCACAGTTTGACAAACATTTGAGAAAATCTCACATTACAAACAGATCCTAGAACAAAAAAGAAAGGAGAAAATCAGGATGATGCAGAAACCAAATTAACTGTTTAAAAAATATAATTAGCATCGTAGGAAAAATAAGAGAAGGTTTTGCATGTATGAGGGAAAAAACAGATAATTATTTTAAGATGTGCTCAAAATATAGGGTCGAGAAGAACTGAGACTTGCTTGAGCTTGGTGGGTAGGGTAATAACATAGGTGTAATAATGTATAGTTTTAACTTGAACATTTCACCTAAAATGTCATATGGTGTGCTTGAGCGTAATATTGTTATGTTACAGAATTACATGCTTATGATTTTGTAATAAAAGATTTTGTAATAAAAAGGGACATTACTTGTGCTGGACTCTGTATAAGAATGGGTTTGTAAAAATTAAAATTTTAAACTCTATAAAGTAGTTTAAACTCTATAAAATAGATTCTGGTAAACTTCCAGAATCGAGAGCAAAAGGACAAAGAGTTAGAAAATAGGAGAGAGCAGCTAATTTAAAAAAATGATAAAACAAAACTGTCCATTATTCAACTAAGAAGACTTCTCGAACAAGGAAATAGAGGGAACAAAGAGATATTTTTAATCAAAGAAATAAAATGAAAAAGATCCCAGGGTTGAAGGGAATGATTTTCCAGGATGAGTACTGAGATGTGTATGAAATACCACAGATAAGAAGTTCCTAAAATTTTCCAAAGAGGAGGGGCAAAACCAAGGTCACTTATCATAAGTCTGGGAACCAGAATGACAAAAGACTTCTTAAAGGCAATTGTGAAAGCAAGAAAACAAAGATGGAGTGGATTTATTTTTGAGAATAAAGGGTTTTCAACCTAGAATTAACCAAATTATGAATCTCATGTGAGGGAAGAATAAAGGACATTTTTCTCACAAAGAAAAAGAAAAAAAGGCAATTATAGCCTCCTACACATGTTTTCTCTTTTCTAAAACAACAAAGAAGTCATGAAACAGAGGAAACAAAGGTTCAATATGGAAAATACCAGGGTAAACATGAAGGAAACCCCTAGGATAACAACTGTGTAGGCAGCCGAGGACAAGCACCCTCATTGGCCCAGGAGGGAAGTGCCCGAGAAAAAAAATTGTTACATGCTGGATTATCTGAAATATTTAATCATCTTGAAGAAAGTATTACAATTCTGTTAGGAAGTTTAGGTATATAGAAAACTAAGCAAATACCAAAGAAGACACATTTATTAAAGTAGCATAAGGAAAAAACACAAACATAGCACTTGAATAATTCTGCTGCAAATGATAGTTAAGTAGTCATAGTAATGTAAATCTGCAATACTGACATATCTGACAATTGTAATACTGTTGGGGGATGGAGGAACAAACTGTGTAGAGTTGGTGGGGTGTGGGCTGGTACAGAAGTAAGTCTGAAAGAGTTAAATCCTCATCCTTCATCGTAGGCGGTCAATAATTTCCTTCAAGGTTGATAATCAGTTGTGCAGTGTTACCAGAGTATTTAGGAGCCTGGAGGTAAGTACCAGAGAAACATGTAGCAGCTGCCTGGGATATGAGGACAATATAAAGCATGGGAAGAGATAGTGAAAAACTCCTGTTTTTTACAATATATAAACTTTGTCATGTATCTAAATTTGTTAGCTATATAATGTACTTTGATATAAATGAAAACCAATTTTTTTTAATCTACAGATTTAAATTTTAGTCTCTTGTCTCCTGTGTTTCTCATCCGAGGTTTAATGTAGGTTCCCTAGGTGCTGTCACCTCCCCACCCCTCAGGAATCCCCACGGTGCCAGGCAGTGCTCCAGGTACTGGAGGGAGAGCAGGAGGGATTGGGGCTGCATCTTGCGGGCAGAACTGCAGAGCCAACAGGCCCTGTCAGTGTGGTTGTAGGAAAAAAGAAAGCAAAAAGTTGGGTGGATGGCATGGAGGAGAGTGTATGACATCAAGAATCTTTTTTTGCCCCAAATTAGTTTCAGCTGCCTATTAAAATCCAAACAGATATGTCAACTGGGTGGGGACATATAAGTCTAGTAAAGACATAAAGACATATCAGTTTGGAATAGATAGACATAAGGTATAGAGAAAGATGTGCCTTTTTCAACTTCACACAATCTCTGTTTCCAGAAAACATAATTCTGGCAGCGAAGGACCTATTTTCCTGTTAAACAGGCTCAAATAACCAGAAAATGACAGAAATTTGTCCAAGGTGCTAATTGTCCTAATCCAACATGAAGGATATTTCTTTCCAAGGAAGTCTTCTAAAGTTCTCCCATTGGCCAAAACTGCAGTCTATTGAATTTAAAGAAAATTAATAGGACATTATAGGACATTTCCATTACAAAACCAATACTGAGAACCTTATTTCCCACCTTTGTCATCCGGGCTTTACGCAAATAGGTGAGGAGGTCTCCTCCTTCCATCAGTTCCAGGATAATGTACTGGGGTTCATTCAGCAGACAAACTCCAAGCTGCTTCAGGATGTTGGGATGATTAAACTTGCTAAACGGCGGAAAGACACAGGCGGAATGATGTGATAGCAACAGAAGTCCTCACTGAGGGGCTTTACGGACTAGAGCAATTGCTTATCTAGAGTTTCCATCAAAAACCCTGATTTTTTTTCCTCTGATAAATGAAAGCCTCCTTTTTCAAGGGTTGTTCTGTGTTCTTGCCTTGCAGAGGTAAAACGGCAACCTCTAGTGGCCAGTGCATATGGATAGAATAGGGTGAGTTTTAGAAGAAATCATGTTTATATTAAAGCATTTTGTGTTTTGGAAAAGAAAGTAATTTTAACCAGTTTCCTTCTTCAAAAGATATTTGAAAACTTTATGTTTTGGGGCTTCACAAGTATGAAATGTTATTCTTTCTTTCTTAGAATAACAATTCAGACAGGCAGGTTTGGTTCCCACTGTTTTCTCAAGACGTCAAAGCAAGTAAACCTTAGTCTAATACCTAGAGCCCACAGCTCAGGACCACTGCCTCAGATCTTCCCGTTAAGATGTCTTTGAACAGCTTTTTTGTCCAACAAGTAACTCTAACATCGAAGATAAATTTATCAAGACAAGGGATATTTTCATCGGCACCATTATATTCAAGAGAACTTTCACTCAGTCTACTTCAACCGTTATCATACATTTAAAAGAACATAAACATGTCTAAAGCCGAACAGCTTCAGAAGACACTTGTAAAACACACTTCTTGTTGAAGGTGAAGGGAAGGAAGACCTTTTGCCTGAGGACAGCCTGTGCCCAGGCTTGGAAGACTGGCTTCTTTAGAATACTTGTCATTACAGACATACTTCTATTTCAACTTCAGCCATGATCATTTTGGGCATGATTTATTATATCAGATGATTTTGAATTGTTAAAAGTCTACCAACCAGATGTAGACAATTGTACTTGAACAAGAATAAAATTTTTTTTTAAAAAGTCTACCAACCAGATGTAAAAGCTTCCTACCCATACCAAGGGAACATTATTTCAGAGCTGCCCTGATACCTCATCAAATGTGCTTCCTTCAGGAACTCGATCTTCTCCTGGTCTGTGGAGCCCTTCTTCAAAGTCTGTGCAACATAAAAACAAGCCAGGAATCAGCACAGGAGAACTTTCTGTGAGCTCAGTGGGTTAATGGAGATAATCTTTGCTTTGTTTTGTAATATATACCCTGAAAGTTCGAAATAGGTAATGGATAATGAATGTGTATTGCTGTATAAACTATTCAAAAGATAACTTCTGTTATTGAAAGTATTTAAGTAGAAAAATCTGTTAAAAGGCCTAGTAATATTTATACAAAGTCCCTCCAAAATGTAGAAATTTTAAAAAGAGATCAAATTTGACATTTAAGCTAATTTCTTTTTTTCTTTTTGTTTTTCTTTCTTTGTCCTCACTCGAGGACATGTTTATTGATTTCTAGAGAGAGGGGGAAGGGACAGAGAGAGAGAGGGAAAGAAACATCAATGTGAAAAGGAAACATTGATCAGTTGCCTTTCATATGTGCCCTGATGAGGGACAGAACCCATAACCCAGGCATGTGCCCTGACCAGGAATCGAACACGTGACCTTTTGGTATAACGGGATGATGCTGCGACTAATTTGAGTCACAGTAGCCAGGGCTAAGTTAATTTCTTAATTTTCAAAATTTTCTACTCAATAACTGTTTCCCCACCTTTCTTGTTGACAATATTGTAATTTGTTTCTCAGAGGCATGGTGCCCAGTCCCTGACAATTGATCTGAGATAATTATGAAAATCATGTTCTGCAATTCTTCAGCCTCCCTTGTAAATATGGTTCAGTTCTGGTCAAAGAACGTTCTGACCTGAACAGAAATTCAATGCCTGACTTTTCAGCAACCACCTTGGGACCATGAGGCAACACATATGTACAGAGTCAGGAGAATTTCAGATGTACTGGCACTGCATTAAAGGCAGCAGTCATCCGGTTACATGAGAAAAATAAACATTTATTTAAACCAGTTGAGAGAATCTTGCCAACCCTTCTGGTTGTATAGCCCACCCTCAAAGCAACAAATTCCTAACAAGCTGTGGTCAGGGTATTGCTCAATTACATAAAAGATTCATCATCTCTCAATCAAAAGCAAGCTTTACAAAAATCTGAGAATATATCCAAGTGCTTCCTTAAAACCACATCAAACATACGTGGTGAATAATTGTGTAGCACAGGTCAGCAAAATATAGCCTGGGGAACAATTCCACCCTGCCACCTATTTTTGTATAGCTGGCAATTTGAAAATAATTGTGACATTTATATTTTATTTTATTTTTTCTAGCTTTATTGAACTATAATTGACATGTTACATTTCAAATGGTTGAAAAAAGTTAAAAAATAGTACTATTTTATTACACATAAAATTATATGATATTCAAACTTCAGTTTTCACAAATAAAGTTTAAATGGAACATAACCACCCTCAGTGGTTTACAAACTGACTATGGCAAATTTGCAATTGACATGAGGTGGTCACAAGCCTAAAATATTCACAATCTGCCCTACTACCTAGGACCTTGAGAAGGTGCTTAACAACCTTACTTCTTTATAGTGTATTTGAAGGGAAAAACTGCTGGGTGTTAACTAATCAGAAACCATAGAGGTTACTATTAATTTCAGAGCTCATGTAGGAAGTGGAAGAAAAATGTGATTTCTATAGCCATAAATAGGCTCCTACCTTCTACTAGTTCTCTTTTCAATTAATATTATCCATCTTTTATTATAGTTGCACCCATGTAAATCCATGTAAATGTGCAAACAACATGTCAAGCAGTTAAAGATTCACATTACCTTCACTGCTACTTTGGTTTCTCCACTTCCAGCTCCTAAGATGTCTACTGCTGTCCCTTCATACACTTCTCCAAAGGCCCCACTTCCCAACAAGAGACGCAGAGTTAGTTTCTCCCGAGGAAAAGCAGGAAGACTTTCAATCTCCTCTTGCGTTGGAAGAGTACTAGAAAATAACAATATTTTTCATCTCCCAAAATACATAGTTTGAAAGTTGGTGTTGGTGTTAGTGTTTGAGAGAGTATGAGGAAGAAATGTCATGGCTTTACAACACTGCAGTGCATTCTATGTGATACAGTGATGCAGCATTTTGTGTTCCTCTTCCTTCCCTATTCCATCACCCAGAATATTCCTTCCTTATTCTAAAACCCATACAGATCATGTCACTTTGTTTCTAAACACCTTCATTGTGATAGAAACATGCCCATGTGCGTATTGCTCCAAGGTTTTTTGGTTTTTTTGTTTTTTGGGGTTTTTCTTGCTGTAGCTTGTTTTGTTGCAGTTATCAATTATTAACTTTTTCAGGTCACCAATTTGTGTAAAAAACTATCGTAAATTAGTAATAAATACATCTGGGTTTATGAGCTAAAAGACATTTACTTTAACAATTTCACACACCTGGTCTCTTACATAAAACAAATTTACTATCATGACAAAAATCAACTTCATTTCCATCAGGTTAACTTTTATAAAGCCAAGCTTCTCACTTGGAATATTATGAGGGAAAAAATGCATCTGCATTTAAAATGCTTTGAATTTTTAAAAGAGAACCTTCAATGTTGGATATGCTGAGTATTTTTCTCGAGGAAAAGTCACCTCTGAGTAGCTAATTTAGATCATCTCTGTGTCTACTCCAAATCCTTCATTTTTATTTCTTGAGTTACAAATTTCAAGGCCTATGACTATATAATCTCCTTGTGCATAGACCATATAATACAATGTCTTGTATAAAAAGACATTTAAATATTTTCTTTAATTATCATGATAACAGAAGTTCAAAGTACACCTATCTTAGAGAACTTTTGAAGCCAACCACCATGCAACTTCTGAAAACAGAATTAGACTGAATTAATAGCGCGCGCCCACAAGACTCCTGAAATTCCTCTCTCCCAGATGCCGCCAGCTGAACCAACCATGTTTCCATCTGCTTTCTTCAATGTGATATTTATTTCCGTGTTTCATTTATTTTTGAACTATGTGATAAGACACTGGAAAACAACTGATGTTTGCTGATTTTCCTTAGGAAGGCAGAACGTTGTCATTTGCCCCCAGGCCACATTTGAGGCTAGAAGGGTGTGTTGCTAATGATCATGCCAGAAGTGGGGGCGTACACCAGGGTAACCCCGCCCGCTCTCCCTCTCGCAACCCCAAGCTGACGGCCCCTGTTACGCACCGTATTGCACAGCAGCCATTAGCCAGTCCCACTGCCGCCGCCAGACCTCGTAGCTCAGCCAGCTCTTTGTCTTCGTTTATGAAAACTGTCAGCCCTTCCTTGGGAGTTTTTTGATCCTTTAATCTTCTATGCCAGACTATAAAGAAAAACAGACATCATTTACAAAATAAAGCACTGCTTCTTTTTCCCTTTAGGATATGTTAACAATACATTTTAAGCATTTATCTATAAGAACATCACTGGTAAATAACTGAATTTGATTGAAAAATATGCCCATAATAAAAAAAACTAATCAGCCGTGGCCAGTGCGGCTCAGTAGGTTGGAGTGTCATCCCATAAATCTAAAGGTATCAGGCTCAATTCACGGTTAGGGCAGGTGCCTAGGTTGTGTGTTCAGTCCCTGGTCGAGAAGCACTGGGAGGCAACCCATCGATGTTTCTCTCTCACATCTCTGTTTCTCTCCTTCCTTTCCCCTTTCTCTAAAATCAACAAGTGTGTCCTCAAGTGAGGATTTTTAAAAAAATGTTTTAATTTAATTGAATCTATGTACAAAGTCACAGAGAAACACATAGCTGATACTACCTCACTTTTCATTTCATATCATAGTAATATTTAATATATTTCTTATTGCTATTGCAAACAAGTTGAATTATCTTAATATCAGAATTTAGTTTCAAAACCACCCATAAACCAAACTCAAACCAAAACATACTTGCATAATAATTATTAGTGAGACAAATTCATTTCTGAATCCAGATATGTCCAGGTTATACTCCTCAGTAGAGCTGAGGAGTGCTTTCAATATAATTAATGATTATAATGGCATGCTTTGTTTACATGCAGAGTACAACAATGCAGAGTGTATATTCCATTGTTGTTCCATATATACATATTCAAATACACACCAAATGTTAGTTGTGGTCCTCCCTAGTTGAGAAATCATGGGTGATTTGTATTGCCTTCTTCATACAATAAGCAAATATTTTTATAATCATACAAAATAAATGATATTTTAAAGATTAAAATACAATTATGTCAATAAGAGCATTCATCTATCTTAAAATCTTGGCTAAGAAGCTGAAAACAGCAAAGATGTTTTGTTAGATGATCATGAAAATTTGAACCTTATTGCACAGTACCTTCTGTATTCAACAGGTTAGAGTTTTATTCGGGTGAAATTCCATCTAAGGCACCAAACAAGGATAGATCTTAAATACTTTTGTTAATGTAATTTTTCAAACCCAAAATGCTGTCATTACTCCTCTTCACTATTAAAGGCCCAGGATAATGTCCCCCATCTTCAGTGACATCTTCTTCTGAGACTTCTGCAACCTCTACTGATCTCTCATCTCAGAACGTATAAGACTAATTGTGGCTCTTGGCACTTCTATGTCACTGTCTTATGTATTTCATGTACCACTCACTGCCTTTTATTGCTGCTTAACACATATATCTCTATTTATCTTTTCACACAGGTAGATCTTACCTCCTGCTTTAAATGGCAAGCTCCCGAAGCTGGTATTTTACTGTGTTACCTTTCCCTCTGCTCCCAGCATATGGCTAATGTTGCACACAAGATGTAACTACTCCCCACAGCAAAGGCTGTCAATGCTTATTTTTAAACCCTTGTTTCAACTTTATATTTATAAGTATGACTGATGAGAGAGCCCTCGGCACACTACAAATTTTAAAATAATTCTACTTTTCGTTATTTTAATAACTCCGTCTTTTCTCATGTACTTATGCACCCCTACTAGTAAAACCACATGCACTGCTCCTAAACAACCAGATTAGCTTATCTATACTGAGAAATCTGTGAGTTCCAAACAGAATAAAGACCTTTAAGTCCTGAGAAAGCCAGATATCCAAGGGATGTCTTGAAAGCACAATAGGTTGTCTGAAATTATCTCATGTTCATCCACTAAAGTTATGAGTTTAAACAATGGTGATGTACAAGTAGACAAGCAAAGGTCAGATGGAAGATTCTTCATGTACTACTCCTTCTCAGTAGGAAAGCAGACAAGCAGTCAAGCCTATATGCCAGCTGCCAAATATACTGCAGTCATACGCGTAACTCTGGAGGGGCTGGCTTAGCGACACAAACATCAGCTGTGCAATACTTAGACTCCCTGGAACCACAGGTTAATATCCTGTCAGGGTCAGCTGAAATTTTTAGCTTTCCAAGTTAGCAGAAGGAGTTCCATGTCTTATATGTGTGGAATCTATGAAAAGAAATCTCAATTCAAGTTCTGGCATGCTCTCCAATAGCTTATGATTCTAACCGGTTTGGAGAAAAATAAAAATTTAGAACATTTAGTGAAATATTGGCTTTCTTTATCCTGAGAGACTTCAGCTTTATGTTTGTAACTTTTCCTTAAATGTTCTCTTCTAACTTTTCCTTATTGATGAAAAAAATAGGCCACAATTTTCTGAATAGGTATATGAGTGTTCTTTTATGGTAAACATCATGTTTTTCTTGTAATGTTTCAGCATGTCAGGGACTCCTGATATGAATAATGATAGGGTGACCATACATCTTATAAACCAAACCAAGACATTTTAGGGACTGAAAGGAAGTACTACTGATGTATATGCTGCAACAGGAATGAACCAGGATGTTCATGAGCATGACAATAACATTATAGGCCCAATATTTGACCAACCTCTTTGGAGTTGTCACTGTATTTTCTCACGATTAAACTAAATCTTCACAGACAAAAACTTTTAGGGCGAGCACATCAGTATAGAATGAATAGTGGGAAAGAGCCAGTTTTCTCTCCACCTAACCTAATTCTTCTGTTTTTCTGATCATTTATAAATGAGCAGGGATTTGAAATAAGCAAGTTAGACATCTGAAAGTAAGAGCAGACCCTACAAACCAGAAACGGATCTTCTGCAAAAGAGGCCCTGCTCATTCCAAACCGGGCCATCTGCCTGGAAACCCAAACTATCCCAACCAAGAATTTCCTCTGGTCTTGCATTAATCTTACTCTTTAAAAAAATATGCCCAGAGCATTTTTTAAATTTATTTCAAACTATAAGCCACAAGATACTTGTTACATAGTCAATCAGAAACAAATACTGTTTTAAAGAAAGCTCAAATAAGTGTTCTTGCAAGTAGTTTTATATAAAATATACCATGAAGTGGTAATGTAGATATATATTATTCATAATACAGTTATTCTTATATCCAGAAAACAATTCACACAATATAATGGTTATGAAAGTATAGCCAAAGATAACATTGTCAATTTTATAAATTTATTTCATGTGGAAGATTAAATAAACTAAGAGATAAATCAATTAGTGTAACCAAGTAAATAATTTATTACCTATGAAAAAATCTTTTTTACTTACCATAGACCAATGGAATTGTAACAACCAGAAATATTCCAATTATGATAGTAAGTATAAAACTTGTTTCTGGTATCCAAAAACCATCTAATTAAATAAATGAGAAAATGAAATTAATTCATAGGATAGTCCAGGTAGTCTGCCTGATATATCAGAACTAGATCCTATGATATTTTAGGAGCCAATTTAACCATGGAGCTTGAAATCATATCTATGGTGATAGTATTTACACCATTGGAAATAAAACTCAATGTTTTATACATTTTTTTTCCAGAGAGCCAGTTTACCAATACATCATAAGGACGTACCCACTAAGGTTTCTCCCTTAAAGTGACTGAGAAAACATGTATAATCCTTTTAATGAATTTGGGACAAAGAAGTATCAGTCTTTAAATATATAGTCAGGATTATTATTGCTCTATAACACTTTTATATGCATTTAGTCCCATAGGTATTAAATTGAAGAATATAAACAAGAGAACTTGGTAACTTCTCTTAAATAGTTTCAGTTGAGAAGAGATAAACATGAGCTTGGCAAACTATGGCTTGTGGGCTAAATCTGGCCACAGCCTGATTCTGTACTGCCCATGAGCTAAGAATGATTTTTAAAGTGTTATTAAAAAAAGAAAGGAAAGAAGAAGAAAAATATGCTACAGAGATCAGATGCAGCCTGCAAAGCCTAAAATATTTACTATTTTATTCTTTTCAGAAAAAGTTGTCTGGACTCTTATCCAGATAACTAACTATAATTTTAAAAAAAATAATAATGAAAGTTTTATATAAAATATTGGGCTGTGTGTTTGTAAAGTGCAATTACTTATTTGCCTAAGTATTATCAGTTAAACATCATGATGGGTTCATTTAAATTAGGCCTTGAAGGATGAGAAAAATTTCAGTGGACATAAAGTGAGGGAAAGGAAATGCCAGGTATTGGGATGAATAGTGGGTTGCGGGAGACTGCATTCCAGGCTGATGAAAACAGGCTGAAGACCCAGTGTCTCAAAAGCTTTTTAACAATCTACTAGGGGCTACCAAATAGGGATAAACACCGGAAGAGATAAACCACAAATGCAGGACAAATCACAGAAGGCCTTAAATGCCACATGGAAGTTTGTAGATGGTCCTGAAGGCAGTGAATGGAGAGCCATTTTGGGCACTTCAGAGAGGGGTTAAGTGATCCAACTGTGCTTTGGCTAGATTAATTGTGAGATGTGATAAAGCCAAGATGACACCCAAAAAACAATAGGTTAAGTTTGGAAAGTCAAAGTGGAACTAGGAAGATGGGACCTCATCAGATAGAAATCAAGGATGGTAAATCAACAGAACCCAGTGACTGAGTAGAGGGAAAATAAAACATGGCACTGAGATTTCTAACCGATGTGATTAGAAAGATGATATACCATAGACTGAAATAGGACACACAGTGGAAGGTGTATATATTGGGAAAGAGACAAAGCATAGTTTTAGGCCTGCAGTATAGAAGATGGGAACAGAGTAATAAGGCTGGATAAGGACCAGACTCTGGACAGCCTTGGGAGTCTAAGTAGGAACATGGACTCGGTGAGATGGACTTTAAGGGGCAGCTGATTATTACTGGGAAGAAAAATGGCCATGATCTTGATCTTTTAAGAAGAACACATCAGATGAAATGAACAGTTCAGTACCTTGAATGATAAATTATAAAGTCACCCAATTTATTGCTAATGTTAAGAATGTACTCTCTTATCTCCGAACCTTTTGTAGTAAGTTAGTATGTAAACAGACATGGTAATATACCTCCAGCTAATAAAATATCCTCGCTGATTCCACTATATTCACCGAATCCCAGATTATTTGCAGCTACTACTCTGAACTGAAATGTTCCTTTAAGGTTTTTGGATTTCCATGTACAAATGCTACTGCAGGATCCATTAAATGCCATCTTCCACATTAAATTCTGGTTCAGTGAATCATTAGAAGTACCTTTTCTGCAAAAGAAAGAGCAAAGCCATGAATATAGAAAATATATGAAACAACATATGTGTTATTTCTAGATGCTCATAGATCATTTTAATGGCAGAACTCCAGGGCATGCCCAGTTGCACACGTTACCATTGATCTCATTCCTCTCACATTGTTTGGCCACAGAACATAGCATCATCTTATAAAGTCATCCCAGAAATGAATGGAATCAACCAATTGAGCCCATCATAAAAATAATGAATAATCAATGGCCAAGAGAACATTTAAGGATAGTAGCCTTTCCCTACTATCAGAATGTGTACACTTTCTTCAAGTTCCAAGCACGTAAGACAATTATTCTATAATTTTTAATTGGGGATTTTTTTATCCTAACTGAAGGACATGTGTATTGATTTTTAGAAAGAAGAGAAGGGAGGGGAAGAGAGACAGGGAGAGAAACATGGATGTGAGAAGCATTGATTGGCCACCCCTCACACATGCCCCAACTGGGACTGAACCCGCAACACAGGCTCTGCCTGGGAATGGAACCCATGACCTTTCAGTCTATGGGATGACACTCCAACCAACTGAGCCATACTGACCAGGGCTAACTGAACATTTTTTTTCTTACTTCTTAATCTTTATATCTGTAGTTTTCAAATACCATATCTAAAATAAAATACAAAATATAATATTGATAAAGAAGATGTAACAGCTCAGCTACCAAAATTACTATGTACGAGATTCCAATTTTTGTTGTTGCCATTTGTATTGGCCTACACTCACCTCAAAGTCAAAACACATCATTCTTCACATGAAACATGGAAAAAGCACACACAAGAGCTGGATGTAAAAGATATAATTGGAAAGGCTTTTAACAAAATCACAGACTGAAGGTCTTCCAGTTATGTTTTCTCTGACAAGAAGTCAGAAACTTTTCAGAACACAGCAGTTTTAGGAACTGGTGCCAACCTACAATAAGCACGGGGGTATGTTATAGAGGCCAGTTCTGCTCCTACTAACTGAGCAGCTATCCCAAAAGAGCAACAATGACAGCAAAGACTGAACCTGTTAGGGACTGGGGATGGGCAAGAACATCCAGAGGATCAGAGCAGCAGGTCTGGTCACAAGTAGCTCAATGTCCTAGGGACCATCCTGAGTAAAGCTTTATGATACAGTGTTTTTGTACAGTTTGTGAAGTCTCAAACAACTCTGACCCAAAAGAAAGAGACCCTTAAAAATTTGTAAAGTGGCTCTTCATAGCTACTGGCAACTGAGAAAGAGAAAGAATTCTGACATTGATTGATCACCTTGTATTTACAACACACCATATTCATGTTTTCCGTATGTCATTCCATTTCACTGTCTTCACAACAGCCTATAGAGATATAATTACCCCAGTTTGTGGATGAGAAAATTTAAGTTTAAAGTGGAGTAAAGCAAGGAGTTAAACATGGTCTATGTACTAAGTCAAAGAGGGACCCCCAAAATTCATGCCAACCCAGACCCTGTGAACATGACCTTGTTTAGAAAGAGGGCCTTGTCAGATGTAATCAAGCTAAAGAGATCATGTTGGATTAAGATAGGCTCAAACATAATGACCGATGCCACGTTCCCCTAAGAAGACAGAGATTTAGGCACAGACACACACACGGAGAGCACCATGCAATGACAGAGACAGAGGCTGGAGCGATGCATCTACAAGCCAAGGAACGCCAAGGACTGGCGCCAAACGCCAGAAGCTAAGAGGAGGCAGGGAAGGATTCTTCCCTAGGACCTTCAGAGGTGGCATGGTCCTGCCGACACCTTGATTTTAGACCTCTAGTCTCCAGAACTGTAAGAGAATAAATGTCTGTTGTTTTAAGCCATCCAGTGAGTGGTACTTTGTTGTGGCAGTCCTAGGAAATACAATCTGTTTAGCTCTCAAGTTCATGCACTTAGCACTAGCACTATCAAGTTGTACCAAGGGAGCAAGTACACAGGGTATACTAGAGTGTCCTGACTGAAGAAGTTATTTTGAGATACTACAGGTACAGCAATTCATATATTATCCCACAGATTCTGTCCTAGAAGTAGAGACTTGTGGCAAGGAAATGCAAAGTATTTATGGAGCAGTGCATTTAAGGTGTTACTGAGGGGAACACGCTAAAGGAGCCCTGCAAGACCATGGTGAGGGCTGACTGGTGAACACAATTGCAGTCACAGACCACCAAGACAGTACTGCAGGTCAGAATGTATTTCACTCTGCATAAAAAGCAGTAACAGAAATTTTAAGAAGGTTCCAGTTAGAAATACGGCTAACGCAATCTTCTGGCATGAGCAGGAAAAATTTTTTAAGGTTATGGGAATGCCAGAGCAAGATGTAGCAAAAATAGATCTAAAGCTCAAGTAGCCAGGACTATAATTATGGAAGTGACTTTTGTCCTTGGAGCTTCTTAAAAGATGGCTTCATAGTCCCGTGAGAGGCGTGTCTGTGGAATTTGGAATTCTCCCCTCATGTTGGCATTAAATCAGTTCATCTGAGCCAGTTATGATTCACAGAGCTCCTCATACTGGCGGGACCTGAGATTGCATGCGTTCATCAGCTGATACATTTTCATCAAAGACACATTTTCCCCAGGAACACACTGCAAAACCATAATCTTCACAGTGAATAAAAAGTCTGGCGTGACCTATGCCTGATTTTACATTCAGAAAAATACCTAGCTCATTGACAATTCTCGCTAGACATTATTCACCTCGCTAAAACAAATTAACATCAGAAATTTTTATGCATCCCATCATCTAACATTAAACATAGCTCAGCTTCTAGGACAGAATAGATATTAAATAAATAAAAGTTGCATGTGCCAACAAAGGAATTATTTTCATAAAGTTTTGACAAGCAGTTACAGATTTCTGAGAAGACTGGTGTGACCTGCTCATAACTGGAATGCCGAGGCTGGCTGCTCGGAAGTGAGCAAAGAATAGAATGATACATTCAAGGTCTTTAAACTAAAGATCTCTCATGTTTATTTATAAAGTACACATTGATAAACCTTGTTAATTTTGATCTAATAACACCTTACGATTAACTGCTTAGTTCTTTGTAGTTTACAAAGCACTTTTGCCAACATACTTACCTTATCTCAAGGATATAGTACATAAGTTGGCTTCCATTATCATCAGCTTTTTCCCACTGTACTGAATTTTTACTGCCTTCTAATAATTTTGGAATGCCTGGTTTACTTGGGACGCCAGCTTTGGAAACAAAAGAAAATACTAATTGATATGTGAGAAGTATAAAATATTCTGCACAACATATTTCTATAGACTATATTTTCTAGGAGGAAAGAGAAATACATTAAAGAAATGTTCAGAAATATTCTCACATGAGTGTAAATTTTTAAATGACTATTTGAAGTTTCTATTAGTGGTGGATCCTTGATAGGACTAACAATATATCTTAGCTTGATATGAAATAAGTGATACAAAAAGAAAATATTGTTAGTTTTGAAGCATTTTCCCTTGATTCTTGTAAGGGTCAACTTGGAGTTATGGCATACTTTTTAGAACACTAGTTAATTTAATGAGTACACTTTCAGATATTTTACCTTTAGCATGTGGATAGCAGTCAGAAAGTAAATATTGTAACATTGTTTTCATTTAGCTCTTACTGCAAAACATCATAGCTAGACAAGAAATCCGAATACTGAAAGGCAAAATTACTTTAGCCTGCTCAAGATCTTGCAAAAGCAGGTGAGTGTTATCTCGTTATTGTCTATAAGGACTCCTAACTCTTCCATTTCTTCACTCAAGTTTTAGAAATAGTGATTAATACTTTTTTAAGAAAAGTGTCAACTTCTAGGATTGGTGAAATAAGTGCTGAGAAAAGAATTGAGAAAACTTATAGGGTTTTCTGAGTTCTGTAATTACTCACCTTTTGTCTTAAAACTTTCTGAAAGTGAGGTGCTATTCTCTCCTGTGCTGTAAACCACCACTACGCGGACTTTGTATGAAGTATAAGGCTGTAGCTCCGTGACGTTACAGACATAAGCAGGACCTTGGCTGCATGAAGCTTTAACGCGGTAAAACTCATTGTACTTCCATCAGAAAGAGAAGACTAGATTAAGATTTTTTCTCTTTAAGAAAACCTTCTTAAACATAGAAATTCACAAATGAAGGCAAGAAGTTAAACTTTAAATAAAATTTATTTTATATTAAAATATAAGAGCTCCTTTGTGTTTGACCCCAAACATCATCCCTACCACTGACAGCCCTTTTCTCTTTTACAGCAAGCTATGACTGACCTGAATGGCAAGTTCTTAGGGTAAGTCCAAGGTGCGATATATACTTCTGACTACACTTCTGTCATTGGAGAAGATATAGAGCTTGACTTCTTTTCTCTGCATGTATATGTCTACACTAAATCAGGGTGGCTAAGAATACAATTATGGATCAAAATTAATTTCAATTCCACAGATTTATTAATTTCAAAATGATATTTTTACATGTTTTGATTCTATGAAGAAGTCCACAGTGAGTTATAGATTAAAACATTTAGGGTTTTTTTCCCCAAACTCTTTTCAGACATCTAACAAGCATTTCTTACTATTATATAAAAGACTAGATCCCCCAAAAAATAAAATTTTTGTCCATCATTATTTAGCCACTGAGTAGCAAGGTTAAAAGTTATATATAGGAAATCTTACTTTTCATTCCACTTTAGATACTCGGTCTCTAATTACACCTTTCTTAAACTTCTTTCTCTATGACATTACTTTTTTAAAAATCATGTATTTGGACCCTTAAGGTCATTATCTGAAAATGATTTTTTTTTCAATGTACAAATAGGAAAAGAATAGGATGTGGCATTTTGTCAAGGGTTCTTAGTGTATTTTCCCCAGTAGAGTGTCTTATGAAGGACATCTTCCATACATAAACTTTACTTTACATCTTATTTTTCATTTAGCACTCCAAGGTCATGTGATTTTATTGGGTGAACATTTTATATTAGTTTTCTATTCAATTAGGAATGATTCTCTATAGCCCTTTCAGGAAGTAGGCCACCTTGTTACATGAAGAAAGGGAAAAAGGGAGTATGGAAGGACTGAGAAAAAATAAAAATGCTGATGTCAAGGACAATGTCTTATACATGTATCAATTTCACTGAGACATATATCCTAATGAAATAGGTGCATTGGATCCATAACTTTTACTCTGAACCTGTGCACCTGTTTAAGCAGGAGAGCGGGGAGAAGGAGAGAGAAATGTTGATTACTGGCCCAAAAATTGTATCCCTTTTTGGTCCTGCCTCCTTAATGATCTGCTATAGAAACTATCTTAATTAAATAGTCCGGGTGGCCCAATATTCCACACTATCCAGAACTTATCACAGCCCCTTGAATTGTCAAGGTAGATATTTGACCAAAGGTACTCCTGGAAGACTGTAGAGTATCAGCCTTACCACAGCAATGAGCGTGCTGGGCAGACCACCAACTTGGAGGGGTGCCATAGGCTGCGCCAGTAAATCACAAAGCCAGAACCTCTCATGTGACAGTTCAGAGGTGAAGGCTACCACGGAGGGATTTTCAAATTATTTGGTGGAGAGGGGTGTGATAGTGCAGACTATGAAGTCTCAGAAACTGGAACTTCAAAAATGTTTGGTTCTGGTAGGGATTTCCCTAGGTAACTGAAGAAAACACAGTGTTAATGCGCTTCCATGAAAAAAAAAAAATTGCCAAAACAAAATTACTTCTTTCTCTCCAGTCTTAAAGATGTTCTTCTTTCTTATATTGTTGTGATTTGGAATCTATAAAATTAAGACCTACATAGAAATTTAGCCCTGTGCTTTAATTCCCTCATTTTTCATATAAGGAACTTTTGGCTGAAAAGAGAGAGACTAAAATTTATCCTTATCTCCTCTTTCTTTTCTAAAAAAACTATTAATTAAAAAGATAGCTATTCACTGTTGGTGTACAAAATGCCATTGATTTCTGAATACTGACTTTGCATCCAGCTACTTTGCGAAATTCAGTTATTAGGTTGAGTAGTTCCTGGGTGGAGCCTATAGGGTTTTCTATGTACACCATCATGTTCTCTGCAAATAATGACAGTTCTACTTCCTCCTTTCCAATTTGGATGCCTTTTATTTCTTCTCCTTGTCTGATTGCTGTGGCCAGGGCCTCCAGTACTGTGTTGAGTAAGAGTGGTGAAATCAGACAGCCTTGTCTTTTTCCTGATCTTAAGGGAAATGCTTTTAGATTTTGCTCGTGGAGTATGATGTTGGCAGTAAGTTTTTTTGTATGTGGCCTTTATTATGTTGAGATATGCTCCGTCAAATCCCACTTTGCTGAGTGTTCTTATCATAAATGGGTGCTGGGTTTTATCAAATGTGTTTTCTGCATCTATTAATGAGATCATGTGATTTTTGCCTTTTATTTTATGCGATATATCACATATATTGATTTGCAAATATTGTACCATCCTTGCTTCCCTGGAATAAATCCCACTTTATCATGGTGTATGATCTTTTTAATATATTGTTGGATCCTGTTTGCTAGTATTTTGTTGAGAATTTTAGCATCTATGTTCATCAGAGATATTGGCCTATCACAAAGAGAAACTAAGACAAAAATCCCATCGATTATAGCAACAAAAAGAAAAAATATAAAGTACCTAGGAATAAATTTAACCAAGGAGGTAAAAGACCTGTATTTAGAAATCTATAGAACACTGAAGAAAGAAATTAAGGAAAATACAAATAAATGGAAGCATATACACTGTTCATGGATTAAAAGAATTAACATCATTAAAATGTCCATACTACTCAAAGCAATCTATAGATTCAATGCAATCTTATTAAAATACCAATGGCATATTTCACAGATCTAGAACAAATACTTTAAAAATTTATATGGAACCAAAAAAGACCCTGAATAGCCACAGGAATCTTGAGAAAGAAGAATAAAGTTAGAAAGATCACAATACCAGATATCAAACTATATTACAAGGCCACTGTAATCAAAACAGTCTGGTACTGGCCTAAGAACAGACACATAGATCAATGGAACAGAATAGAGTACCCAGAAATAAATCCATCTCTCTTTGGTCAATTAATATTTGATAAAGGGAGTATCAGCATACAATGGAGTGAAAGTAGCCTCTTCAATAAATGGTGTTGTGAGAACTTCTCTGGTGCCTGCAAAAAAATGAATCTCGACCACCAACTTACACCATACACCAGGATAAACTCAAGATGGATAAAGACTTGAATATAAGTTGTGACACCATAAAACTTCTAGAGGAAAACATAGGCAGTAAAATTTCAGATATCCCACATAGCAATATTTTTGTTGATGTATCTCCTAGGGCAAGGGAAATAAAAGCCAAAATAAACAAATGGGACTATGACAAATAAAAAAGCTTCTGCACAGCTAAAGAAACCATCATCAAAATGAAAAGGGAACTGACTATGGGAGAACATATTTGTCAATGATACTTCGGACAAGGGTTTAATCTCTAAAATACAGGGTCTGGCACAAACATCCCTTTTTTATTACAAAGTCTTTATTACAAAATCATAAGCATGTAATTATGAAACACAAAAATATCACACTCAAGCATACCATATGACATTTTAGGTGAAATGTTCAAATTAAAACTATAAATTATTACACCCATATTATTACCCTACCAATCACACTCAAGCAGGTCTTACTTCTGCCGGACCCTGTATATAAAGAACTTATATGACTCAACACCAAAAACACAAATGATCCAATTAAAAAATGAGCAGAGGACCTGAATAGACACTTCTCCAAGGAGGACATGCAGATGGCCCATAGACATGTGAAAAAATGCTCAACATCACGAGCTGTCAGAGAGATGCAAACTAAAACCACAATGAGATAACACCTTGCCATCTGTCAGAATGACCATTATTAATAAATCAACAAACAACAAATTCTGGCAAGGATGTGGAGAAAAGAGAACTCCAGTGCACTGTTGGGAATGTAGACTGGTGCAATCACTGTGAAAAACAGTAGGGAATTTCTCAAAAAATTAAAAATGGAAATGCTTTTTGACCCAGTGATTCCACAGCTGGAAATATACCCTAAGAATCCTGAAACACGAATTCAGAAGAACTTAATGCACCCCTCTGTTCACAGCAGCAGTATTCACAATAGCCAAGTATTGGAAGCAGCCTAAGTGCCCATCAGTAGATGAGTGGATTAAAAAAACTGTGGTACAGTTACACAGTGGAATACTATATAGCAGACATAAAGAAGAAAAAATTCCTACCCTTTGTGACAACATGGATGGAACTGGAGAGTATCATGTTAAGTGAAATAAGCCAATCGATGAAAGACAAATATCATATGATCTAATGAACAAGAGAAGCTAATGAGCAAAACAGAATCAGAGACATAGAAACAGAGAACAGACTGACAGCTACCAGAGGAAAGGGAGGTGGGGGAGAATGAGAGAAAAAAAAGGGAAGGGATTAGTCAAAGAACATGTATGAATTGCCCGTGGACGTGGACAATGGTGTGGGTGGACTGTGGAAGCAAGGGGTTGGGCTGGACAGAGAAGGGTAAAGGGGGAAAAACTGGGACAACTGTAATAGAATAAATAAGAATAAAAAAGTATGTATTCATCCTTGTTGCCTGCCTCAGAATTTTAATATGGAGTTATAAATTCATTCCCAGGTGTCTTATTATTATAAGGTAGGTTCAAAAAACATAAAATTGTATGACTAGATATCACTCATTAACCATCTCAGAACACAGCCTTCTATTGTGCTTATCAATTAGTATCTATAGACGGTCACACATGTAGAAATAACTGTATCAAACATTTCAGTTTCATGATTTCCTAAGTGGTCTTTCTGAGACCTGTGTTGAGCAAGTATAGGAACATGGGAAGTTTTGGAACAAGAAGTGTTCCGTGAAAGTCATGAGAACTGAGACAGGCAGTCCCTACCTGCTGTCCCCCTCTCTCAACTTTGAAGAGCTCGGTGGCTTAATGACTCACCCTCCTTCCATGGAGAGCACCCAAGGAGGAGTGCGGCAGGAGTGAGCCAGCCCCTGGGGTCCTCCTCTGCCTGGCTGGCAACATCTGACTCATGAGGGCACCTGCCTGGGTCTCTGACTTCTCATCAGTAAAATGAGAGGCTAGAGATCATCATCTCTATGATCCTTCTCCATTTCACTTCTTTGATCTGGGAAATGAGCTTTACATCCCTCCTCAAGACTTTAAACTGAACTGCACTAAGCTTACTTAAATAGATGTAAAACAAAAAACAACAACAAAAAGGAATCCTTCAATTTCTCCAATGTAACTGCATTTTATAAGATGACTATTTTTTTAAAAAAAGCAACACATCACCATAAACATGGTCAATGGGAAAAGTCTCGTTAAACTATGGCCTGTGGTTTTATCAACTCAACATTCACTATTGTTTCACATTTTTCATAGTTTTTATCTAAAAGTACAAGATCATAAAAAAATCTTATGTAGTAAAATCTAAAAACATCCTGGGAGCAACTTCATTTTTAAAGGGAAATGAGGCCATGACTATCCTGATTAGTCTTTAAGTTACCACTAAACATGGCATTCCTAGCCAATCTGTATAAATGTGGACATATACATATACAATAATTAAAATGAAATGTAGCAATTATAAAAATATAACAATATATTCTAAGTGTAGCAATATAAAAATCAATGTAAGTTTTCCCTAGTACTGAATTAATTAGATTGATGATACTTTAAAATTCAGTGGCTATTTTCATATTAGTTAAACCATGAAGATTTTTAGATGAGGAATAGATTACATGCCAAGAGCAAAATGGTTTTTTACACTTTACTTCTCTTCTGTTGCTATATAGCCCTTAAATAGTTGAAAGAACATTTCTAAACAAGGTTTTGGGGGTTTTTTTGTACAGTTCTTCCATTTTTTTCATAGAAAACACCAAATTCCTATGGACTGTAAACCAGAGAACCATGCTGGTAACATCAAAACTAAGTAAAATATTATGAAATCTGTAAACCATAATTTATTCACTTTTACATGGAGCCTTTTAAGAACAAATTAATCTCTCTGGGAATTCCTTCCATCAGAAATTAGTCTAGATAGCTCACCACTTCTATATGACAAACCTGAATCAATGAATGTGGTCAAATACATTGTTGATTTATACAAGAGATTGCTCTGGAGATATACAAAAGGGCTCCCAACTTATACTATGGCATAAAAGAAAAATCGGCATTAGAAGTATATGGTGTGATCTACCTTCTGGAGTTCAAACCAGAATCTGATGAGGTTAACATTAGATGGAGGCTTCCAATCTAATTGCAAACTAGTGTTCCCTGGAACCACGGCATAAGGTTTCGCTGGTGTGTCAAACGTTTCAACAGTGACAGGATGACTCTCAGCGCACCACATTTCCTTGGCATGGCAGGCCAGAACCTTTTTGTAAAGAAAATAAAATGAAAAAATAAAATTGCTTAAACTTTTCTAAATCTCGTGCTTAAGAAAGGCAATAAAATACTCAGTAACCTCACCGTACCTTTAACACATAGAGTTTTCCACCAGACAGTCCAGTAACACAGAGAGCAAGGCTTCCATTTGGATATTCACTTTGTCTTAGAGGAGTCTCTGGAATTAGGCCCAGATGTGAGATTGCCAACTGATAGCGGACTGACTCCTTAGGTCCGTTTGGCTTGTGAGATTCTCTCCAGGATATAACAAGGCTGGTGTCTGACTGCACGGTGGTGTTAATATGCCAAACAGCCTCTGGTACTGAAATAAATAGCAACGCATGACAAGGGATGTTGCAATCGCACTGGAAGATGGAAAGAAGTAATGGGGTCTTGGTTGAGGAATAGTCATATCATGTGAGCAGAATGAATGACAGATGTTCCGAAGGAAAGCCAGCCTCTTATATAATGGTAAGATATCAGGCTGCCTGAAAGGCTCTCACTTATTTTTGCCTAATGACTAAGTCATTCTCTGACTCTAGCTCCAGGATTTGGCCAGGGATGATGCTGAACAACCAAATTTGGGTAAGTTTTGTGAATGTCTTCAGAGACATCTGAAAGAAATGCCATCACCTCATAATAACCACCACCTCTAAGAACAACTTCTAACATTCTAGATTCATTTACTTTAAGGCAATGATGTTATATTACGTTAAATCTCAGCGGCCTCAGTAAAATTCACATAAGGGAAAGGCTTGATTTTCCTGTCTCACCATGTGTAGAGAGGCCTATGAACTTATGGGAAGAGGGTGACACTGTGTGGCAAGGCTGAAGAATAGGTTTCTTGGTCAAACTGTTGATTTTGATGTTCAGCTTCTAGTTGCTTTTCATTTTGATGGAATATTATTTATCATCTTTTGGTGTTAGATCAAAAATCAGGTCATCAAAGTATTTTTCAACCAACACATTTTTATTAAGTTTTTGAAAGCTCATATAATAAATATTATTTAATATTCAGGTAAAAAACAACAAACAAATGTAGACATACACATCACATATATCACAAAATTCCACTCTAGCAACCCATACCAAGCCCATAACTCACCTCCAATTTTGGTTTCTCCCCAAATCTTTTTTCCCAGTGGTAATTGTTCCAAAGGATCTGAATAGTAATTCTTTACAGCTATCTGTATCATATATGTTGAAAATGGTTGTAAACCTTCAATAAGGGCTATACTCTCCTGAAATTCCTGTAATTAATTTTTAAAAATCAATATATGATTCTTACTTTTTGTAGAAATGGGGAGAAATTATTTAATCAAAGAGAAAAAATTAAAAGACTCAAAATAGTTTATTTTTTAAATCTTGAATTAAACAAGATTTAAAAACATTTGACAATGTTCACTGCTCTAACCTTCCCTGGGCCTAAGTTGTTTATCTACAAGGACAAATGCTAAATGACTGACAGCCTTTAGTCAATTTTTGTGACATACTCATTTCAAACAGGAAGATAGATTCCCAGAGAAGGACGCTATTTCATTAGTATTGCATTAGAAATTAAGCAAGGTGGTATTAGAAAGATGTGACACATGTGAATACAATAAAAGATTAAACTACATTATCTAGTCATTCTTAGAAATAAAGTTTAAGTAAATGACTTTCTTTAGACCAATGGTTCTCAACTTCAGTGTTACTTTGGAATCCTCTGGGAAATCTTAAGAAAATACTGTTCGCTGGGTCCCACCCCCAAAGATTCTGACCGAATTGGTCTGAGGTGAAACCTGAACCCAGAGATTATCAAAGCACCAATGTGCCCACGGTTGAGAACCACCGCCTCTGCCGCATATTAGTCAGTGTGAAGACAATATGAAAGAGGAGCTCCAAAGGGAATGTCCAGTGCCCCGGGCCCAGTCTTGGTCAGCCAAGTGATCCAATCTGCCTCTGAGACAGCCATCTTTAGAAATATGTGAAGAAAGATTAAAATATAAAAATTAAAGGAATCAGCTGTTCTTTCTGGTAAAGTACATTGTGCTTAACATCAAATAGATGATGTTCAGTTTCACCTTTGGACTTGGTTAAATAATTAGCACAAAGCAAAATATTGAATGTTTACGATTCCATCATAAGGACAACTAAAACATCACTGCCCATGGTGGGAGGAATTATGCCAATTTATTTATTCATTTGAAGAATATCTAGTGAATGCCTATGTAATACCAAGCATTGGGTTGGCCAAAACGTTTGTTTGGTTTCCTTCCTTAAGATGGCTATAGTAGCACTTAGTTGTCTTTAACTTCATTTGAAACAATTTTGTTAGATTGTGTTATGATAGCTGTCATATCAGTGTGCATTAAAAAAACTTATCAAAATTGGTAAACTTTTGTGCAGCCATTCTAATATTGAGGGTGGAAGAAAATAAGTGGCATTTTCAGCATATTATACTTTATTATTTCAAGAAAGATAAAAATGCAACTGAAATGCCAAAAAAGATTTGTGTGGTGTATGGAGAAGGTGCTGTGACTGATCGAACATGTCAAAAGTGGTTTGCAAAGTTTGGTGCTGAAGATTTCTCCTGGAATGATGCTCCCCAGCCAGGTAGACCAGTGGAAGCGAATAAACTGAGACATTAATTGAGAATATTTAATGTTATACCACGTGGAAGATACTCGACATACTCAAAATATCCAAACCAATAAAGTTATTTGTGAAAATAAAAAATGTGCCTTTAATTTTATGGAAAAGACTAAACAGACTTTTTGGCCAACCCAGTACAATGCTAAGTACTAGAAACACGATGATAAATCAAAACATAGTCCCTGTTTAATGGCACATTTCACAACATACAGGAAATAACAAAAATATACAATTTTTATGTTAGATATATGCTGTGGACGAGAGAAATATATGGCAATATTCTTTCTGTCCAATTCATTTCTTATCTCTCAATCTGCAAACTGTTGGATAAGATATAAAAAAAAAATCAGTGTCACTTTCTGGAGACAATTAGATAATCAGCAAGGGCAACAAACCCCCGTTCTTTCAGGACATTCAGGAAATTGATACTGTGGTGATCTACCCACTGGTCAGCTTAACTTACTCCCAGACAAAAAGACTAGAGCAAAGTATGTTTTGACAAATCAGCTGTAACAGGCTTCATAAAAGCACCTTTCAGAAAATGATATAGAAAATACTGTAACTGAGAATTTCATATAAGAAAAGAGCACCTAATGAAAAGATTTAGGCCACCAGCTTCAATCTTACCAGCATTCTATATTTTTGTTCAGAGCTGTTTTTCCCACCAGTAACTTCTTTGTAATAAACCAGGTATGTTGCAGTAGGGCTGGTAATGCCATACCAAGTGAGGTTTGTCCTGGAAGGCGGTAATCTGATTGTGAGGCTGGTGTTTGTGGTGTTAAGTATTGTTGGCTCTGCAATATCTGAAGCTAGAGACAGAAATGCTTTATCTAAAATAAGAAAAAAGATTAAATATGTACACATATATGTATAAAAGAGAAACAACAGATTTGCTTAACATCGAGGGTAATATAATCTCTTATTTTTATTTAACTTACAAGACATGATGTATTGAAGTGTTAGAAATGTTATTCAGTGCAGGAAGACAAGTTTTTTCCGTACATCTTGGAGATGCTATGTGCCTCAGAAAAAGGAAGCAAGGTAACTAGTAATTGTTTAAAATTTCCAGCAGATGGAGCTAAAGTACCTTTAATAATGTACATAGTAGCAAAACAAAGTCAACCCTTGTTTTATTTTGAAGGAAGCATTTAATTGAATTCCAATTATGAAAACTCATGCTAGCTTTAGGACTTTTTAGGGATGTGCATGTATGTGTATATCTGTTTAAATTTAAAAAGATATTACATGGACTTTTTAAATCTCTTAAATTTCTCAAAGTGGAAAATGAATTCTTTACCCAAAATGTACATTCAATTTATTTATAAAATCTTCCATTTTTAGTAGTTTGTAACTCACATACTTCATAAATGAATACACTTAAGCAAAGATTATTTGAGTTTGTTTCATTCAGTCCTGCCCCTCTCTAGTGGGAAATAATTCTTCATTTGGAATGACAGAAGTACTTTAATGGCAGAGAACTTGAGAAAAAAAACTCAAAAACCACTTTAGGTCTGAATGTTGCCCATGGATCTATGTAATGCTGTTTTTATTGTTGGTTGGTTGGTTTTAGATTTCAAACAGTTTTTTATTATGATTCCCAATAGTAAATATACAGTCAGTTCTGCCCATAATGTAACACATACGTTCCTAAAAGGGATTGCATTATACAAAATTGCACAATAAAACCCACAGGGTTTATGGGGGAAATAGAGTTAAGGACACAACACTAAAAAAAAAAAAATTACAAGTGACACTTTTTTTAAAAGATAAGAACTTAATAAAAATGGTAGCACAGATGTATGCATGTTAAAGAGTTGGTGTACCTAATACTATTCTAAATAGGCATTTCACCTTGAAAAAGACCTGAAATCTGATGCAGTGCTTTGTGACACCGTTGGGCGTCTAAAGAATTGTCAGAAGGAAGGTTACTTTCAGGACGGAGAAGGGAAAGAGGGGCAGGCAGAGAGGATGGCAGGACAGGGGCTTCCCCCAACAGCCCAGCCGCGCACACGCTGGAGGAACGCTGGGGGGCAAAGCCAAGGGCAGCCCCCAGCCATAGGGCACACCCGACCCTGGCCGTCCAGAGCACAACACAAGAGCTGGAGAAACTGCCTGGGGAAGGAGACGTTCTGAGCCTTTTCCGACCCTGAACTGGAAGAACAAGCTGAGTGAGACACGACTTTATTACCTGGAAAAGGCTGCAGCAGCGAACTGTAAGCCAAGATACGCTCACTCCTCGGGGCCCTCACCCGGGAGAGGACGGCCCCACCGCTTTTCTTTACTTGGCAAATCTGGGTGCTGTCGTTGGCTATGGACGACCAATACAGAAATTTCCCATCCACGGTTAGGCTGACAAGTGTTTTTCCTGTTTACGAAAAACATAAAATAAGGAACATATCTTATGTTTTCTACTCTCAATAATATGTGATATCCTTTTTTTTTACATCATAACTGCTAAAGTTTGAATCTTCTTAATATGGAGAAGTAACACTTATTTTATGTCATTAGGCTAAGGATTAGGCTACAGATTTCTCATTTTAGTTCCACATCAAGCCATAAAATAAATATTATTTTTATTATTATTGACCTTATTTTGTAGGAGTAGAAACTGAGGCTTGAACCCATTAAATAATGTCAAGGCCACAAGATTAGTAAAGGGCAGAGCCAGGATTTATTTACAACTTAGCCATGAGACTTCAAGTCAAACAATGCCTCTCTGAAGAGAGGTATTAGACGATAGGCAGAGGACTCAGTGCCTTGTTCACTGTCTTTATCAATCATTTGAAATGAATGCACAGTAAACATATTTGTCAATTTTTCAGATAACATACAATTCTTACAGTCACTAGTATATTCAGTCACTGACTTGGCATTCAAAAATATCACAACAGAATCAGGAAATGGATTGAAATTTAACAGAAACAAACGTAGTGTCCTAAATTCGGGTTTAAAATTAACTCTAGAAATGACAAATGGAAGACACCCGGCTTAATAATAGTTAACATAAAAAAGATTATGGGTTGTCGAATGGCAGGCGGGCAGTCCAAAGACCTAATGCCACTTTTAGCTGCAGTAAAACATGACCTAGGAAGTCAGAGGCCTCTCGCACTGATTGGAACACACGGAGAAAATGCTGAGTCACTCTGGGGATGACGTTTAAGAGGACATCGCGTAGCTGAAGTGAAAACACAGGGGGGTGACTAGGGCAAAGAAAGATCTAGATACCACATCGTCTGAGGAGTAGTTACAGACACCTGAATTTTTCCTCCAAAGGAAATGCTTAGCGTGGGCTATGACAGCTATCTTTACATTGCTCAATGGCTATCACCTCGAAGGTGATTGGTTAATTCTTTGTAAATTCAGGGGTCAGAACTCGGATTAATGCATGGGAGGAACAGGGAGAAGAATTTGGCTAACTATAAGAAGAAAAATATCTAATATTTAGAATTGTCCAAAGAAAATTAAATGGACTTCCTTATAAAGTAGTATTTTTTTAAATAAACAGTCAAAATTGTTTTTGCAGAGGGATTTCTTCCAATATCATGTGAGCTAAGTGATCTTTATAGTTATTCCAATTTTAGGATTATAAATTTAAGTTATGGATTCACCAGTTCTATACCTGTAACACCCATTAGATAACTCTTAAGTATCAGATGTTTAAGAAAAATTATTCTGATACATTAAAATGTTAAGGAAGACTTTAGTCAAGATGACTGCAATATTGTAGAAAGAGATATATGGGAGAGAGAGATGCTCAACTCTGAATACAACAGAGACAGCTGAAGATTAATAACCAGCATGCACAATGAGAGAGCCAATGGCTAAAATATTATTAAGAGGACATATCAAGGGTAAGGAGATTCTTGCTAAACTGGCCTAAGATTCTTGCTAAAGGCAAGCCAAGATCATCAAGGGTGGAGTATGACGAGCTTAGTCAGATATCAGATGTGGGGGACATTCCCTCTAGACTGACTTAGCAGGATTCTTGCTAAAACTAGACTCAGCAAGGACGAGCATGGAAGGCTAAGGTCTAGGCCTAGTTGAGAAGAGGGCTCAGAAAACTCTGACTAAAATCTGGCCAAGAAAAGAGTCTTTGTTACAGATTCAACAAAAGCAAGTAATTTTCTAAACATTATTTCTACTCTTAAGCCTGTTGAAGGTACATTAGAATTGTTTCTAAAACACTCCAAATGACATGCCAACAAAACCATTGTGCAGTTACAACTTCCATATTCAGGCACCCACAAAGACACACGCACACATACACACACATGTTTGCAATTTCAAAACTTCATTGTATATATATCAGCAATGCCCAACAGCACTTTTGATGGTAGAAAAATTTTATATCAGTGCTGCCCAATACTAGCCTTTGGCCACGTGTGACTTTTGAGTATTTAAAACGTGGCTAGTGTGACTGTGCAATTACAATGTTAATTTTATTTATTTTAATTAACTTAAAGCATCACATGTGACTAGCACATACTATATTGGACAGTGAGAAACAGACTCTAAAATTATATGGGAGAGTTTAGAAGGTATATCTTTCTTGTTGCAATTACTCCTAATTAGGAGACTTCCAAATTGCTTTAGACTTTCAAATATCTATTCCACAAGCAAGTGAGTTTCAACAGACAAACTTGTCAAATTTTTACCAACCCCTTGCTGAATTCACATTTGTCAATGGAATCACCAAAACCGAAGTAAAAAAACAGGTACCGAGAGTAAGATCATGAGTTGTTGTATGGCCCAATTTCAAATCCAGCTCATTTACTAACCAACTGTGGCCCTTTGGACAAGTTACCTTACTGTTTTCAGCCTTAGTTTCCTCATCTGCAAAACGAAGAAACTAGCAGGGTAGACAGTTAAACACACATGAGCAGAGCAAGGACAAGGGGTCAGGTACAGAGGTCACCAGAGTGGAAAGCCTCAGGTGCCCAGCAACGGGCAAAACTGGGAAAACTAGAAGCTTGCCCTCAGGGTAACTTTTCCTCCCTCTGACCTTTCATATTGCTGGTTGTGAGGCTCAGATCCTCCCAGACCTTTCCTCTCCTGGCATGTTGTCAGGCATTTGGGTTAGGCCTCCTTAGAGCAGGAACAAACTAGGGAGCCAGAGAACAACCTTTAAGCGTTGAGCCCCCAGGACACTGAGGTTCTGACCTGCATCAGATGCATCTAGGCCTCACTTGTGTTTCAGCTCCAGGCCCAGAAAAGCAGCAAAACCACACCAGCAATGCCATAGCTGGCCTCGGGACCAGCTGCACTGACAAATGATGCCCTGCCCCGGTGCCAACCAATCCGTGGAGACCATGACCCTGAAAGGACACACCTGGAAAGCTGATGAATATTCTGTTGACATCCTCCCCGCGACCTACCCTAAAATCTCTGCCCTTAAAAGCCCTTATGATGGAAGACCCTATGAGCTCTCCAACCAGGGAGCAAGCCGAACTTTTCCCCTCCTCTTTTTCTCAACCCCGACCCCCCCACAAGGCGTGTTGCTGTGTTGATGCATTGATGCATGGATGCTTGACCTTTACCCTTATCTCTAAGCTCCAAGGACCCCTTCTTTTGCCTCTGGAACTTGTTTCCTAAGCCCATTTTTTTCTGCAGCCCACTTCTTCAACTTCTGTGACTTTCTACATAAACTTTCTCCTAGAATTTGAGTCTTGACTCTGAATTCTTTCTTAGACAGAACTCAAGTACCGAAGTTGCTAAACCAAGGTTTGGTCTGATCCCACCAGCCGAACACCTGGTGTCATTCTCGCTGCCACCAACACGAGTACCTGCTTCATCAGGGTGTTGTGAGAGTTAAACGAGATAATGCACTTAGTAGCATGCTTAGAATATATCATTAAGCTCAATAAATTGTAGCTCCACTGTTAATTATAAAATAATAACAAAAAATCTCCACAGATCCAGAAAATTATGTGGATGCCTATATATAATTTGCCTGGAAACCACTTTAAATGTACAAGACTGTTTGGCATAAGCCAGAGTAAATACCATGTGTATATTAATTTGAGTATTTGTGGGATGTAAGCCCTTTTCAATGAGACAGGAGGGACTGCCATTACTAATCAAAACCTATGTACACATGGTGTCTTACCAAGCAAAGCAGGCATTACGATAACTTGCCGACACTGGCATCCTTCCAGATCCATGGCCCAGATCTCTTGTCCTTTAACAAAGTATATCTGTGGTTGCTTTAGCTGAGAGGTATCAATAGTCATTGCTCCGCTTAACTCAAATTCAGTCACATTGCAAGAACATCGGCTCCTTCTATTTGGATGGTTTGTGGCTGGGGGTTGCAGAATGCGGTGCAAAGTCTGATTGATAATACTGTAGTAGAACATCTGAGAGCCCAAATCAGAAACTTCTGTCCAATACAGGCGACTGTTGGGGGAAAAAATACCCTCCAACTTAATGAGTACAACATATTATTTCAAATATGAGTTTTTTATGAAGATCAATCATTTCGAATTATTTGAGGAACAAATGCAGCCTTTGGAGAGAACACGTCCACATGCCCAATGACCTTCTGAGATGGAAGGGGTCATAAGAAATCTAGTTATAGCTTTTCCAATTATTTCTTAATAAATGTGTTTATAATTAAAGCCTTGGACTATAATCACCTGAGGCACTGTATAAAGTGGCTTACTACTGATTGTAAATATAAAGTATATTTGCAGCTTTTCATCAACATTCATCTCCATTCCCCTCCTCTCAATTTTGTTTCTGCTTTTTAATACTAGTTAACAATCTAGTTTTAAGATAGGCAATATCCATGCTTATGGCACAAAATATATCTTTCTAGCCCAAGAAACAATCGCTCAGTTGCTGAATAGAGGCCTTAAAACTCATCTGATGAGGACAGCAATTAAAGATAGACAGGTGAAGAACAGATTTCACCGTGAAAGGCATGCTGCCCATCTACCTCCTGCTCATCTTCCGCCATTGTCTCCGTCCCATTCTTGGCCCTCCCAGCTGAGGATTTTATTAAATTCGCTGATGTAAAAATCCACTTTGGTTTCCTGCTGGTAAACCTAAGTTTAGATTAGTTAAATTATCAGTATGGATTCAGTCTATATATTTGTGGGTATGGGCTCATAATTTATAAGTAGAATTAATTATTAAAAGTTCATGTAGTGAGTCAAAAACCCTAAGTATCTTATTTTCCCATCGATGACTTCTAATATTAAACCAAAGATATTATATTAAATATGACTCTTTACATACCTTAAAAGAGGATACACAAAAAAAGAGATTATTGTTGAATTTCTGTTGCAAAGTTTCAGCTTCCTGGGATATTTCAGCTTGTGTTCAAGATCAATATCAAATATTTGCATTCCATTTTGTGGATCTTTCAGCACAAAGTAGAGGTGCCTTGAAATCCAGTCAACTGCAATAATTGTGATATCAAAAACCACTGCATCGCGGAAAATCTTAAATCAGGTAGAAAACACAGCCAAGAAGATAGTGGTCATTTTTTTTTCAGATTTGAGGACTTTACTGTAACCACTCATATTACTTATTTACTGCACTTCTCTTTTGTAATCCAAAACCTCAATAACTGGATTGTGTGCCACTGTAACATCGGTCCTTTTCTCACATTGTGTGTATTTTCCCTGGATGATTTCAACTGCCATGACTTCAACCGTAATCCATGAAGCAGTGCTACAAATCCACATCTTCAGCAAGATCCCTCATTGAGTTACTAATTCAAATAAACTGCCTACTAAACATATATGTGTCATCTCAGGTAATAGAACTAATCACTCTGTGCCCCCAAACCCCCATTTCTCCCGCATTTATGTTTTTATGGATTCCCAGCATTCACCTGAAGAGCAATCCCATCAGCTGCGGTTCAACCTTGACTTCTTCCTCCCGTTACTACCCATTGTGAATTGGCCCCATTTTAAATGTCTCCCTAATTTGTCCTCTCCCTTCTCACTTCCGTGCCTCTCATTTCCTGCCTTTCCTCTCTGGATTTCTGTGATAGCCTCCTAATTGCCCCAGACTTAACCTTCTCTCAGTCATTATCACACTGCTAACAGAGAGGTCTTTCTACAACAACTTGATCATGTTAATGACCCACTAAATTGCTTTAATGGCCTGCTCTTGGCTTCAAGATTGACACTTGACTCCTTGGTACAGTAAGGGAGGCCCATGATATGCAGGCTCCTGCCTACCACTCCAGCTTTACCACCTGCCTTTCATTGTGTCCTCACCTCCATCTCTATTCTAAGCTCTCTCTATTTATAGCTCCCTGAACATGCCATATGGCTCTCTTGTTTTCCTGACTTTGCACTTGCTGCCTTCTCAGCTTTTCCCTACCTTCTCCTGGTTCACCTTCTGTGTACTCATGATATCTTTCCGTTCTTCCACAACCATCACGACTCCAACCTGGATTGGGCATCCATTGTTGGTGATTCCACCACATCCTGCCCTCAGCACAGCACTTACACTATGTTCTGCCTGCCTCCTCCACTAGCTAACATTCAGCAAGTGCCTACCACATGCCAGGCATTGTGCTAAGTGCCTTACATACATTATCTCATTTGATCTTCACAAGATCCCTATGGTGAGGTACTATATAACCATGACAGTTAAATAACTTGCTGATGGTCACAGATCTGGTAAGAGGTGGAGCCAAAATTAAATTCTAGGTTGTCAAATTTCAAAATTTACCCTCTTAATCCCTGTGCAGTACTGTCTTCCTAGTGTTAGACCAATATTAGACTGGTGGGTTTAAGGACTGTAATTTTTCTTTTTTACCTCTAGTCCAGGAACTTACACAGTGCCCCAAACTCAACAACTGTTTGCTCGATGAACCCTTAATGACATTTGCCAAAACCTAATCTGAATTCTGTAGTGACTAAATAGTTGTATAGCATCTGTCTTTTACAACCATTCTAATCTTAATTGCTCACTCAGAGGCCAGTCATTTTAATTGCAGGGTGGTGTGATGTACAAATGTCCTACTTCCTTCCTTTCACAACTCTACTGAAATTGCTCTTAATAACAACCACAATGGTCAACACCCTTCCTTTCAAAAGAATTACGTAGTGACGTACCTCAGAGCTGGACTGATTGTGCATGTTCAGAAGGAAGAGTGAGTCTCCTTGAGCGTAATACCCCATTGTATTATCAGCTGTGTAGCCCATGGCACTGATGTCTCTTTCTGCCAAAAACACCCACAAAACCTGATTTTGATCCATATCTAACAAAACTATCTGGTTGTCAAAAAGAGTTATGAGGTATGGAAATGGATTGATTTCTGTAAACAAAAAACAGGTAAGTAATACGTGTGAGAAAAATAACTTTCACTTACCAAATCCCTGAACTCAATACCAGGTTGCTTTGAAATCCACGGGTTTCCTTTGGGTTCATCTACTAAATCAGACTCAATCCACACAGGCTAGGTGCTCTAAGCTTAGGTTTTTTTTTAAGCATGATTGATGATGATAAAAATTGATTACTTTATTTGGCTTTAACTTCTGCGAAGAGACTGTGCTTATATCCTGAGGATGCCAAGGGTTAAAAACTTGTATAAAACACTAATTGTTATTTACATGGGTTTTAAATAGTACCTGATGTTTGGGACTTTACCAAGTCAGAAAATGGTCCAGGTCCTTTGGATGTGAAGACTCGAACCTAAAGACAGAAAAAGATGACAAATACTGCACTCAAGAGTGTCCTCAGTGACAATAATTAAGTTCTAAGACTAATAAGTTATTGAGTGTTTCATTTCACACTCTTAATACACTTATTAAATATTTCAGATAGTTACAGATCTAAATATAGATCTAAATATAGAGCAATAAATCTTGAAAAGGAAAAATATTGCCCATATTCCTGTTGATGGGTTTTCTTGTCTAGAAAAGGACAAAGAAAAGGCACAAATCTCTATCGCAAAAATATTTAATTTCTAAAAAAGAATTCTTTAGCTAGTTCCAAAATTAATTTACTTGGAACATTTAACAGAAATAAAATTATATATATTATGGTAACATTTTGCTTATCTTGAATTCAACAACTAGGAATTTTAATTAAGTTTATATACTTTCTGAAAGATTTATTTAAAAAATAGTTAAACCTTATATTTAAAAATGAATTGTGCATTTCAAACCACTTTTACATATGTTATCTATTTTGATCCTCACAACCACTAAGAATATACGCTGGATAAGGATCATAATTAAGGAAAATAACGCATCCCCAATGGCGCGTGAAGAAACAGGTGAAAGAACCAAGTATTCTGAGGTCATCTATATATTTTCCTTCTACTGTGCTGTGCTGCATCCTAACAGCACAGTTTTTTAAAACCATCTTTATTAGATGTTTTTCATTGTGTAATAAATCATTTCCATTTCCAAACCTTGCACAGGTACACACAATAGTCTATAAAGAAAACTGACATCCATAAGATGGCCTCAAAATAGATCCTCAAGTGCCCTCTCAATTAACAAAACAAACATTGAATTATTTTTATCATACTTCTGGCTTTAAATACACTTTACTATATTCTATATATAACCACCTCTGTATGATAGTTATGTATCATGGGGCACATATATATCAAGCAGTCTTCACTTTTACACAGAAACATCTTAAGATTCATGCATATTCATGTATATCACTTTGCACAAGTCTGTAATAAGTGATATTTGAAATTATATGTACATATATAGAGAGATATACTTAACCAGAATACTTATTTAAACAGAACATACATAATTCTTCACAAATAGAGTATGCATTATCTTTAACTTTTACGTACAATTTTTTATTTTTATAGGTAAAGCTAATATATTATGAAAACAATTATTAAATTAGAATTTTACAAAAAAGAAAAAGAGCCTTAGGAAAGCCAAATCTCTAAAACAATCTCCAAAACATTTTGGTCCCCAAAAAGAAATAGAAAATATTTCTAAATATATACAACATTGTCACCAACCTGGTATTTAAGGAAGATATGAAAAGCATTAAGCCATCTATGTGGAATGTTATTTCATAGGAAATGTAAAATGTCAGAATGATGTGGCAGTAGCTTTTTTGCTGGTTTCTATTCTCTCTGACTTTCTCCTCTATCAGCTGCTGTGTGATAACTGTGAGATGTCAACTACCCAGACCCTCAGTTTTGATTGCCATGCGTAGCTCTGTGTTTGGGCAGCCAGATGACTCGCAGCAGTGATGTGATGTAGAGGAAAGGACTCTGGAAGTTGGACGGTAGGACACCACTTAGCAGCCATGTAGCTTTGGTAGTTCATTGATATACCCAGGGACGCAGCTTTTTCTTTCCCCCCATAAAAGGATAAGGATCAAGTGAGATAATAAATGTAAAAGAACCTACTGGAGTAATGCTCTGCAGTGATTGCCTCAAAAAATCATGGTTTTCTGAATCTGAAACCAAGAAAATTCTCAAGATGCCCTTTACCCTCTCTCTTTTGTACCTTTGCTGCCCACTTGACCTCTGTGATCACAATGAACCTCAAATTATTGACAGAGTGGCAGAATTCTTAAAGTAGTCCTTTAATCAACCTTCTGTTTGCACTATTAAGACCCCCATATCCCTATTTCCCCTCCCATACCTGGAAGGCAACAATACACCCAGCACTCGCGCTCTCAAGTTGAAAAGATATCACTGAAGGAGTGACATGGACAACAATCCAGTCTTCAAATGTTTCGTTTGTGTCACTTTGGTTGAATATTCGATAGAAAATTTCAAATCTTGTCAACACACCATTTTCATGCTTGGGCTTATTCCACCTAAATTCCACTGCAACTTCATTGTTGCTGTGGTATTTTCCACTTGGCAATATAAATATTCTGGGATTCTCTGGTGCTGATGGAACTGAAAAGCAAAGACACAGACAGGGTGGAAAAGAACAGAAGATTGACTTTTACCACCCATCATAAGGGTGTGGAGCAACTTAGTAATAAATATTTCTTATTCCAGACAGTTGAGGTGTATCTATTTTGTTCTTAAATATCTTCAGGAGAGAACATTCCATAGACTTCTTCAGGATCCTATCTTACTATTTCAGCAAATCTCCCTCATGTCCAATCCAAACCCCTTTTGCTACTACCACTGAGGGGCATTTTTCTTGTCTGTGCCCTGTATAGCTGGAAGGTGGCTGATTCTCCTTACAGAATACAATTTTTATTCTCATCCCAACAGAGTGGTTTAGCTGGAGGCAGAAATGGCAGTCACCAGGAAGGAAGGCAGTAACTCCATCTAACCTTCAGCTAGTTCAGGGTATAAAACACAGAGTATCTGGCATCCTAGGCCGTCTGACCCTGAACCCTCCCAGGAGGCAGGATGTTCCTCAAGGGTGTCATTTGAGGGTTGCCATTTATTCTAGAACCAAACCAAGCAATTTACTCTTGCTCAGTCCTTTAATTAACTTCTCTCTCTCTCTATCAAAAGAAAATTTTCTGCCTGATTTTCAAGTCATTCCATATAAGATAGGATTCCTTTTTCTTTGGATTGCTCCGCAAGGTCCCCTCCTACTCTCCTCTCCAATCACATTGCTTCTCAATATTCAACACTCACATTGTTATCCAATCTCCAGGCCTTCTTACATTGTACTCACTCTCACATGGGATACTCACTCTTCCTGCTTCATTCCCCAGGCTCTAGCTAGAGTTTCCACCCTCTAAAGGCCTCCCCGGCCATATCAGTGCATGTACATTGCCCTCTCTTAAAAATGTTGAGGCAGCTTGTGGTCTTGTCCACTTATTCCATGCCATCACTACTCCATTATCACTGTCTTATTTCCATTACCACTAGCGGAATGTGTTTATCTCTCTAGTGTTTTATGAGCTCTAACAGAGAAAGCACCCTTTCTTATTCCTTCTAAAGTGCCCCCATATCTAGTATAGGACTGGTATACTGTAAATGCTTAATAAATATTTGCCAATTTGAATAATTTCCTCACTGAATTGTAAATTTCCTGATGGCCAAGGCCAAATCTTATCAGTCTTCTTTATTGCCCCCGATACCCAGATACCCAGCAGAGTGCTGACGACCGCAGCCCTCACTGCATCCCCTGCTGAGTGCAGTCATCGACCAAGGATGCAGTCATCACCTAGGTCACCAGCTAAGGAGGAACCGCAAGACAATTTCAAAGATAGCGTACTTGGGCCCGAATGCTAACTGCTCTGAACCTGCCGTAGCTCCACTATGTTCCACTATGTATATGAGACTTGTGGTAAAATACTGTTGAAAGAATCCTAACAGTAAAAAAAAAAAAAAAAAATGGTAAAGGGATGGCCATGGATAAGCTCGTACGACCTGCCAAGTCCTAGTCTACGAAATTTATATAGATAAATCAATATGGTACTATCATTTGTATCATTACTATCAATGTTTGTAAAAATGACTGACTGGAGATTTGATGAAACTATAGCGAAAAGTCCCAGCCCTGTCACTTACAAGCTATTTTACATTGGGAAACTAATGAGCTTCTGTTTTCTCCTTCTAATAATCAAAATAATAACAACTGTCTACCTACCTTAGAGCTGTGTGTGGATTAAATGAAATGATGAAATGATGTTTCTGTCACATGATAGGTATGTAATAAACGTTTAATAAAGGAATGATACACATAAATATGCTTTTCACACTTTAAAGTGATAGACACATGTAAAGATATGGCTAGTATGCATTTTTAAATATAGTCCAAAGAAAGACATTAAATTTAGACCTCAGTTACCTACAGATGATCCTGAGTTACCATCTGCGAGAACACCTCCCAATAAGCCTTCTACAAAACTGTCTCTGCTCTTAAATGCCCATTTTCCTTACAAAGCCATTCACAAATTACCTGAGACATGTTTCTGCATCTTGTATATCATTACAATCAAGTGAAGCATTTTAAAGAAATCTTTGAAATATACTTGTGGAATAAATTATGCAGGTTTATTGTAATGATGGTGTTCTATCTCCAAAAAGTCACTGAAAGGGTATTGAATCTACCAAACTGAAAGTTATTCCAAAAAATTATTAACTATTCATTCTAGATCATGTAGTGAGATTCTGCCTTTTTCTTTTTTTAAAGCCTTTAACCTCTGTACCTGTTTCAGGTGCTCGAAGTGACAGAGATGTTTTGGGGCCCTTTCCCCAGTAGGTATAAGGAGTGACAGAAAGATTAAATAAGGCATAAGGCTCCAGACCTTCCACAGTAAACACAGGTAATGGATGTTGCTCAATAGCCAGGAACTAAAATATAAACACAACACATTATTCTCTTAGGGAGAAAATCATAAAATCTTTTATTCCCACTTAAGTAAAATCTTCAAGCTTTGGTTCACATGTAAAATCAAACTTTGCAATTTTGGAAGTGTTAAATTGGTAAGTTCCATGTGGTTCCACCGAGGCCACTTAAAGTGTCTAACATGCCAGCTCTTAACACTAACCACAAAGCTGTCAAAGACTGGCCGGAAACAAAAGATGTCAGGAACAATCTTGATGACAGAGGCCCATGGAACAAGCACGGAGATGTGCTGGGCTAAGTAAAGAAAGTACGAGTCAGCGTGGGCAGGGCGGGCACGGACGGTGCGGTCTGTTTGGGAAATGAAAGTTGCCAGAGACAATGCCATACCTTATGAGGAGCACCAAATTCCACCCTGTAGAAAATCGCACCCCAATCCACTGCTGGGACAGCATTCCACAGGATATGAAACCTTGAAGCATTTCCTTCGATCCTAAATGAAGACTCTTGAATGGAATCTGGAATCACCTTAGGGGTAAAAGAAAAGTTCCCTAGGAGGAGATAAAACAAAAATAATGAGAGAGAAGCAATTTACAATTAGCAGTCATGATAGAAAACATGGAAAATTAATAGTAATTACTAACAGTTCCAAAACAAAATGTTCTTTTCTTTAAATATGTCCTGAAAATTATCTTTTTCGGACTATTTCAAGCTGTAAATTTGAGTTAAGAGTAAGCAGGCTGCAAACAAACCAACAGAAACTACTAAAGCCTTTTTTCCTCTTGAAACATAATTCTTTTCTTTTTAGATTTTTATGTATTCATTCATTCATTCATTCATTTACTCATTCATTCATTTATGTATTTTTAGAGAGAGGAGAAGGAAAGGATAAAGAGAGGGATAGAAACATCACTGTGTGGTTGCCTCTCATGCGCCCCCAGCTGGGGACCTGGCCTGCAACCCAGTCATGTGCCCAGACTGGGAATTGAACCAGCTACTCTTCAGTTCGCAGGCCGGCACTCAATCCACTGAGCCACACCAGCCAGGACTTAAAACATAATTCTTAGGAAAAAATCCCAACCTAAACATTTATTTAACAAAAGTAGGGAGGAGCAAGAGTAAGCAAGAATCAAATATACCTGGCAGAGGTTTGAGGGATGTCTGAATAATTGTAAATTGATTACATGTGGCTGGTTCCAAAACAGAGACACTGGTTCGCTGACCTATTTCTTGAGCTGTTATAATCTTAAAGCCATTGATCCAGAAAAGCCGACCACTATAGTACATCAGTGCATTCTGGGAAATTTCAGAAGTACTCCAGGCTGCAAATTCTGTGATGGTGGTGTCCCCAGCACTGCTAAAACATAACACCAACCAGTGTGTGTATATGAAGTGGGGGAAGGGCGGGCACATTCAAGTACTGGAGAAAACACATGTTTGTGTACATAAAAGCAAAGAGAAAACACCCTGCAACAATAATTGTCATTACTCTTAGTTTAATATTAAGTTGATGTATACATTTTTTAAAAAATATTCCTAAAGCAAATTTTCTAGGGCTTTTCTTATTAATGTGATACTGCAATGGCAAGAGTGTTACACAGATATTAATAGATACTTGTAATTCTTGGTAATACTCTAAATCGGAGGTACAACTCATTGATTCATTTCTCACTGAGTCATGTCTCTCTCCCATTCTTGCTTATTTCCTTGCTTTTATTATTCTAGCCTGTTTGGTCCTTCTCTGTACACTAATCACAACTCTCTATTGCTTCAATGATACTTATCAGCTTCTATAGCTCTATCAGCTTCTTTTATAGAAAAGAAGTCAAAATGCTTCTTTTCAGACCAGAGAATTCAAGTAAACAGACTATTGCTTAAATTTCCCTTAGAATTTTTTCTCATTGTCAAGAAATTTTACAAGCATGTTTTTACTTTAAAAATTTGTTTAGTTGTTTCTAGAATTACTCTAGTTACCTAGTACTCAGTAAGAACACTAAATGATTGTCAAATTTTTAGAGTAGAGGCTTGACCTCTTTTTAAAATGATTTCTCTAAATCTTGTTAAAGTGTTGACATTTCCCTCTGTGGAAAATTATAAAGTATGGCATTTAATACCAAAATCAATGAAAGTTTTGTTTTGAGAATTTCACAATACAGCCTTGAAAAAAACAGAAACTACCTTGGAGGACCATAGCTGGGAGTTTCTTATAAATAAGCAAGTTCACTAGTGCTATTCCCATAGTCCTTGGTCTAAGAAATACTACTTACTCACACCTCATCCCTGGTGAATACAGCATCCAGTTTGTCTTGCACACTTTTACCCACCTGACGGTGCCTCCACTGCACTCCTTTTATACCCCATCACGATATGCACCATATTGCACTGTAATTTGTAGTTTACAAACCTCTTTCCCCACAAGCACAATGTCTGCAACTGAGTGGATAACTGTTTACTGAAATAATGAATTCTCATGCATTACCATTTATAAATGAGGGGCAAGTCATTCTCTTCCTCCCAGTTGCCTTCAAGGAATATTACATACCTCTGTCCCCTAAGAACAGCAGTGTATAGGTGAATACATTGACTGTCTTGAACCAACCAATATAGGAGCCCATCGCTGAGGTCCAAAGTTAGAGCAATTACCTAAATAGGACATAAAGTAAGAAAACAAATCAAATACACATTTAAAGGACGCCTTTGTGAACAAGTCACACTTTAGCTATAGATATCTCTTTAAGATCCTCTTTGGAATAATAAACTCACTGCTTTTTTACCTTTTCCTGAATATAAAAATTATGTGAATATGCCTATTACTCTGTAATTTGGCTATAGGTGCACCGGTTTCCTAAAAATCTTCAAAAGGCAGGAATATTACTCATTTCTACATACTTGTCTCCAGCAGCTTCAACATCACCTGGGAACTTGTTGTAGATACAAATTCTCAACCACACTCAAGGTCCTGCTGAATCAGGAACTTTGAGCCTCTGTGTCATGTCACAACTTTGGACTCTTCAGCCACTCAAGCCAATGAATTTCACTGTTGTTTGAATCAGTTCTCAAACATTGCCGCACGTTAGAATCACCTGTGGAGTTCTTTAAAAATCTCAGTTCCCAGGTCGCGTCTTATTGAAGTGTGGTCTCTGGAGATGAAACCCAGTTCCCCAGATCATTCCAACATGTTAACATGTGTGAGAACCAATGGTTTAAACCATTTTAAGTTGTATCTTCTGTTCATTATAACCAAAAAACATCCTGACACATTTTGAAAATATAAGACACACAGAGTTTCCATGTGTTACAATTGGATAGAGTGTGTTTGTGTGTGTGTGTGTGTGTGTGTATTCCTATTTCCAGCTGACATCTGAAAATCACTTCTTACTACTCTCTCTCTCTCTCTTTTACTTCTTGTTACCATCTTGTCTTAATTTTATGTCCAATTGTTTAGGTGAGGAAGGACTACTTCTCCTATAAAATAGACTGTGTGAGATGGGACTTACAATCCAAGAGATCTTTCTGGCTTTATTGGCTTTATAGGTATTTTTCAAATAGCCTGAGATTGCCAGGAGTCTGAACTCAGAGTAGTGGATTCTCTCTATAGCAGGCTTAGGGACTGGAAGGTATCACAGAGGATTAAAGTTGATGACTATATTTTTAGCAATATCTTTAGCAAGGTAAAGTAGCATGTAAACAAAGTTGATGAGCCAGTAAAAAAATGTAAATGGAATACAATAATGTATTCAAGAACTAAAAATACTTACTAACATTACCCAAGGTCTTCTACAAAGGCATAATTTTGAGGTGCATGACTGGAAGAGCCTTCAGTGGTCTTGTAAATCACACCTTTCTGTTTTCAAAAAAAACTCAACCTACTCTTTTCCCAAAAGGCAAAAAAAAAAAAACTATTCTAGCAACTCCCAACCTTCTGGTCATTGAATCATGTACATACTTCAGGGTAAAAGAGGTTTATTGATTACTTTTTCAGTTAATATGAAATCAGGTTAATCTTGTTTATTTATTATGAGATGCACTAGAGTTTTCTAAATAATAGATTAACTCCATGTTATCTCTTTTTAAATTACTTTTTTATTAAAGTACTCTTAACATAAAATATTACACTAGTTTCAGGTGTGCAACATGGTAACTTGACATTTGTATACCTTACAATGTGATCACAATAAGTCTAGTAACCATTTGTCACCATACAAAGTTATGATATTATTGATTATTTTCCCTATACTGTACATTAATACATCCTTGTGACTTTTTATTTTATAACTGGAAGTCTGTGCCTCTTATTTCTCTTTGCCTTTTTCTACCCATCCTCCTACCTTCTCCCTTCTGGCAACGAGCAGTTTGTTTTCTGTATCTGAGTCTGTTTCTGTCTTGTTTGCTCATTTTTTTTTTAGATTCCACATATAAATGAAGTCATAAGATATTTGTCTCTCTCTGACATTTAACTTAACATGATATCCATGTCCATCCATGCTGTTACAAGTAGCAACACTCCTTACCTCTTAAAAAAAGGAGACTTTACAGCTCCCTTTGCAGAATACAGCAAACTATTCAAGATATAAGTAAAATTTAGGTGTAGAGTCATCATCCCACCCCTTCAGTCATTTGGTTTCATATTTAAGAGTCAGAGGGCATATTCCATAAGCCTTTGGTACCACTGTTACACACAAAAGCTCATATGCCTTGGAAATAATCCCTTTGATCTAAACTAAAACCTTGAAGTTTAATTCTGTGGTAAAATATACTATGTACTATGAGCCCAACCCATCAGATGTGGCAAAAAGTGTCTTTTAATTTAAATGACTATCTCACTTTGCCTACTTTTCATCACACAAGTAGTTTTGTTTTTCTATAAATAGCTGGCTCAATATTTTATCAGAACTGTTGATTGCAAAGTATCTTATGACTCCACGATAAATCTATGAATAGTGTAAACGATGACAGTGAAATGGAGAGAACTCTGCTTCCTGCAAAATGTGTTGCCTTCAACACGCCCGCTAGCATTAATGGAAACAGATAGCTAGACCTCAAACCACAGAACCAGAACACAGATTTTTGCAGGCAGCCACAACACCCACCAGCCTCTGAGAGGATTTGGAGTAGGAATTTAAAGAAAGGTGTATTTCACCAAACATACTGAGAAATCTAATGATCTACTCATTTACAGAAAAGTCCCCAAGGCCACTCCAGAGTTTTCCTCAATAAAAATAACTCAAACAACCAGATTAGGGCAGCAGAAAAATTACTGACAAAGCCCCAAGAACAGGAAGTTATTCTTGAGATACCTTTAATACGTTTTTTCAAAAAGAAAAGTGCTTTCCCCTAATATCTATTATTGAGATATAAAAACCATTTTCTTTGTATTCAGACCCAAATGGCTCCAAAAATTTTTTTTCAGACTGTGTAAATTTCTATTTATTTTAAATATCTATGTTCCAATCTATGTATGCAAATCAGGTCCTTCTAAATATCTTATGAATTATTATCCATATGTCCTATGGAACTTGAGGATCAAATGACTCAACAATTTGTTTCTTTGTTTGTTTATAAATAATGTGGTATATTTGTATTATGTATATTTTACCTCTACAGACAAAAAGAAACCTGAATTTTTTTTTAAATTTAAGAAATATCCTAGGTAGAAATAATATGAATGATTTATTTTTTTCTTCATGCTTTTCTATAATTTCTAAATTTCCTACAGTAAACATATATTACTGTAATGATCAGAAAAAATTTAGAAATTTGGATGGATGAAGAGAGGGTAGCTAAACAAGATCAAGAAAAATAGGCCCTGATTCTAGAAGTTGAGGAAGTAAAAATGACATTTGTTTCAGAAACATTCCTATATCAGGTTATTTATACTGAATTACAATAATAAGAGCTTAACTATTAAGCAGGTACCATGTGCCTGGAACTATTCTCATTATTTTCCATGAATTATCTCATTTAACCTTTACAACAACAGTGAAATGTTGAATAATTGTAAATATACCCATTATTCAGATAAGGAAACAGACACAGAGAAGTCAAATAAGATGCCTAGGAGTCAGTTTTCAGAGTGGTCAACATCCGAAACTGATCAAAGATAATAAAACACCTAATCACCACTCAACAAGTTCTAATGTAGCCAATAGAATTCCTGAGACTATAAAAACAATCAGAAATCAAAATGCATTTAAGTGTGGACCATTCAAGATAAGGCAAACTACAAAACTTTCCATCTTATGTTTTAAAATTTTAAATCAATAATGACAATCAAATAAAAGAGAAATTTGCTTATGCCTTAGCTACTCATAATAAACAGAAACAGTTTTATTCAAAATTATTAAATAATCAGATCTTTAATTTCTCACCTTTTTCCCAGAAAGCCAAGGCTGTGCCTGCAAGACAAGGGAATTTTCTCCATTTAGCCTGGTGCTTTCAACTGAGTACAGTGTGGTCCAATATAGGTATCCACCAATGGAGTCCACTGCCATGTCATTCACCAGCAACTTCACGTGAGTCACCATATCTGTGTGTCCTGTCAACACAGACTGCCTTTGTATCTGTGAAACATGATCATATGGCCAGTTAATGATTTTTCAAATGACATCATGATTTCTGAATAGCTTACTGCAACCATTATTAAATTGCTGCATTTATCCATTCATTTGTTCAACCACTAATATTTATTGGCACTATGGGCTGAGCAATGTGCTAAACCTTGTAAATCTAATAGTCATAGTACCTGCCCTCATGGAGCTTATCACTTTTCATGTCTCTAAAGGGAAGGGAGATAACTTTATTTTGAGTTAAAATACTTGTTCTTCCAAATCATATATCCAGAGAGTCAAAACACTGCTGGATAGGAACGTATTCTACTGGATTCCAGAAGAAGTATACATTCTGACAAATAATGATGTCTCTCCTTGCTTCTTTCTATCAATGTTTTTCCTATTATTAACTACCACCATTATTAGTGAGCATCCATTATGTGCCAGGCACTATACTTTTTTCAATCTTTAAAATATAAGCTCTTGTAAACCTTCACATTAAGCCTATAAAGAATTTCTATTCCCTACTTTTTCAGGAGGACATTGGGTTCAAAGAAATTAAGTAAACCTTCCTAGAGTTAAACAGTTTTATAAGAGACTGCGCAAATACTTGAAGCCAGTTTTTACATCCATTCTTCCACTTCCTCTTTCTAAACTATTTCCGACTAACTCATTTTAGGGAGCATTCTCTGATTAACACCACTCAACTCTGCCTACATGTCATTGGCACTTATCAATTCAGACTATCCCACATTGCCTTGCCTCTAAATACATTGCTTTGTATGTCTCTTCTATTATTTCATGTATGTATTTTTATCTCATTAGAAGAGCAAGGGCAAGTGGTAATGTTTGCACAGCACAAAACATATTAAAATACGATCCATTTTACATAACAAAAGGGTGAATTTAATGCTGTGTGAATTATATCTCAATAAAGCTGATTTTAAAAAAATATTTATATTTATAGTATTTCTATTCCTTCCTATGCCTACTCTCAGGGCTCTAACCAACACTGCTAGTAAATAAACGATTGTTGAGTGAATAAAATCATGGAAAATAGCACCCTCCTGATTAAGAAACGATTTCAGAAGTATATTTCTTGACCTGTCAGACAGTGTTCTCTATATTAACCATCTTTACTTTCAAAACATGCCACCCCACAAGCCCCAGATGTCTCCCTCTTGCCTCTGGGTCCACTCTCTAACCCTCGGCACCCTCCTCCGTGTCCCCGGGAGCTGCGGTCTATGAACTGCATCAACCGGTCTCCCTTGTTCTCTCGCTCCCAGGGATGTTTAGCCAACAGCAGCACTGGCAGGAGATCAGAGGGCAGAAGGAAAGAGGAGCTGAGGTACTCATTCTCCCAACCCCTGCATTTTGACCGTGATTGGGTTTCATGTCAACCGCTCACCTGAAGCTACGGCCCTCACAAGTTCTCCTTCTTTCCTTTGTCCCCTTAGGCCAGGAGGTAATTGTATTTTTCCACACTTGCTAGCCCAGAGCGTGTTCACCATCCTTTGCTCACTTTCCTTAGCCCTGTCTACACCTTTGAAAACAGTCCTTTCACCCATTTTCTTTTAATCACGCCATCGGAATGTGCCATCTTTCTCCAGGACACTGACCCACTGGTGAATATTTTAATAGATTTTATTTTAAGATATTAAAAATAGTACACCAAAGACATAAAATTTCTTTTACATATAAATAAATTATAATTTTAAAAAATGATCAAGCTTATAGGCAAACATTAAATAAATAATAGGTGTGACACAAGCATGAAAACAAATCACGGAAATAACACTCGAGCCACTGAAGTGGACGGGCATGGCTCTAGCAGGGCTGTCCAGCCTTTTGGCGTCTCAGGGCCACACCGGAAGAAGAGTTGTCTTGAGCCACACATTAAATGCACTGCAACATGTAATCTCAAAAAAAAAAAGAATATCTCCCAATGTTTCAAGTAAATTTACAATTTTGTGTCGGGCCGCGTGCACAGTCATCCTGAGCCCCGTGCGGTCCTCAGGATGCAGGCTGGACACCCCCGCTGGAGCACCCAGAATGCCAGGCTTTAACTTACCACATGTGTCTTTCCAGCCCAGTAGAGAAAGTGACCCAGCCACTCATAAGCAATGGCCCCTGCTCCTGCAATGTTGGGTATGTGATAACTCTCTGAGATATTCGTCCCATTCAGCAACCACACGTAAACATCGCCTTTCATGTCACTGTAGTAGAGGCTGTTGTTATACCAGTCCATGTCTCAAAACAAAGTGAATTGATAGCAGTTATTTTCTCACACGTGCTGACATAAACATAGCGGATGGAGGAATCACACATGCACCTGAATCTAATTTTAAGGCATATGCTAACATAGATAGTCACTAGAACTTCAGGGATCGGTCAAGAATATTTAAGTAATGTTATCCCAAAACCATTACCCCGGAACTAGAGAAAGGAACTAATACTCATTAAGCATCTCCCCTTCCCAAACACTGTCCCAGGCACTTCTACATATCTCACTTAATTCTTAAAACAAAGCTATGAAATAAGAATTATTCTGATTTTGACATGGCAAACCCAAAGCTCAGTGAGGTTATCTACTCTGCCCAAGATTTCACAAATAAAGATCTCACAAAATAAAAAGAGGAGGCGTCCCGATTCAAGACAACGCCAAAGCCTTCTTTCCATTAGTAACGCACTATCTCCTAAGCCCGACTTCTTTGTAGGTCAGAAATGCTGTTATATTTTTAATGACCAAGCAAATAGGTCAAAAAATTAGATGATTATAGAAGATGTCATATTCCAGCAAGATCACTTTTATCATCCTATAATGAAGATTTTTCTTCATTCTTATGTCTTCCAGGCAAAATTACCCACTTATTATTTAATAATCTTCTTTGACATAAAACTCTTTCTTATTCTTTATTTATATTTTCATTTAGCCTTTCCATGCTCTAGTCTTATGGCTCATTAAAAATTACTAAAGCATAGCTGTCTTAGTGGAACAAGATAGTTTACTGTGAGACAACACTGATAGATTAAAGTACATAAGAAGTATATTAAAGTCTTTCTGAAATGAGCATAAATCAATAAGTAACCTCAAATTTTGTGAAATAATAAATAGCATTCCTACTTGAGAACGAACATTTTTCTTATCCTTATCCAAGGACATTGTTTCATTGCTTTTAGAGAGAGAGGAAGGGAGAAAGAGAGAGCGAGAGAGGGAGAGAGAGAAACACCGATATGAGAGAAAAACATTGATGAGCTGCCTTCTGTACACACTCTGATGCCAGGGATCAAAACCACAACCCAGGAATGTGTCCTGACCAGGAATCAAACCTACAGCTTTTTGGTGTACAGGATGATGCCCCAACCAACCAAACCACACTGGCCAGGGCAGGAGAACCAACATTTTCTTAACACTCACTGGCATTATAATGCATTCCATTTTTTTCCCTTTCATTATTGACCTAATGCCAAAACACTCAATTCCCTTGATTTATTGAATAGCTTTGGAAGTCTTATGAGTAGAAACCTGTCATTCCAAGTGTAAAGGGACTTGGTATTTACCTGACACATTCCCTATATCAGAGGACAAGAATTCTCCTGGGCCAAAGCTATTTAATGGTTTACTCCAAAGCCCATCTTCTTTGACAGCCATGATAAATGGTGGTTCTGTAGCTATTTGGTAAAAAAAGAAATTAGAAGAAATATCACAGAAAGCACATTTTTTGGCACACATCTTATACCCTAGGATTTCTTTTATAAAGTAAAAGAGTATCAATATTTTGAAAATTCTCTGGAAAGGTATGAGCAATAGTATCTGCTTAATAGAATTATATATAATAGTAAACATACTTTTTGATTTTTATGTAAATATTTGAAATTGAATGTGAAGGGGAACATGTGGTAATATGGCCTCTACAGCAATGGTCATGGCAGATTTTTTTTTTTTTTTTTTTTGCTTCAGCTATTAGTTACCATGGTCCCATTCAGAGCACCCAGAAGCAACTATGATAAGAACAGCAGGATAAATGGTACATTTATCTTTCCATTTTCTTTCTGCCAAGAGGATGGTATTTAGTGTAATTTGCAGCCCCTCTATTTCTCTCCCCAGGACCTTCAGAGTTCAAGGAGTGCTGTTGCTTAGCAAACCATAAGGAAGAAGGAAGCCATAAAGAAGAAAATTATATTGCTTCTGCAAAATATCTTGGCAAGTTTAAAATGGCAACCTAGACACAGCTCTATGTGTTATCCTAATCTCAGGTAAACACACAGTCAAGAGGTTGTCACACCCTCATTCTAATTTCTTTACCACATTGGAGGTGACTCATTTTAAGGAACACAGGGAGCAAGTTTGTTTTTGTTTTTTTTCTTGTCAGGATCACTCCCTAAATCAAGAACATTTTCTTACCTGGCACCAGGGTAGTGCCCACTGAGGCCTCTGACCAAGGGCCTGGCCCCTTGGGAGAACTTGCTCTCACAGAAACCTCGTATCTTGTAGCACTCTGCAATTTAGGGACATTAAGCATGGTCCCATTTATGTTAGAGAAAACATGAGCAATTTCAGGGAAGTCTTGGGTTGATATCTTCACCTCGTAAGTCCAGTTCTGCCAGGCAGAAGGGCCTAATCGGGAGAATTAACCCATATTACTGACCAGGAAGACATCAGCAAGAGCAAACAAAAGATTGTCAGTAATGTGTCTTCAGCCTCACCTTGAATGGAAGGGTAACTGGGTAGTAACACATGTTATACCACTAATCATCAGGGTTAGTTTGACTAGTTTGACAATATGACTGGGACAGTGTCCATCCCACCCATGCCACTCATTTTGCTTTTTGATGGAGACATTATTCCCAACAACATATTAGGAGCCACTGGTCCACAGTCAAAGCTGTGTGTTTAACTGCAGAGAATTATCAGAGGGGTGCTCCCTAACACCACCAGGTGGAACCAGGCTCCTAATAAACAAATGCTTTGTGAGGCATCTCTAATATAATTCCCAGTGCTTGCATAGCACCTTCCTCCCAGAAGCTCAACAATATCAAAAAAAAAAAAAAAAAAAAAAAAAAAAAGGCCTCCTTATTTTCAGCTCTTTGAGATATACAGCAAACAGGCATAATTAATTTTGTCTTGGAGTAGAAAATAGGCAACGTTTGCAAAACACTCTACAAGACCAATGGTTCCAAAACTGCCTGTTTTGTAACTAAAGTCATATTGGAACACAGCCAAAATACTCATTGATGTATTATCTGTGACTGTTTCTGTACGACAAAGGCAGCGCCGTGTAGCTATACCACAGATGACATGACCCACAAAGCTGAAAATATCTACTCTCTGGTCCGTCATTTGTAGCAAAAGTTTGCTGACATCTGTGCTAGGTAATGTTTTAATGTTCTGCTTATGCATCTTAATTTAATCTGTATGTCAATCCCATAGAATGGCATATTTAATATCCCCATTTCCCAGTTGTGGAAACTGATGCACAGAGTAGTTAAGTAACTTGCCCAGGGCCATGCTGCTAACAAATGGCAAGACCAGCCTTTGAGTCCATGCAGGCTGGCTCCAGAGCCCGCTTACTTAACCCACCACACAAACTGCCTCTCCAGGGATAGAAGTTCAAGTTCAGAGAGTATTAGGGAGTTGTTCAAGTTCATTCAAGATCATGGTGGATACAAAGTCTCAACCCAAGCACTCTATCTCCCTGACTAATATTCACTCAGACTAGCATGTCAGTGCCTGACTCCTAGTAGACACTCAATAAATGTGTGAACCATTCTTTTGGGATAGAAACGGAAAATATAGAGATCCAATGCAAAACTAATAATTGCAGAATAAATGTGTAAAAACTTTTTTTTTTTTTTGAGCTAAGTGGCACATCTGGTCGATGAGTGAATCATCACAGATGAGCTCTCGAAATTGATCCACAATGTCAAGCAGCTCAAGCTCCCCTTCCTTCCAGCGCGGCCATAAGCACACTGGGGAGAGGGCACTCACTGGCTCCTATGGCGAGGGCAGGAGGCTTCCACTGAACCAGCGCCTGGTGGGAGCCAAACAGCACAGAGAGCCGCTGCGGGTGGGCTGGCAGCGGGTATGGCTGGGTGTACAGGCTAAAGATGACCAAGTTACCAAACCCAAACTCTTCTATGTGTGTCAGGTCACATCCCACGATGAACTCATTAAAAGAAAAAGCATCCTGTTGGAAAACAGCCTTGCCATCTGTGACAAGGAAGTCATTGTTTTCACAAGCAAAGCTCTTCACATCAGCAAAGGGGACGCGAGGCAGGACAAGATGGGAAGCAGAGCCATCCAGAAATGTCGACATGAAGACTTGGGCCGTGCCATTGAAGTAAATGATTCGCTTGGACTGTGGCTTTACTGCAAAGTCCTTTAATGTGCAACTTTCCACAACACGCATGGCTTTCGAGTCCCGAGCAGGTGGCAGCGGGAGATCTACTCTATAAATGCCGTCTCTCAGAAGATAAAAGACATACCTGACATGGGAACAAAAGAAACATGTGTGACTCGATGCAAAGGTAGATGAATAACCTCCTTGACCCATGGCTGCATCCAGTTTTGCAACCAGAATCATGTATCTCCAGAGTTGGTAAGTACAGGGTTTCCCAGGGAGTAAAAGAGTAAAGATATTTACTAAAGATATGCTCTGTTCATTTAAGTTAGAAGTTGGAACACTGTAAAAGTTCAGCCTGCTTATGGTGCTTAGCATCTTCGTCATTATACAAGGCTTTTTAAGGAATCATGGAATTTAAAAAACAGCTAAACATGTTATTTATTATAAAAATAACTTTCTCCAAAAAACACAAATTGTTGTCTGAATTTTGCCATTAAATTTTCCCATGCATTGTAAATGACAACATGGAAGAAAGCAAAAATATTTCAACCATTTTTTAGAAACCTCAGTTATTATTTTACTATCAATATCTAACAAAACTATTTTGTATTTGTAGTAGACTGAACCAGCCCCTTGAAATGTTTGAGAACCAGACTAGAGAAGTGAACTGGTGCTGAGTTTTGCTCAGCAAAAGAAAAGAGTGCAAAGGAAAAAACAGAGCAAGAAGGGCTTTTGGGGGGAAGAACTGAGGGGGCCAATGAGACCCTGAGTTGTGCCATAAAATAGTGACAGTACTAGAACACAGGTCCATGAGTCCTAGACAATAGGTCTGTCCCATATACCCATGTTTTACTGTGAATGAGAAAGGAAAAACTGTTTAACTAGAGAAGTTGTGGATCACATTTGAAAGAAATTCCCTCATGGCTCTATAGAATTAAAACTTTACCTGTTTACTTAAATTTGAGCTAAGACACACAGATTAGCTCATAGAGCTAAGAACATATGGTACTGTGATGTTTCATTAGCAAGGAAGTTTCCCAAAGTTTCTTGCCAATGGAAGAGAATTCATATTTGCAAGGCTAATTCACTTACCCATTGTACGAATCAGCCACAAGTTTTTGAGGTGCAGTAATTGAGGGAGGAGTAATTTCTTCAATGTTTGAGCAGCTCTCTAAGTCACAGACATACACCTGGAAAATCAAAATTCCATCAGTAGGATTAGTGCTTGCCTATGTTTAATTTGGCCAACAAGTATTTCTTAAGCATCTGCTCTGTGCTTAGAATTGTGCTAGTCACTGAGCACTTTTGAGAACATGAAAATGCCGTTAAAAGTCAGTTTTATATCCTACTCACATCAAAAAAATGCAAGTATGTATTTTCCTGGCTTATGAAAGCACTCAACTATTTTTAATATTTAGGCTGATCCAAGCTAGGGACTTCCAGCCATAGTGATTGTGATAACCCTGCCCCTTTCAAAGAAGGAGACTTGGAACACATCAAGGCTGTGTCTTCTCAAAGATTTCAGTAACACTGTGTTTTCAGGGACCTACTAAAGTTATCCCTGATTATTACATAATTTAAAATGCTTGCAGCTGATTTTGACCATAATTGGCAGTCTTACCTAGTAATAACACACATATCACCACTATCTTATGAAACGTGGGTTATTATTAGTATAAACTCATGACTCTGAAAAATCACAGATAAAGATAAGTTAATGGTAGGTCAGGACTAGTACTAGGTAAAACCTAGACCATATCTATGGTTCATTGCTAACCTAATATCTAAAAGAGTAAATAATCAAGGAGTATTTGTTGAATGAAAGAATTATGTTTACTTGTAACTAGACAAAACTATACATGTGAATATCAGTGTCTGGTTATTCACTTTAAATTCGCAGACTAACCAGTTCATCCATGATGAAATACAGCCTCTGATAAAGCCAGTCTACGGAGATGGAAGAAATCAATCCTGAACCTCTGTAAAAAATTCTCAGGTCAGACACATCAGACATGTTGGACACCTCCTTCACCCATATGAGAGTTCCTTCAGAGAAATAAACAACTTGCTGGTGGACATTAACTGATATTCCTAGAAGAGCCATGTAAATACATGTGTGTTATTATATAACACTAGACAAAAAACTTACATAAAAGATCATTTATTTTTTTAATTTTTAATAAAGGGATTAGCCCTGGCTGGTGTGGCTCAATGGACTGAGTGCTGGCCTGCAGACCAAAGGGCCACTGGTTCAAGTCCCAACAAGGGCATAGGCCTGGGTTGCAGGCCAGGTCCCCAGTTGGGTGCCCGTGAGAGGCAACCAAGCATTGATGTTTCTCTCCCTCTCTTTGTCTCTCCCTTCCCCTCTCTCTAAAAATAAATAAATAAAATCTTTAAATAAAAAATAGTAATAAAAGAATTAAAATAGAAGTCAACCAGGATCTTTCTTTTCACCCTAAGGAAACATTTCTCTCTATTATACTAACCTGTAATATTACGGTGTATAGCTTCTGACACAAGGCACTGTGCTTCATCTACTAAATGTTTTAAAGATCTCTTTCTTAGAGAAGATTTTCTGGATAAAAAGAGCCACTGTTCCTCTTCTTGAACTAAAACAACACAATTTACAGAGGGACAACCCCAATCATATACACATTGACCAAAAAGATCAATACCATCCTCCAAAGCAAGGAGCACTTGAAAGCGGTTGGTCAGATTTTCTCTGAGGGCCCTGGGGCATTTCAATTGCTGTATAATTGTATTATCCTATGATTGCGGTAGGAAGTACAATGTCCATCAAGTGGGTTACATGTGTATGTGCCCCTCAGTGCCCTCAAAATAACATCCCATGGGCTATCACCATTCCTCCACAGCCTTGCCCCAACAGAAGTTAAGCTCATTATGCTCAGCCATGAGAACTTGACTGCTCGGTGGCGGTGGTACAGCCGGGGCCAGAGTGGTTGTTTGAGCACACATGTACACACAGACATTGGTTGTCTTCATTTTTTTTTTCTTCGATATCTCTCCTTTTGGGGCAGAAGAAAAGTCGTTGGAGGAATGAAATTTCAGGACCACATAACTGTGCTTAATGTCCTGTTCTCTTGGAGACTGGTGAAGTATATACTGGTGAACACTTTTAGGGCAATTAATAAATGTTATGCAATAAGCACACTAGTGACAACCTTAAGCCAGCTCTATATTTAACTTGCCCTTTGGATGTGTTTTTTTGCATTGCAAAAATACCTCTCCTTTCCTAGAGTCTAGTAACAGCCAAAACCCCCCCAAGACTGGAGATAGATGACATTCAATACACCCTGGCCTAGGTGTGTGCAGATCAGGGTAAGGGGCATTCAAGTCAGCAAATGGGATTTGTCTAGTGAAAATAGACAACAGACTCCTAGAATTCTGAATCTGTTATTCAAAACTCTTTTAGTAGCTTCCCCAAAATATTTCTGGTGCTTCTTAGAAAGCATTTTCATGTATTATTTTGTACACCTAGGCATCGTGCAAGAAGTATTCAGTCTCTCAGGGCAATTGTTAAAATGTCAAAGCCCTAAAAAAGCATAATTATACAAAAATAATAAAAGCTAATTGGTAGATTGGATATTCAAAATGGTAAAATATTAAGTCCGGATAAATTTGAAAACCTTGAGGAGACTGGAGGAAAGAGATCTGATATGTATTGTATTAAATGACAATATACAATATAAAATGGGGATTAAGGCAGAGAGATTATATGCATTCTCTAAGTGTGTAAATGTGAGTCATAATCGCTGGTGATTTCACCCGAAACCAAGGACTTTTTTTTAATCTCTAAACTTTTTCATTTTTAAATTCCTAAATTCTTATGTGAAATCTTTCCATCTATCAACTTATTTCTATTTGTCAAACTGAAGGTTTACTAAGGACCAAAAAGGACACTTGGGCAGAAGAGGTGGGGTCTGGATGAACACCAGACATCCCAGGGCCTCTGAGATCTGAACCCACGCTTGCCACCCCCTCAATTTCCGCGTAGCAGCAGAGCATCCCTGGGCCATACCTGCTGGGGATGAAGTGGTAATGCTAGATTCTGCTTCTGGCCCCTCACCAACTTCATTTACTGCTGCAATTGAAAACCTATTCCAAAAACAATTTGGAGAGATGTGTTTCACAGAGCATGGTGTGAACAGGAGATAAAAATAGAAGGAGCAATAACGTTTCTATTTAAAGGATGACGTAACAATGCATGAATCTAGTTACTTGGTGCCAGTGCTCGGCACTAAAATGACCATCAATCACATCCTTGTTTGCATTTCCCATAGAACAGTTTGGGGCCACAGAGGTCACAGTCTGAACTCTGCTATCTGCATGACCTCCATGCCTACCTTAATTTAAAGGGTCTTAGTAAATGCTCAAAAAGCTAACATAATAAAATAACATCTCCTAATGGTTAATAAAAAAATTACCATTAACAGAATTTCACTTCCTTACTTCTTTATGTTGAATTTCATGAAGAAATGATATTCATGGTATTTACGATGGCTTTTATTAGCCCATATCTATAAGGGTCCTCTGAATATAATAGAAATAACTTGAGAATGCTTTCTGCTTAAAGTGGCGTGATCTAGCAAGCATGCAAACTTGAGGAAAAACACGATACCTTCCTCTCAACAGTACAGATTCAATAGGACTTCTCAAAATACATCTAAACTATCTTTTAACCATATTGTTTAAATAATTATCATACCTATAGCAATGCTGGTTACATTTTCCTTGCACCACTCCATTCTTACCTGTAGGTGGTATTTGGTAGAGTAGAGTAAAACTGGAAACTGGTTCTCTGTGTTCCTGAATCTAATTTTTGGTTTTTGCTAATCAGCCGTAAGTTATAACCCAAAATGGGCCCGCCGGGGAACGGGGGTGGAGCCCAGCTGACTTCCACGGTGTCAGGACTTGCGCTCTCAATATTTCTAATGAGAGGAGCATTTTCAGGAACTGGAAGAGGTAATGGTGACAAAATGAGCCGAAAATTGTGCAGCATTTATGTTTTTAAACAGGAGAGAAAAAATGTCCAGTTTTCTGAAAAGTTAACATAAGTGAAATACTTTTATTAATATTCAAAATAAATGACAGAACGTGGTAAGATATCTATGAGCTGCAACTCTTCATCCCTAAATCTTACCAGCTAGCTGTTTTTCTAAGGGACTCTCTCAAACGATATTTTCCTCACTTTTAATTTATGAAAAATAATTAAATGTGAAAGTATACAAATAGGATAAATATTCCAGGAAAAAGTTGTCAAAAATCTCCAGTGAGTTAAAAACAACTGCATGCGGGGTGGAACGAAGTTGGGAAGGAGAAGAGAATCTGTAACAAAACTGGAGTTAATGATTAACAGGAGTTGAAAGAATTAAGACCTGGGGCCTTTTCACTCACTAGGGTGCTATGGCCTGACTTGTTCCAGCTGAAGATGTGGGTTCAGATAAGCCTGAATCAGAACAGGCTGCTTCACATTTGCTGGCATCATCTCTGATGAGCCAGCTCTCAGGGTCCCTTGGAATCCAGGATGACTGTACTTTAGTTACACTCCTTCCCTTGCAAAGAATTAAAGGAGCATGCAGTAATTAATTAAGCATCCACTCATAGACTTCAGAAGCTACTGAAGTGGCAAGGAACAGAAAACAAATGCTCTTAACAGCTTGTCTTCCATCCATGTCCCACCTACTTTTCGTACCTCCCACTCCCTGACACCAGACTCTTTAATTTCTTATTTCCATAGAAAGGCATACTTAGATGTCTCTTTGCTCTTTAGTAGATTTCTCTCCCTCTGAACACTTTTGGCAGATGTTCTACATCACCCCTGATTCGTTTGTGTTGGGAGAAATCAGACTGTTTTTACAACACTGTTTTTAAAAAGGGCTTTAATTGATCTCTCAGCCCTTCTCTGATACAATTCCACCCCAACTCTCAGACTAATCTTTGGCAAACAAACATCATTGCATCCCTCCGCTGCTCCATGCATTCGGTCACCTTGGGGAAGAAGGCAGTAAGAATCATGTACCACTGAATTATGTCAAAAAGCCTAGCTCATTGCAGTTAATGCCCAGATATAATCTCCACTTCAAGCAAGTTACATGCCACCTACATGGTGTGATTATTGTCCAAATCTCCCCCACAAAAGCCCTCCCTGAAAAGCTGGTCAGGTTGGGCAAGGTATTCCTTGCTTAAAACCATTCTACTTGGTTAAGAAATTATTTAGAGAAGGGCCAAAATTAAAAGGCAGTTGTACCATCAAAAATCATGTATTTCCCATAGATAAGAAGAAAATAAGGCTATGTGGCAATGGAACACAAAACAGACAACTTCATATGTTTTGATGTGGCCAGAAAAGCGAGAGAGAATTGAAGCATGAGACGCTATCCACGGGAAGGACACCCAGTACGGGGTCTGGCACACCTGGCGGCTGTGTGGTCTTGCGCATCCAGGAGAACGGCCCAGAAATGGAAAGCAAAATTTGCTTTCATTATTTTGATTTGACCAGCCATGGGCTCTGGACCATGGTGTCTCTCCAGCCCTGGAAAAGAATCCAGCACAGTTGAAGTACATGAGGCATTTCTCTGAACAAAGGATTCTTATATCTGCTCCAATGTGGACCGTGGCAAACATGGTCCTTGTCTAGTGTTAGCCCTGAGAGAATGGTCAGAGAAAGATCAGGAGAGGTAGCCATGCATACCCTAAAATCTAATTAGCAAGAAGAGGGTGCTAATTGGAGAAGAGGGAAAATGCTCCAGTCAACTTCATCAGCTGTCCAGCTATGCTTCCTTAGGTTCAAGGCCTGGTTGGATCTGAGGGTCTCTGCACACAGCTGAGTATCTAGAACGGAGGGGTAAGGACATCTAACATCTGCCCTGGAGTAAGTCCTCACAGGCGCCCTCAGCTAACTCTGAGGCTGAGGCCAGGCAGCTCTCTTGGAGTGTCTGCCCAGGCGTTCCCCTCCCTAAGGCTCTAGGCTTGAATCATTTTCCTGATGTGAAAGTTACATCTCCAAAAAAAGAAATAAGAAAATGCTCCAATATATGTACTATGTTCTTCAGTCATCTTTGATAAAATGTATTGTAAGTATATAATAAAATGTAGTGTAATAACCTCCCAGTTTGTCTCTCTACCTCTATACTTTCCAATCTGTTTTATTCCCTCAATCCATTCCACGCAGAGTTGCTAAAATTATCTTTTCAGGGAGCCTGTGAAGCAACTACCGTTCTTCTTGAAAACCTCCTGTAACTCCTAACTCCTTACTGAGTCTTATGCTGACCACCTTATTTATACGGCAACCTGACCCACCTTCCCCTCAACTCCCCATTTCCAATCCCATAGAAGACAGACCCTGCTCAGAACATCCCTCTTACCATAGTGTACAGCACCTTTCCACTACAACAGACTTCCCTTATTTATTATGCGTACTGTGCTTAATTTCTTTTCCACGAAAATGTGAACTCCACAAGAGCAGGGATTTTTGTTTTGTTCACAGAGGTACAGTGAGCACCTAGAACACTGCTGGGCACATAGGAACTCAATTGTTAAATGGATTAATTAAAGAAGGAATAGATTTGTTTCATTGTTTAAAGAAAAATGGATTAAAACCAAAGCTTTAGAATAATCTCTTTCGTGCGCACGCGTACCTCCGTAAGGATGAGTCCTGTAGCTGGGGCTCGGGGGAGAGTGCAGCTGCAGCTGGGCTGTGAAGATCCAAACGACTCGAAAAATATATTCAGTGAAGGGATGCAGGGGCTGTACCACATATGACACCTGGGACACGGCCTAGATCAAGGAGAGAACAATCGTCAGCACCTGGAGCATCACCACCACCCACTGTGACTCCAGAGCACGGATTAACTTGGAGAAGGTGGGTGGCCTTTTGGATATGGGGTGACTCAGCGCCTGCCAGGCCAGACGAAATGAAGGTCTGGAGCTCAGAGCTGAGCCGTTAGATGTCAGTCTGCAGCATTCACAAAGAAACTCTTTCCTTCTTAAAAATTGCAAAATTATGGATTCAATTATTTGGCATTAACCACAAGGCTTTAATTTTTCTGTCAGTATAGTTGGTGTCTTGGGAATATTTTTCTCTGAAATGGCTCATGCTTTCCTAAAAGGTACACTTCTGAAGACCTTCTTGCCCTCCTCTATCCTAGTTAGAATCATTTTAAATGGAATGGGCAGATAATGACCAATAATATGAGCAGTTGGCTACATGATGCTCTGCTGAAGGAAAACATGTATGTGCAACAGGGGCAGCCAGGGCCCTCCCAAAGGGTATTTGTAACAGGGTCCAGAAAATGGGGTGTCCAAGAAAAAATATATTCTCCCCACCCCAGGGCGGGCCGCCATGGGGGATGGGAGCCTTGAGCAGGGCCATTGAGAGTCATTTTGCATGCCAATAACAGGATAGCTTCATTCCTCCTATGCAAAGAGGGTTATTTTGCATGTCATCAAAGCTAATCAGGAAGGTTTAAAAGACTTACACAGACTGTAACTGGGAGAGGGAGGAGGAGAGACGGGGGCCTGCAGGAGAGAACAAGGGGCACAGACTCTGGGGAACAGTGTGAAGACCACGCGGGAAGAAAGAGGGGAGAAAGGACTCTTGCTAGTGGGCCAGGAGAAGGTGCCACATGGTTGTGGATTAAGAGCTGGAGATCATGGCGACGCAGTGGATGGTGCTGAGAACGGCGAGAGGCCTGCCTAGCCGAGCCCCGGACTTCTGCTCTTTTTCTTCTGAAGGACGGTACCCTTGACAGGCCTGACTGGCCTAACTGGGCAGAGGCGGGAAGGCAGGACGGTGTGTGTGCTGGTGACTGTTTTAAAGGGATTTTGAGGTTTAAGGGTGACATTTAGCCATTAATCAAACCCGTATAACTTTTGAATAAATAGTTCCTTTCCTTTTCACAAAACTCTGCCATTCAGAGCCATTATTCCAAGGGCAGCGGGCAAAGGACCTACAACTGAGGGACCCCGGGGAAGGGGGTGTCATTGTTTTGGTACTAGCATCTAGGCACCACCCCCGCTACTAGTCCATTTTTTCGGTAACATGCCCAATAACCTATTTTCCTCAAAAATAAAGGTATGATGTTGACATGCTACAGAGTAGCAGAGATTAAAATTCATCTAAACCAAACCACTCATTTTATGGTTGAATCTTCTCAAGACTGTCTTTATACCTATAATTAAGTGTAGTAATTTGGCACTCTTACTAACTTCGGGAGAAAAGACTGTGTTTAAGTACATAGCCAGCTTTTCATACCTCAGTGTAAGTCCAACTTCCCAGAAATTGTGCATATTTCCACTGAATGATGTATTTTATTCCAGAAACATTGGCAGATTTCCATCGTAATGTCACACTTTGGTTTCCGATGGAAGAAGCAAAGGGTGCGGTGGGGAGGTCTGCATTTTCTGGGGAGAAACAAGATTTCATTCACCAAGCACCAACATTCCCACCAGCAGTGGCCGGGGCTCCAATTTCCCCACACCTCTTGAACATTTACTTCTCTGCGTTTTTTTCTTATTTTAAGAGTAGCCATCCCAATGGGTGTGAAGTGGTATTTCATTGTTGTTTTGATTTGCATTTCCTTAATGATAAGGGATGCCGAGCATCTTTTCATGTGTTTATTGGTCATTTTCATATCTTCTTTAGAGAAATGTCTATTTAAGTTCTTTGCTCATTTTTAAATTGGATTATTTGGGATTTGTGTTCTTGTTGTTGAGTTTTAATTCTCTCTATATATTGGATATCAATCACTTGTCCGACATATCATTTGCAAATATTTTCTCCAATTTGGTTGGTTTTGTGTTGGGTTTTTTTTTTTTTTTTTTTTACTGTGTTGACAGGGTCTTTCTAGACATAAAAATAAATTTTCATGACACCTAACTTGTTTATGTTTTTCTTTTGTTGCTTATACCTTCGCTGTCATAGACAAAAACTCCATAGACAAAAGAATTACCTAACAACTCCATTTATTATTATAACTTAAGTATCCAGAAACTCATCCAGACTCATTGTCAAGTCCACTGTTGTGAAGTTTTTGCCCTATGTTTTCTTCTGAGTTTTATAGTTGTAGGTCTCACATTTAGGTCATAGATCCATTTTTAGTTACTTTTTTTATGTGACATTACGTCAGGGTCCAACTCCATTCTTTTGTATGCGGCTATCTAGTTTTCCCAGCACCGTTTTTTAAAAAAACTGTCTTTTCCCCACTGAGTAGTCTTGGCAGCCCTGTCAAAATTATTAGACCATATATAAGGTTTTATTTCCAGACCCTCTATTCTAATTGGTCTATCTGTCTGCCTTTAATATGTGTCCAATGACAAGTTATACACAGAGTAAGGAAGAGGAATGATGAGGCATGAGAAGAGATGTAATTATAGCTGGGCAGAAGGGACCAGAGTTTTGTAAGTATTAGAAAATATATATTTCATAGCTAAAAAAAGATATATGGCTCAAAGCCATGGTGATACATATGGAAAAAGAAAGATAAAGTAGGTTTATTCTAAAATATCAAGACAAGAATGAATTAAATGAGAAAGAGAAGCTAAGCTGGGCTATACGCTACTTTCAATGCAGTACATAGCAGAGTACATAAGAAAAGGCTCTAAAATGAGATCGTGGGTTACAATACAAATTACACCCCTCTCCAACTATACAGCCCCAGACAACTCTAAGCAAGTATTTATAGTCGTGCCTCATTTCTCTCATCTGTAAAATGAAGATGATGATAATAATTTATATCTCTGAGGACAAAAAGTTAATATCTGTAAATTACTTAGAACACCACCTGACAAAAAATGACTAATAAATAATAACTATTTGTATTTCAATATGTTATTAGCTATTATTCCTGCCATGTAGAAAAGGCACATGGAGTGTATTCAAATAGGATAATAGAGCAGACCCACAGGCAACTGGATCCTGTCAGACAAACAAGGTCTTAGGTACATGGGCAAAAGATTCATTGTAAGAAACTAAAGATACAGTCTGTAAGCACAGATACCTTTATTTACATGTAGTACATCTCATTTGCCAGTGGTACAGAGACATTGATCCAAAGCCAGTGAGAAATTTAAAATAAAGCACTAATAACACTTGTATTCTGACTGAACTGTATAATGAAGTTGGTAGTATAATTTCAGAATATAAGAAAGGATATAAATCAAAGTTTCCAAAACTTTCTCAGTTCTGAAATCTTAAGTTTCTCAGTATTTTTTCAGAACTCCATAGACAAAAAGAATTACCTAACAACTCCATTTATTATTATAACTTAAGTATCCAGACTCTATCAATTTAGGAGATGTTTGAAAAATAGCACATAAAAACTTAAAGACAAAAATAATATATTTATTTCATTCTTTAATAAAAATAATTGCAAATTAATGGGATCTGTGTACTTATTGGGCACTGCACAGTGTCTCCAAACTTGTAATCAGTTTAGATACCACATCTTCATTTCTTGGTCCACATTGAGTTTCTCGTGGCACTTGCTTTCTATCACAGCAATAACAAAAAAAAAAAGCTAGCATCACAAAGATATGATATCTTTGAACTACTTCCAGCTAATATTGTTCTGGTGTCCAACAGATGTTGACTATCTCCGTGTTTCCCTCAATATTTATAATTCCCCTTGCCTCCCTGGGAGGTAGATGAAATGCCTTGGGGCACAGTTTGGAAATCATAGAATATAAATTTTATCCACAGCTAACTAACTCGCAAATACACAGAAGGAAAAAAGTGTGATATCACTGCCTTTCCATACTAAAGATCAGAAGTAAATCAGGACAGCAAGGCAAGATCCTTCTTCCAATCCATCAGCCACTGAGAACGAGGAGTAAGCCATTGAAACAATTAAGGAAAAGCCAATCCTCTCCTAGCCTGGAGGGGACTATCTCTCAATGGGAGGAGATCAGGAGGACTTCTGGAAAAGATAGCTGCTGGCATCTAGGCTATGACTTATCAAAGCATTGGCTCTTCAGAAACCACTAGAAAACTAATACTCTAGGGCAAAGTCACCTTAGAGGTATCCTCTGAAATCAGGCAGAGGGAGCTAGTTATACAGATGCATCCAAAGTTCCTTCTTTACTTAAAATCTAACACTGAGAAATGTAGCTTCTATACATTCTGCAAATTTCCCAGTCTTGTAGGGAGCCATATTTATGGAAGGTACTTTATTGAATAACTGCCAGTTGAATAATTAAACAAGCATCAAATTTAAAAATGCCTATACTCAGTTCATTAAAACAGTAGCATTTCCTGACCTCAAGTAAGCTGCTTCCCATTTGTTTCTCATTGATAGGAGTGATTGCATCTGCTGAACTAAGGGCAAAATCTCGGGTTCTAAACATGGCTCATGTGCTATGTTTGCCGTTTTGCTCTGAAAGAAGACTCTCAGTGAGTCCCTATCAAAATGGCTTCCACATTTGAAATTCTTAAATTACAGATAGAAAGATCACACTGAGGTATAGAAGTCTAGATATTTGAAGAGGTGGCTCATTATCCCTACAGAAGCATAGGTTCCTAGAGTGCTGTGGATTATTTTCAGTAATAGCTTTCTGCACCTACTTACCTAGCACTTGGTCTTCATATGCATCTTCAGAACTGCTGCAGCCGACCTCACAGGATTCTCTCTGAGGGAGACAGGGAACGTGCCAGTCAGTGCAGCCTTTGTACTGCTTTGGCTAATAAGGTTCAACTAAATTTTGAACTCTGAATGTCTGATATATAAGGATACCTGTACATCAATTATTGCAAGTGTAATACTTAAAGTGGCCACTCACCTGTGTGATTAGAACAACACCCTTTAAACTTTTTTGATCATGTCCCAGAGTCCAAAAAACATGTAAAGAGACAACTTAGTATAGACATACATGTTGTGGCAAAATACGTTCTTAAAACGGTATTTACTTTTTTTTTCTTTAACAGTTTTATTGAGATATATTTCATATATCATAAAATTCACACATTTAAATTGCACAGTTTAACAGTTTGTAGTATATTTATAGAATTGTAAAATAATCTCTGCAATCTAATTTTAGAAGGGCTTCATCCCAAAAAGAAATCCCATGCTTGGGATGCAATCTTTGTTCTGTCCTACCCTATCCTATCCTATTCCATTTCATTTGCTTATTGGGATTTTATTTACTAAATTGATTTCATAACCCTTTAAAAATGGGTCACACCCCACAGTCTGAAAAAACACTGAGCTCAAAAATGCAAATTATGTTTGCCATCTCAGTCAATGATTTGGTAACCTAATAATTGAAAACTCTAGCTTAAAATTATACCTATTTATTTCATATATCTATGCTTTCCTTGAAAACTGAAAAAAACTGACTATAATCTTTATAGTAACTGACCAGTTTAAAGGAGGTCTTAATACCAACATTAAATTTTAAGGTCTACAAAAATGTAATGATGATTAACATTTTATCTCATTATCTAAAGGTAGAATAAACATTTTGATGACTGATACACATATTTCCTGCAACTCTTAACAGATGCAATCAATATTAACCATGAAAAAAACAACTTGGAGAAAAGTCATGCATTGTAAAACTACAACACAATCATGATCAATCCTTCCTGTTCTCATTCAACTTATAATACCTAGGACAACATGCTATTGTTTCTCATGATAATAGTGGAAACCAATGCACAGTTTCTCTAAGCATCCCAGGTAGAGGGCTATGATTTGCAACTAGTTCTCTGGTGTTTGATCTGTGTGTTCAGAGGAAGTGGAGCCTGATAAGCCCAGGTTTGCTCAGTTAAAGATTAACTTAAACACCTCAGTTTGCGCTCAGGATTATTTAAGTTAAGGGTATAACATGCTTTTCACATATTTTTCAGTAAAACATATTCAACATGTTTATTAACTGCAGAGAATAAATATACCAAGTGGCAGCAAAATTATCATGTAACATGAGATTTTTTTTTTTCCAAGAAAGAAGGAGATGGAATAATGTTTATTTGGAAATATAGCTAGTACTGACTATTGGGGAAATAGTGGGCCTATTTTTCCTGCTTTTTTTTTCCAGGGGAAAATTGATAACAAAACTCTAATCTCTCTGGGCATGTAAATGTTTTGTTTTTGTTTAATTTTTATGAAATTTGTATTTTTTCCAGATTTAGGAAGATACATTTGACACATAACATTGTGTATAACAAAGTATACAACTTTAAGATGTATACTGTGTTGGTTTGATACACTTTTATATTGTAATACAAGGACCACCATAGCATTAGCTAGTGCCTCTAACTAAGAGTTACTCTAAGTTCTACATATTTAAAGTATAAATTTTGAAGTGTAAAATAGCCACATATAAATAGAATAGAATAATTATATAAATTATAACACTGCAAGAAAAGATTTATATTATATAAGCACAGACAACTGGGCAGCATAATGAGTGAGAGAACTACCACACTAGCAATCCAATCCTGAGCTTCTTCAGCGCTTGACACTTTTTAACTCTCTCTGGCTTTCTACACGCAATCCTCCTTGGACTGTTTTATTTGTTGTCACTGTTTTTGTTGCATGTGTGTGTGTGTGTGTGTGTTTTGGTGTGTGTTTTTGTCTAACTTTGCTTTTATCATAACAAAATGTTCTCACATAGTTTTTTAAAAAAAATGTTAATGCCTGGGTTGCGGACCAGGTCCCCAGTAGGGGGCACACAAAGTGCAACCACACATTGATGTTTCCCTCCGTCTCTTTCTCCCTCCCTTCCCCTCTCTAAAAATAAATAAATAAAATCTTTATTTTTTTGTTGTTTTTTGGGGGGTTGGAGAATTATGGATTATTTTTGTTTCTTTGAGCTTTTCTGTTTAGCACCTCTTTTTTATCAATTGCTTTTTTTTCATTGTTGTTCAAGTAGCGTTGTTTCCATTTTCCTACCATCACTGTCCCCTTCCCCAACCACCCCCACCTCCCACCCTCAATCTTTCCCCACTTTGGCTTTGTCCATGGGTCCTTTATACATGTTCCTTGACTTGACCTTTCCCCTTCTTTTCCCCCATTACCCTACTCCCCGCTTTTGTCGGTTTGTTCTTTATTTCACTGCCACTGGTTATATTTTGCTCATTTGTTTTGTTGATTAAGTTCCACTTATAGCTGAGATCATGTGGTATTTGTCTTCCACCAATTCGAAAGAACCTATGCACCCCAATGTTCATAGTAGCACAATTTACAATGACCAAGTTTGGGAGCATCCTAAGTGCCCAACAGTAAATGAGTGGATCAAAAAACTATGGTACATTTACACAATGGAATAATACACAGCAGAAAGAAAAAAAAGAGCTTCTACCCTTCACAACAGCATGGATGGAACTGGAGAGCGTTATGCTAAATGAAATAAACCAGGTGGTGAAAGACAAATAAATAAAATCTTTAAAAAAAATAAATATGGGGCAACTTCCCCCCTGCCCTCTGTTTTATCTCTTCTTAGGCAACCCCACCACCATCCACTCCCAAGGAAAAATCACTCAGGCACAGAGTAGTCACAGGCTATTGAGAAAATAATCCAATTTAAATTTTTGTTTTTATTTTTATTGTCTATTCAAGAGGAACTTTTCTATTTCACTAATGGATGATTATTTGTACTTCTTCCTCAGGTGAGATAAGTAAGTTCTGTTCTAAGGACATTTAAAAAGGATACAACATAAACTTTAAACTGAAAAATAATGTAGCCATCAATACTTATTGTCAACTAATCTAAAACAAATTCTAAAGAACAGATTAAGTTCACTTCAAGAAGCTCAAGTAGGAAAAGGCCAAAGTCCTCAGGTCTTTCTGAAGGAGAGAGACGTTCAAGGGCAGGGGGGAGCTGGCTAGGGAGCAAGAGGCGGCCAGGGCAGCCCAGTCAGCCCAAAGTCACTCATTAACGTGGCAAGAAAAAAAAAAAAGCTGTGTTTCAAAATGTTTCAAAGGAGTTTTGTCGAATAAGGAAAAAAAATTGCAACTAAAGTGTTCTTTTCTATGCATTATATTTAATGATAAAGCATATGCTTTATGGGGAAGAAAATACAGTCAGCAGAGATAAGGACATCCCTACATCTGCTCCTGCCTCCTCTCCCTCCTCTCCCTGCTGTCCTCTCCTGCCCAGGCTTCCAGGATTAGAACCTTTCAAACCAGATTAGATGGATGCATGTATACATATACATATCTACATATTTATACACACACACATATCACATACATGCAGATAGATATATAAAACACAGAAAATATTAGAGCAAAAATAGAACTTCACAGTTCCCTTTGCACCCAGAGTCAGAGCAGCCTCAGGAAGAATGCCTCTGTGCTCTGAGAAAGACTTAGGCTTCATTCTTATTTCACCAGCTTTTAAACAAGACATAAAGACACCTAGTTTGATGACCTCTGTTTTAGAAGGATTGCCAACTTACCTCACCAACTGTGGCATAGGTATCATTCTGCATAGAAAAAAAGAGAAAAAAACTTTAAAATCTTTAAAGCTGTCATAATTTTAGTGACGCCTAATGATACATTTCATCCAAATTAATTTCTTATTTCATCATTGGCAAACAACCAATGAAAAACAAGCCAGAGCAAGGGAGCCCGGAGCAGGGCCTTCTGTTGAGACAGGCCACTGAAGAAAGAGCTGTGAAAATCAGGTTGTTTGCATCTCTGGCAAAAGGGTGATCATGATGTCTGCTAGGAAGTCCCAGCCAAGTAAGAGGCACTCTGCGATGGACCAGGTGAGAGAAGGAAGGGGTGCTGGCCGCCACCCAGGGAAGACAGAGCCTGAAATGACAACCGCCAACAGCTCTGGCTGAGAAAGGTCAGCAGGTTCCTCTGCCCAGACGGGCCATGCCAGCAGCCACTCTGCTTCCTGGGCTGTTCCTGACAACAAGTGGTACTCCCTCTTCACTCACTCATCAATGTTGTTAGGACACCTGCTCCCAGGCCCTCACTGTGTTCTGTGCAGAAGACACAGTTTGAACAGGACAGAGAGCGACCTGGTCTGATGGGCTTACATGTTGAGACAAAACATAAATAGACAAATAATTACTTAAATTGCAATTTGTAAAAAGTGCTGCCAAAGAAAGGTAGAAGTGTTTTTAGAGTGAATAATACTTCCACGGTCCAGCTAGGGTCACTAACATGAGAGTGGGCGTGAGTAACCCCGGGCAGAGATCTGCAAGGCTGTACTGCAAGAAGGCTGTGAGGGCTATCGGAGAGGCCAATGTCCTTATTTAAATCTCAGTGCTACAAATCTGAGTAATTAATAGAAAATATTACCCAACTTTACCGTGACCTTACTGATTTAATCTCTGACCTCAGCAGCTGGCCATACAATCCACAAATTACACAAATTTACACAAATTACACAAATTTAAATTATACAAATTTTATCCATGGGATTGAGTAATGACAGTGTATCAGGCACTATCCTTAAGAGAGATTTGATTATTATCTTAATTTAATAATGAGAAAAGTAAAGTACCAAGGAGATAAGTACCTTAAGCCATACACTAAGAAGCAAAGCCAAGAGAAGTGAAAAATAAAGTATTGGGGGATGCATTTCCTACATAAAGAGAGATAAACGTAGGGGCTTGTGACCTCTGGATTAGATCGCTACCGTGTTGCCTACAGAGAAACTCTGAACATGGCCTAAGGCCCTGCTCTCTGAAGGGGGGTCTGGAGCCCACCAGCGTTGCATCACCTGGGAGCTTGCTATTAGTGTGGAATCTCTGGTCCCACCCTAGACCTACTGACTCAGAATCTGCATTTTAACAAGATCCCCAGGTTAGTGTATATCAAAATTTGAGAAGCACAGGACTAGGACATACCTAACATCCTACTAAAAAGCCTTTCTAGATGGCAGCAATTGGGCATCTTCGGGGTTCCATGATTTGTGTTAACCTCATTGGTTAACCAGTTATATTAGTGATGTTGATCTTCATTTCTCCCCATTACTGTGTATTACTCAGGCTATGGAAATTCACATGGGAATCTTCTTAGATGACTACTCCCTAAAAGGAACATTAGTATTCAAACAGAAACATAATTAATACTTACACACTTCAAAGCACAGCTCTCCTGGTTTACAGAGTTCCAAAAATGACATCCTTGGATGCACTGCAAGAGGCAATAAGAGACAATGGTGACTGACAAGAGTGACTTTCTTTTGTCACCTGAAAATGCAACATAGTAAAAAAAAAGTGTTTTAGAAATAGAAATCTACTGAGGAATCTGGGGCCCCAAAGAATCAGGACCTTTGGGCCTGTAGGCAGAGCTGTCCCGGCTCCAGGCAGCAGGGTGGTGTGGTTCACGGAAAGGTAGCAAGGGGGCTGAGTGGAGTTCAGCCTGGGGCGGGCACCTCAAGAACCCGGACTACACCCAAATTTCAGGTAGCACACTGTCCTCAGGTGGCTGGCAGCAGGTAAAGCCCAGGACAGCAGGGCATTGATCATATCATGGGGTCCATCGGGTGGCCTCGCATGACAAGCAAGTCTCAAAGCTGGCACTCCAGCAGAAGGCAGCCTATCAAAACTTAAATAGAGGGACAGTGTGAGGAGTCTGCTGCCCACTGGCCGGCTTTCATGCCACAGCTGCCCTGAAAAACCTTCTCCCCAAGTTGCCCTGGCCTCCTGCAGATTCAGCCCATTCCTCCTTACTTTCCTTGATCTGTCTGAGCCTGTGATTGTGTAGACATTCCTTCCGTGGGCCACAGTGACCCCTGGATCCCCCTCTCCCTTTTCTCAGTTCCTTCTTTAGCATCTCTTTTCTCCTCTCCTCACAACTTTTGAGTTTGTATCCTATCTTCAACTTTTTCTCTTCTCATCCTTCAAGTCCTTCACAAGTGAGCTCATCCACTACCCCAGCTATGGGACATTGTACCTTTCTAGGAATTTATTCATTTCTTCCAGGTTGTTCAATTTGTTGGCACAGAGTTGTTGGTAATATTTTCTTATAATCCTTTGTATTTCTTTGGTGTCAGTTATTACTACTCTTTCATTTCTGATTTTATTTATTTGGGTCTTCTTTCTTTTCTTTCTTTCTTTCTTTCTTTCTTTCTTTCTTTCTTTCTTTCTTTCTTTCTTTCGTTTTTTTGATAAGTCTAGTTAAAGGTTTATCAATCTTGTTTGTCTTTTCAAAGAACCAGCTCTTAGTTTCATTGATTTTTTTATATTGCGTATTTAGATTCTATTTTGTTTATTTCTGCTCTGGTCTTTATTATTTCCTTTCTTCTACTCACTTTGGGCTCCATTTGTTGTTCTTTTTCTAGTTGTTTTAAGTGTAAGGTTATATTACTTACTTGATATCTTTCTTGTTCCTTGAGATAGGCCTGGAATGCTATGAATTTCCCTCTTAGGACTGTGTTCTCTGTGTCCCATAGATCTTTGGCTGTTGTGTTCTCATTTTCATTTGTTTCAAGGTACCTTTTGATTTCTTCCATGGTCTCGCTATTACCCCATTCATTGTTTAGTAACACGTTATTTCATCTCCATGTGTCTGTTGGTTTTCAGTATTTTCCTTGTGATTTATTTCTATTTTCACACCATCATGGTCAGAGAAGATGCCTGATATGATTTCAATCTTCTTAAATTTATTGTTTTGTGTCCACACATGTGATCCATCCTAGAAAATGTTCCATGTGCCCTGGAAAAGAATGTATATCTGGCTGCTTTGGGGTGAAATGCTCTGAAGATAACAAATCCATCTGATCTAGAGTGTCATATAAGGCCATTGTTTTCTTGTTGATTTTCTCTCTGGACTATCAATCCATTGATATGAATGGGGAGTTAAAATCTCCTGTTATGATTTTATTACTGTGGATCTCTCCATTTATGTCCATCAAGATTTGATTTACATATTTATCTGCTCTTCTGTTGGATGTGTAAATGTTCACAAGGGTTATTATCCTCTTGTTGATTTGATCTCTTTATCACTATGCAGTGTCCTTTGTCCTTATTATAGCTTATTTTAAAGTCTATTTTGTCTGATATAAGTATTGCTACCTCAGCTTTTTTTCTCTTTCCATTTACATGAAATATCTTTTCCCAGCCCTTTCCTCTTAGTTTGTGGATACTACCTCAGCTTCAACCATCCTAGGTGTCAACATCCCCACATCAGAACTTCAGCTGAGGCTCTTTCCCGAGCTCCAAACCTAGATTTGCAATTGCTCATTAGATACCTCTGTTTAAGTTCCTACAATCACTGCAAATTCAGCATGTGAAACATCGTAATCCTCACTGTCTACCATCCTGTCTGATTTTTATCTTGTATTTCTCATCAGTATGTTAAAATTTGAGTTGCCTGAGCCAGAAACCGGGGTGTTTCTCTTTGCCCTGGTGGCTCTCCATCACCAAGCCCTACTGACTCGCCTCTCGATGCACTGAAATCTGTCTCGGCTCCTCACTCCCTCCCTGCCCCTGCTTTTCTTCCGTGCCCACCACCACTTGCTAACAGCTCTGGCGGGGGCGGGGGGGGGGGACTTCTCTTGTTTCCACATTTGAAATGACCCTTTTCAAAACAAAACTTAATCACCATGTAAAACCATGCAATTGAAACCAAATTCCCACCATGGTATACAAAGTCCTCCATAGTCTGGCCCTGCCTACTTGGCAGCCTTGTCTTCTACCTCCCCATCCTCCACAGACATATCTCATTTTCCAAGCAGACTGAAATATTCTTACTTTCCTGAACAAGTTAGGGCTTGTTCTGACTGGTGGACCCTTTCCTCTCTAGACTTTCTAGAAAGTTTTATATCTTTCTAGTCTTAGTTTGAAAGTCCATGCAGGCAAATGAGGTGCATTTACTCTTGTGTATTTTCTCTGTCCCTCACCTCCACACTATTCTGGCTCTTGTGATGCTGTCTGGTGATGATTTTAAGTATATGTCTGTTTCTCTTACAAGGTTGAAAGTCCCTTAAAACAGAGACCCTATTTTATTTATTCTTAAGTCTTTATTAGCAGAGTGCCTGCTTCCTACTTATGCTTTCAGTCACTAAACACTTGTTGAATAAATGGGCACAGGTACAGAAAAGTAATAGAACCACTAATGTCATTGTTAGAATAAACATTGGAGACTATCTAATCCAATCCTCTCAGATAACATGTAATAAAATTATGTCTCAGAAATATTAATTTGCATAAAGCCACACAGATATGTAGAATCAAACTCATGGATTTGGATTGGTCCTGTGCTCTTTCCACTTCGACACGCTTTCCCTGGCTTCATTTTTTAATATTCTGTAATTGAGACTTACATGTATTTTTAATTGTCCTTCATCCAGCAGGGACAAATAAATGAGATCTTTCTTAGGAATTATTCTTATTGTAATAAAACCTGACCATTGCTTCTTATCAATGAGAGCACTATGCAGTTCTTAACAATAGAAGTGACTGCTCACCGGTTCACTCCGGTTACACGGCATGCCACTGTCCAGGTGACCGCCCTGCAATGCAGAAGTAGGTAAACACCAGCTCCCAAAATCATGTTCAGGAATGACTACCACACCTTTAAAAAACAACAGCAACAAAATCTTCCTGGAATAGTGCTGCCTCCACAGTGCCTTCTAAGTGTAAAGTAAGAAGGAAAAAAAAATATCTTAAAGTTCATCAAATCAGTCAGACAAAAATTCCAGTGCAAATTATAAGCTGTAATGTCTAAAAATTCTGCAGAAAGGATAAAGGTGGGATGGGGATGTGACTTTAAAAAGTGCCAAAGGACAACAGAGAGAGCCTCACACAGTATTAAACAAACCTGTGACATGCCAATTAATCCTGGCAAAGGACTCCTGGATTAAACATGAATTTTTCTTTTTCATAAGTAGACTTATGAAGAGCAGAGGAAAAAAAACAAATTCAGAATTTTACATAGAGTAAAACATCAGATTACTCTGTTTATTTCTCATATTTCCCCAAAGTTTAAGAACTGTTTTGTGCTGGGGGGAAATGAAAGAAATGGGAACTAAGGGGGAAAAACTCCCTAAATTGCTCATCCTCTCCCTGTTCCTTATTTGAATGAATCCTTCATAAACAGCAGGACTCACCGCAGACAGCAATACTGGACCCGTGCTAATCAGATATGTACTTGAATAGCATTATATAGATATGATCAAATTGTCCACCTGTCTCACTGATTGACTTAGAATTATAAGAAGAGGAAAACGAAGTGAATTTTTCTAGTTGGTATCGCTCGGAACCTCCCCCTTGAAAGCTGCTGAATTTGAACAACTGAATCAAAGAAATGGTTAATCTAGCAAGGAGCACACACCAGCTGTCCTTGGCTGACTCAGCATTATAAGCAAGATATGTTCCAGAAGGTCATAGAAAATTCAAGGGGCAGGGGGATCGGGGAGGGGGGTTAAGTGTCTCTTGTGTCCTTCTGAACATGCTATGCTTTTCAAATGGAAGAAAAAAGATGTTCGTCACTAAATTTCTTGAGCAGTCTCTTCCTTCCACATAAGCAGCACCCATTTCTCTCTTCACTCTCTCCCCTGTACTTTAGAACAGTGCTTTAGGGATAACAGGTGCTCAGTGAATATACTGAAGAAATAAACCCATGAATTCAGGGTGGCCAGCACTGCCCAGGGCCCAGTCGCATGGGGGTAACTTGAGAAGTAACCAGATGCAGAAGCCAAAGAACAAATGTTGCCTTTTTTCTTCTTATTTGGTGTGTGAATAAAGGCTATTCTAATTACCATTCCCTCACCACTTAAATGTGTAAAGAAGGATGCTCAATATGTTTTTATTTTTTAGATGATGAACACTAAGAACTGTGTCTTTTAGATTAATTGTGCAACCATGTACTTAATATTACTTTGTTCCCATGATTTTCTTCAACATGAAGATTTTGGTTCTCTCTAAACCATGACTGAACCACAATCATATACAACTGAGTATAAGAGAGTAAACTTGCAGTAAAAATTTCTTATATTTCTTCAAAAATCTATTGGTTCATAACAGCAACAGGGTGGAATTTGAGTCGTTTTTGTGTTAGGACAGCAGAGATGTTTCTTGATGACCATGAAGTCACATTGTAACAGTACTGAGTCCTTCAGTTGGCAGCTCTCAAGACCAAGTATAACAGGCTGGACGGAATGCCCATCAATGGTCTTGGGCAAAGGCAGCCTCATGAGCCACGTGTACAGGGTTCTGAAGAAGCAGATTTTAGCAACACTCTTCCCTAATCTCTACTCAATCTCCATTCCCCCTCCTCATCGTTACAGCTAACAATTTGTGAGCAACTCCTAAGTTCCAAGCACTCTTCAAGGTGTGTTACACTAAATGTCATTTAGCACCTCAACAACCCTATTAGGTAAGTATTATTATTAACGCCATTGTACAGCTGAGAAACAGGGAAGTTTAGTAAATTTCTCAGGAGTTAGGATTTGAAGGAGAAGGAGAGGAATTGCCTCCAGAACATCTTAACCAAAGCACAGATGCCCTCTGTGATCTGCACCAAATTCTCATTCTTCCTTTTGGAGTTAGGAGGTGCCTAGTTTACCTTAGTTCCACCTGCACCAATCGTTTGCTTAAAACACACAATCCACGTCCTGGATCTCAAGTTCTTTTGACCCAACACCTACTTCCTGGCACAAGATTTTCTGCCTTGCCCACTTCAGCCGGAACTAATTTCATTTACTTCCTACCCTAATAAATGAAACAAAACAGAATGATCTTTATTTTAATTCCACTGCTCCTGATGTGATATTTTGAAAGGTAGCCTGTGTGTCTAAAATCAATATTCTCACCTGTGACATAAGCAAAATAATACTTAATTCACAAAGTTCTGTGGGGATTAAATTAAGTAATGCATTAATTATTATAGCATAGTTCCAGGCACTTAGAAATCTATTATTAATATTATGTATAAGCTTGCTATAAATAGGCTTTTGCAGACATACCTTTGGTTCCTTATGCAATAATCTCTTTAGATAAATTTCTTGATGTTCAGGGTTATAAGTATATTTTTCCTTTTAGTTTTGGTATTTACTAATCTGTGTTTTCTAAAAATGTATCAATTTACTTTCTAACAAACAGTACATGAAAGTGCCAGTTCATCCAAACTCTGCCAATTAAATGTTTTTAACTTTGCCAAACTGATAGAAAAGTTGATAATTCATTTTTACTGTAAATTTCTATGTTTCTGTGAAGATCACATGCTTTTTAGTCATTTATATTCCTTATTTTTTGAAGTAGGTCTTCATGTTTTAACCTTATTTTAAATTCTTATACATAAGAATTGATAAAATTTTGTTTATCATGTGTAATCCTTCTATTTTTTGACTTTACTTTTACTGTCATATAGTTTAAGTTTTTAAGCAGTTATATTTATTAATAATTTCCTTAAAGGATTCTGGATTTTTGAATCAGGTTTCTTAAAGCATTCCCACTCCAAGATCATGGAAATATTTGCTCCTAATTTGTTTTAATATTTGAATGGAGTAAAGTCTTATTTTGTTTTTGTTTTTTGTCTGGATTAAATCATACCATTTTTTAATACCTCCTGGAATCTATTTGAATCTGATAGCGATGTAGGGAGTCATGTGTGTTTTTTCTTATTTTTGTAAAGACTATTTTTTACAGTTTAGCTTCACAACAGAATTGACATTAAGGTACAGCGACTTCCCATATAACCCCTGCGCTCACACATGCAGTTTTCCCCATTAACAACTTCACTCACCAGAATAATACATTTTTTACCAAGGATGAACCCACATTGACAAATCATAATCATCCGAAGTCCACAGTTTATGATAGGGTTCACTCATAGTTTACACCAAACTCTGTAGGTTTGGACAAATGTATAATGACATATATGTATCATTATACTATCATACAGACCATTTTCTCTGCTTTAACAATTCTCTGTGCCCTGCTTATTCATCTTCTCCCCCACTCCCCCCGAACCCTGTCACCCTCAATCAGTGATCTTTTTGTTGTCTCCATAGTTTTATCTTCTAGAATGTTACAGAGCTGAAACCTTACAGTATATAGTCTTTTTAGGTCGGCTTCTTTCATTTGTTGATAGTAATATGCATTTAAATTCTTCCATTTTTTTATGGCTTAATATTCCATTTCTTTTTAGCTCTGAATAATATTCTTTTGCTTGCATGTGTCACAATTTATTTATTCATTCACCTACTGGAGGGAGTTATTCTTTATTCTAATCTGATAGCCCCACTTTGATTGAAATTGTCATCTTTATCATATTCCACATTCCCTTATGTACATGGTCTTATTTCTAAACTGTATTCTGTTGTACTGGCCTGTCTACTCCTACATCAATACAAACTGTGCTAATATCTGGATATTTTATGGAATTTTTGGATATGGTTTTATTCCATTATCTTGTTATAAATTTACATATTATATACAAGAAAAATATTAATGTTTGTATATTTTTTTAATAGAACAATCTTCTAAACTCTATTACTACTAATGGTCTTTTAGTGAATTAGATTGGTACTTCCCACAGAGCACTTCTCAACACTAGTTCCATAGCTGTTGGGATTCATTACTCAGAAAAGAGGGTTTTATTGCTGAAAAAGAGAATATTGTGATTAAACAAAGCCACTCACATGCTATTCTGCCATGTGGATATACATAAAAAAAAGGGTATGGCAAAAAGAATTTCCATAAATTACTTGATCATAAATCTCTTTTGTTTCCTCTTCATAACAGATCTCACAATGCTGGTGTTCTGAAGAATATTATGCTTTGTTCTTTGCAGCACATAGCATATATAATTCAAAAACATTAAGTCAGTTAATGTAAAATACCCATGTGCAAGCATAGAATTCTGATTTGTGCATTTTTGGACAGCAATTCTAACACTCCTTTGTATAATACTCTCTTGTTTTTCTTTAAAAAGCAAAGATGTCTCAATATCAAGAACCTCCCCCCAGTAAAATCAAATATGACCTTCACAGCAAATGTCCAGGCTCAAAAGGATGGCACAGAAAAAAATTTCAAACAGTGTAATAAACTTGAGCACTTTCTATATCCCTGTCCCTAATCCATGGCGGTGTTCATTGTCCATTCACCTAGATTCTGTCCTGCAGGCCCTGTGTGGGAGGCCCAGGCGGAGAACCTTTATCACAGTCACTAGTCAGACTGGTAGACCATGTCTCTTGTAGTTGCCCCCACATCAGCTGTGCCTTTCTCTGTAGGTGGTGAACGGAAGGCAACTCAGCAAAGGAACAAACGGTCTACTCCTACTGCCAAACCCTGAAATCAAAGAGCCCACACAAAGAGATAAGATGGAACATAACGAAAAATGAAATCAAATAAATAGGGTAGAAACTACAATGATGGAAACAACCAGCACCAATTTTGATAGTTGCAACGGTCACAAATTATGGTGATATTTATATGATGGAATATTCTAAATACATTAAAGATCTTGTTTCCATAAAAACCCCAGGGTATAGGAGAAAACATAACGTTAGGTGAAAATGCTGGGTGCACAACTGTGTGTAAAACTACATATTTGAGGAAAATATACTGAAAGAAAGTACAAACAGGATAATAGTGGTGGAATTTTAGGGTTTTGTCCTTTATTCTCCTCTATTATCTATCTTGTAAATATTTTACATTAAATATGTATTCTTATTATACACAGAGAAAATTTTCAAATTTTTTACACATAAAACATTTAATCATCCCATTCTTTCATTTTTAAGTTTGAATTACAACTGCAAAAACCTAAAGCATATAATTATACATTAATGGCAACTGAGTCTTCAGCAAAGATTTATGTAAAACACCAAACTTTTTTTAAAAAGTGCTATGCTCCATAATAATATCCACTATATTTAAATAGAACCAAAAAGAGAGTAACACAAATTTATTTTCTAATCTACCCTTGACTTTGATCTCCAGTACTTTAAGATATTATTGAGTACTGCATTTTATTTGATATTTTCATTATTTTTTAAAATATGGCTCAAAGTAGTGTCACATGTAAGCTATCAGGCTATTTCCTTCATCTTTAGATGAGTATGTCTTTCCCTGGTTGGAATGTATTTGGCTTTTAAAGTTGATTCAGTGACTGTTTTAAGTACAACTAAATCACAATAACTAAAAAGATATGAAATAATACATACAAGAAGGGTGACTCCCAGAAATGAGAAGAAAAACAAATTTAAATTTCAAAGAAAACCTCATTATAAAAATATTACAAATGCATAGATAGCAATAAAGGAACATACAAACAATTCTGGCTTTTTAAATAAACCATTATTCTCTATGGTATTGCATCGGCTTCCTTGATCATTCACCTCCCCATACAATCATCCAGCCACCATATAAATAGCATTGATGTTTACCATTGGAAGGCATTGCCCTGTGCCCAAACCTATTCCATACTTCAAGACAACTGTAAGTGATTTGGTAATAAATGAGTTTTAAAATTGTTTTTTAAAGCATGCAAAATTGATTCCATCAAGCCTCCTTTACTCAGATCCCAGCCCTTCCAAAATCTGTGAACAGATAAAGAAATAAAATAGCCCTGCCATACCTTCTGGAATTATACATTGTCCTAACATACTTTGAAAAAAGAATCTTTCTCATGAGAAAACTTCTTATAAAGTGAAAATAATTTAATCCTTTATGAAAAGCTGAATTCTATAGGTTTTAGTTCCTGCAAAAATAAATATTAGACCAGTAAAACTTACCAGGTTAGTTACACATGACTTTAGGCAGCTGTTTAAAACTGCGCACTGAACCACAGAAATCCATGTGAAGCCAAGAGTCACAAAATTGACAAGTTTCGGGATCAACCAACAAATGTTCTTCATCGCTTCAACACTGGCGAATTTTTAGATGACCATCCTAGTTTTCTCCATTTCGCCATATGAGTTCTCTGGGTTTCATCACTTCAGTTGAAAGAGTGGCTGGTGGATTTCTTTTTTTAAATAATATATTTAGACCTTCTAGTTTAGACCTTTGAATCCCAGATAGCTTGTAACATGCACATAACAGCTATTTCATAACTTAGCTTTGTTTTACTCCCATAAAAAAAAAAAAATCACCCACTGACTAAAGGTTAGATCTTAGAAGAGCGCTTCACATGGAAAGTAAACAAATTGGAAAATGCAATTGCATTTCAGCAAGCATGTGACACATGCACTGTCTGAAACCCAGACGCTTCAGTGGGGCATCTACCCTTCACTTTCTTGAGGTTGGTTCAGCCGTGCAGGAAATTGAATTTTCATCATCTATACTTTAACAAACGGTAGCACTATTATAGTAAAGAATTATGTATAAAAAATAGAAGCACTTAAATCAAACAACGTGACAGAGAGGAAAAACAAAACCCTTTAAAACCAAGAGCATATTTTAAAATTAAAAAGCAAATAAAGATGAATTTAATAGACAAATACTCTGAGGGCGAAGTAAAGACAAGGAAGTTAGAGTGCTTTCAGAACTTCACTACATATTAACTAAAAACACTGCCTTATCAGGTCTGGTGAGACAGAGAGCTGAAAGTAGCCACCACAGAAACCTAAGATATCTACTAGTGTAGCTGCCTTGAAAAGGAAATATTGTACAAATTTCAATTAGCCTAGAATCAAGATAAAGTTAAGCTGAAGTTTAAACAAAGAATTTGCAATCTGTAAAGTATGGAAGTGAACCATTCTGGGTAACTGCTTTTCTGATTGCTGAGGGTTAACTCTTTAAAGCTAGATATTTGGGGGTTGGTGTTCTTTCCCATGACAACCTCAAGTATCAAATAAACTTTCTTGTCTGCTTAAATAAATTATACTAATATACTTACCATTTCTTAATGGCACAAGATTCTCGTTATAAATAGTACATGCAATAGGCTCGTTTTGAGCTGAACATCTTCTAGTAAATGTTGACCAAACTGATGCACAACATAAAGACGAATGGCACTGACTCCAGAAATAACCCCTAAAACTTGTCTTGAAATTTTTTTTCACTGTCTACTTGTTCATTTCCTGCATTTTAAAGAATGTAGATTAAAGAACACAAAACCATATGCAGAATATATAAAGGATGTAAAGAATATACAGTATGGCTCTCTTCCTACAAAATATACTTTTAAATCAGAGAATAATTTATCTTGCCCAGGGGATTTTCTCATCCCAACAAAATTTATCTTCTTCACTGTATTACCAGTGCCTTTCCCCTTATCAGCACAAATAATATGTGTGAATTTTACTTCACTAAGAAAATGGGCCACTAAGCACTTCCTTGAAAACCTAAATACATTTTTCAAATTTCAGTTAATTTAATTTTATTGGTGGCATGTGAGATACAAGTTCCCACCAAATTCAAGATTTTGTGTTTATTCTGGTTTCTGAAATTTAAGCAGCACGTAGATTTGCACTCATGAGAAATAGAGTCTATTCAAAGATGCTTGCTGCAGAATTATTTATGTTAGCAAAAGATTGGAAACAACGTGAAAGCCCAATAAGATACGACTGGGTCCGTGAATTTACATATCTTCTCCAGGGGATTTCTGCGCAGGGCTGGTTCGGACGTCCCCGCAGCCTGCTGTCCTCCGGGCAATCGGACGGCTTCCAGGGCGCCTTGGAGCTCTGGTGAAAGCGTTCCCGTGCTAATCTGTGTTGTCTGTATGATTCAGCTTTAGAAATTAAACTTATTTTTGTTGTGCTTTATTGGTTACCGGAGAGTCACAAACTGCCCAAAATCAAGGAGGGGGTCATTTAGACCGCAGCTCTTGATGTGGGAATGGCAAGGTTCTAGAAGAACATGCGGGATGGGGGAGCTTATTTATCGCACCACCTTCGGAATATGCAATGTGCCATTGAAGAGGCAGTCTTCATCCGCTTGTTTCTGAAATGCAGAAATTCCACTTACCACAGTATAATTAAATAATACCAGTCCCTGCACAGCACAGTTAAAACCCTAGCTACCATGATAGATTAACCGTAACTGCATTAAGCACAAACTTCTCTACTATCTCTGCATTCCACAAACCAGATATAAATAAAATATACATCAAGATCAGAAATCAATCATGTCACTTCTTTCAAAGTCTTTCAATAATGGTCAGGCACTGCACACGCTGTTTAGTTCCTACACAGATAGCAAAGCATGCAGTTTTGTTGCCTCCTTGTCTCCTGGTGGTAAATCCATATGACGTTTTTCAAAATTAAGTTTAGAAAAATGGATAATTGAAAGGGGGAGCTGACCAACAAAGACAGAAATACAGCAAAGAAACAAAAAGTAATGAAACCAGAAGTGAAATTTAAATCAATTATAAGAGGATTTGATGTCTACATTAAAGGCAAAAATGCAAAAAATAAAGAAGTGAGACTACATCAAACTAAAAACTTCTATACAGCACAGGAAATCATCAACAAAATTAAAAGAAAACCTACAGAAGGGCAGAAATGACTTGCAAATAATGTATCTGATAAGGAGTTAATATACATAATTCATAAGTAACTCATAACACTCAATAGCAAAAAATACCTGATTAAAATATAAACAGAGGAACTGAATAGATATTTTTCTAAAGAAGATATACAAATGGCCAACAAGTACATAAAAATGTGCTCAACATCACTAATCATCAGGGAAATGCAAATCAAAACCACAATGAGATATCACCTCACATCTATTAAAAATTGGCTATTACCAAAAAGACAAGAAATAACAAGCGTTGGCAAAAATGCAGAGAAAAGGGAACCCTTATTCCCTGCTGGTAAGAATGTAAATTGGTGCAGCCACTGTGGAAAACAATATGGCAGTTCCTCAAAAAATTAAAAATAGAACTAGAATATGATACAGCAATTCCACTTCTGGGTGGTTATCCAAAATAACCCCAAAACACTAATATGAAAAGATATCCACATTTATTGCAGCATTATTTACAATTGTCAAGACATGGAAGCAAACTAAGTGTCCTCATATAGATGAATGAATTAAAAAAAATGGCATACACACATACACAATGGAATATTATTCATCTACAAAAAAGAAAGAAATTCTGCCATTTACAACAACACAAATGGACTTCAGGGAATTATGTGAGTAAAATAAGTCAGATGGAAAAAGACAAATACTGTATGATTTCATGCATGAAATTAAAAAAACAACTCACAGATACAGAGTACAGATTAGTGGTTGCCAGAGGCAGAGGGTAGCGGGTTGGTGAAATGGGTAAATGCGTCCAAAAAGTACAAATTTCCAGTTATAAGATAAAGTCCTGGGGAATGTAATGTACAGCACAGTAACCAGCATTAACACGGCACTGCCTATTTAAAAGTTGCTAAGAGAGAATATCTTAAAATTTCTCATCATAAGAAAAAAATTTGTAACCATGAGAGGTGATAGATGTTAACTAAACTTATTCTGATAATTATCCCACAATGTATATATGTACCAAACCATTTTGTTGTACACCTATAAGCAATACAATGTTATATTTCAATTATATGGCAACAGAAAAAGAAATGTCAATGGAGTTTTATAGAAGAAATAGCTGATCCTGAGAATGTTATACTGCTGTTTACAGATTCGAAGTATGCAACAAAAGGAACTTTGCAAAGTTCAATTTATTGGCATAAATGAGGTAAGTAGTTGTGATGAAAAAGAAGATGTCCCAGAGGAAGTGACACTGGCCAAAAATTTCACATTAAAGTACTTCTTGGAGATATTTTATGACATTGAAAATGCAAAAGATAAAATGTTGAACCCTGATCTAAATTTAGGAATATCCAAGGTATAGAAAAGAGGTTCTCTGGATGAAGTTGTAAGATGAGAAGTTTACAAGGAACAATAATAGTTTTCCAGCTCATTATTAAGATCATTTTGCATGGTTTCAGTGTGCAGTAATTTTTATCATACTGCACTATCTTGCAAAATAAGGATTCTCCATATAGTAAGCGGCCATGAAAGGGGATGGGGGGGTGGGATTACAGTTTATAGGCAACCGTGATTGTCTCCTTGAGGGAGAAAGAGAAAGATATATTCTTCGCTGGCTACCCATTTGTCAGGTCTGAATCTTGTACTTGCACATATTACAGATTTTAAAAATAAATTTTAAAATAATGTTTACAATATTCTGTACAAGGATTTGAAAGTGAAGGATTTATAAACCTCCAATTTCATCTCAAGTTAGAACGGATACTCTTAATATAAGATGAAAGTTCAGACTAAACAAGTACCTCTAGGGTGTCTTTGAACAAAATTTTGGGTATTTGCATTAAAATTTTTATCCTAACAAATAAGACTGAAACACTTGTAAAATCCCTTACAATAAATTAACTTTCCCGTGGGATCAGTTTTGCAATTAAGAGATCACATTCTGAAACAATGATCTGGATCATAGATCGTATCAGTGAGGTGGCCTTGTAAAAGGACAAATTGTTAAAGTATGCCCATATCTTAACCCTGCTTCATTAGAATGAGTTTTATAATTGATTAGCAACAGAATGGATTTAATATGATCAAATGTATCTGAGTTCTGAAGTCATAGATATTAAAAAGACAAAATTGACTTCCTCAAACTCAGCTGCACTCTATCAGCATCATGTAACTTCAGGGAAATAAAAATTTACAGTTGTCAACAGGAGTCCCAAACAAGGACCTTTTTTATACTGTTGGTTGGAGGGGTCCATGTCCACATTCAAGGCTCTGCCACGGTTTCTTTTACAGCTTTATCAGGTCCCAGAAAAGCCAGATCATGGTCCAGCACAGCACATAAGGTGAACCTTGAAACTGGCCAAAAGACTGACAGGCTGACACCACCAGGCCAATAACTTTTTTCTCTGGAGAGATATTGCTGATACTTGGTGCTAGC